TACAGAAAATATGTACAGGATTAACAATCCTTTGATGGTCAGCTCTTTGTACAACTTTTACTAAAATATGATTTTGTATAAAATGACATTTTATCTATGTAATGATTTTTAGATAGCTTGTTGATATGGTGACACATGACTGTTGTCATTGTGTCAGAGAGTTGGCTAATCATCCACAAGCACCTAGGTGGTGTATGTTACAAATTTTCTGCCAATACAAAAATCAAATTTTTTTTGTTGCCAACTCTTCTGAGGAAAAAATGGTTGTCATAGATAGCATACCCTTAATTATAACAAAAAGGTTTAGGTTCTGAAAAATAAAGTTCCAATAGATAATGAAATTTTGTATTAGCCTCTCACTTAGATCTCTGTTGTGAATTTTCGCTCATTTTGGATTTTTTTGGACTGATTTTTACTAATTGTCGTGATAATTTAACCTGAATAAGTCTATCTAGGGACTGAAGCATAATTCTTATTTAATGTAGATGACGGGGTTAGACAGAACAGCATAATTGAATGAAAGATGTAGGCATAGTACCTGATATGGACTGTTTGTGTGCGATGATTACCAAACAAAACTCCCACTGCCAGTTTTAGTGTTATGAACAAGCATATAAATTGTTTTTAAAGTAATAACATTTATATATTACACATGTGTATTTACGATACGTATAAATTGCATGCCAGTTTTCAAGCATAGAATATAAAGAAAAAATTCAACAAAGTAGAAATATGTATATGGTTATGTAGTTTAACTTAATGATATGATTTACAAAACAATTATAATTCAAATATTCAGACGATGCCTTTCATTGGTAAAATAAAATTTAATCAGTCGTAAGTGTTGTAACATAGAAATATAATTAGCTCATCACTATAATCTGAAATTGTTATTACATTACTTTACACATGTATGCTGTTTATACTCGTGTATCAATTCGGTGTTGTTTTGTGGGCCCTGTGATCAGTGAAAGTTAGTGCCTTTTTACTGCTTTTTATGCATAATTTGTCTTATACAGTACTTAACTTGTGACTAGCCTTCCATGCTGCCTGTGGTCCTAGGAAAGGCCTGTGACAATTCCTCAATACTTACTTTTTTAGCGAAGGGATGTAGACACTCATAACCATGCTAGATATCAAAGTTATCCACTGCAAGTCCTTGATGCCAGCCGTCATGGCAATGGCATCTGTGACAAGTCCTCGATGCCAGCTGTCATGGCAATGGCATCTGTGACAAGTCCTCGATGCCAGCCCTCATGGCAATGGCATCTGTGACAAGTCCTCGATGCCAGCCGTCATGGCAATGGCATCTGTGACAAGTCCTTGATGCTGGCCACTGTTGCAAAAGTGACAGTGACAAGCCGGATGCAGCCAATGATAACAAACGTAAAAGCAAACATATTTTCCAGGTTTGACACTACTAAAGCTATCAACTCTACATTGATTTTAATTAAGTGAAAAAGAAACGTATGAACTATTGCTCGTTTGCCAACTTGTCTGACATGGACAGAGGCAGGCTAATACAGAGAATAATCTTGTCACAAGTTAAGTACAGTACATAGTTATAAATAATATGTACTAATAATTGATTGCATTCAATTTCTGAAATTGTATCTTGTGTACAAATATTTATCATTTGATGTATTTAATATTTGAAATCCAGCTTTAACCATATAGACATTTACACTAACCAAAAAGTAGGTATCTGGTAAGTAAAATTTGATCAAAATACTGTTTCCTTCATTTATGCTTGATATCATTTTAACAAAATTAAAATCTGTTCATTTTTATTTTCTAGAACTTTCAAATATCTCCATATCATGAAAATTTTTTTATTTTTGAAATCATTTCTGGTTGAAAAGTCATCTTAACCTTGTGTTCAAGTTAAGTATTTTTATAATCTTTACTAAGTTTAAAAATCTAAAAGTTCTGCATCTTTTTTTTTTTTTTACCTTTGTTGAATTTTTTAATTAACAAATGTCTTCTTAGCATATATATATATGCTAGTAGGGAGAATGAGATTTTTATCTTTGTTAAGCAAAGGACAGAAGTTTTTTTAAAATAGAAATAAAATAGGATTTTCAAAGATTAATCAAATTAGTACTCTCTTATATTTCACTGAGTTTGCAGTTTTGGGCAGAAAATACTGACAGACTGATAGGATTTGCAACCATTCCTTAGTCAGGAAAGGAGAAGGCAAACCTTTTTTTCAAAGAAATTCATAGCGGAGTCTAATGATATTATTTGCAGTGACAGAATTTGCATTTCGTTGTTACATTCATGCTTTTCCTTACAAAATAATTTCATTATACACTTGAATTCTACGCCATCCCCTTTGTATGATCTACATCTATCCCATTGTGTATGTTTGTAGTACCTATACTTGTCCCAGTTCATTTGTGATTATGATTTGTTTGTCACCTACTTGCATTGAAATGATAATAAAACTGAAACTGAAAAATCCTGTTATTGTTGATGTGCTAGATGTTGTAGTAACTATTTGGTCATTTCAACAACATATTGTATAACCCATGTAAGTATGAATGAATTTGACCAGATATCTCTCTGATGTGACCTTCCAGGATATCGCTTCAAAAATCGGGAGGATTTACTATCATGAAATACTTTGTTAAGCATTCATACGCCTCCACAATTTTTTGTTTTGATTTGCATAAAGTATCCCAAGATTACATTCGGCACCTACAACCAGAGGATAATGAGACACTGACCTCGAGGTGATCTTCCTATCCTTAGTTTCTCAGATGTTTTCTTTAACTTAAATTTCCTTAGAAGATTGCAACATTTCAACAAAGTGTTAAGAGTTTTTGTCTGGATACTTTGGCTTAAGAACCCTTGAACTCCGACCTTGACAAGACTTACGAATTTATCTGTTATGATGGTGTTCAGAGTGATCATGACAGTTTGCCAGTTGGGAGATGACCTGCTGTTATTTACTACATTTTTGAGAAAGCTGAAATTTTGGCCAAACTGACGGGGGGGAAATATTTACATCTTTCATGACTTGGATTGACAAATTTCCTAAAAAACAACAAAATGAATTTTTTGTAATAAATATTTATTTCTGTTATGAACTAAAACATCCTTATATCACACTGATTCCTGCCGTGCAAGATAAATACTTGTTCACATACTTCAAAAGTACATATATTGACATATATTAGTTTGGTTACGGACAGACAATTTTATGAGTTGACAGACTTAAATTGAACTCTCGTTCAAATTAATCAGTACTCAACTGCAAAACATAGGTACTCACAACAAATTGTTACAGAAAGATCAGGGGAGATAAGTCAAAACAGTAGTAGCAAGAACATTTTTTCCCCATATTCTCAATGTTAATATCAGATATAAGAAATGACACACCTTTTATTTCAGCCTGTATAGCTAAGTTGGTAAGGTGTCCGACAACAAATGGGAAAGTTGTGTGTTCAACTACCAGCAAGCACTTTTTTTTTTATTTATGTGATTGGATATGTATTAAAGACAGTGATGGTCGCCAAAGATGGCCAATGTAAATACCCCACCCTGCCACATACCCTACAAAACTTTAATTTCAATTATATTTTTGTGGAAACTTTCTAGCTGTGGTCAAGATTAATTTGCATATTTGGCAATAACAATGTTTGGCTACTTGAGAAGGGAGACAATTTGATATCTATTTTTAAGGGGAATAACTCTATCACCATTTTCCTCCCCCCCACCTTATTCAGTGTATTGTAGAAAGTTTGGAAATCAATATATAAATGTTTTAGAAAAATATCTGTTGTATTTTTAGTTTTATCAAAAGTCTTATTTTTACAGTGCTATTTCAATGCATCCATAATAGAATATTTTGATTTTAATAATTCTCTGAATATTGGTTTATAGTATCACAATTTTACAAAACACTATCTGTAAAGATGATTTATAGACTATACAAGCTGCACAAGCTGGAACTAAGTCAAGACTTTAATGCTAAAGCGGAATGTTAATTTACATACTTAATTACATTGCATAAATATAGACTTTAATGAGATAACCTGAGCTTATATAACCAGGTAAAAAATTAAACAGCAGGAGTGACGTCAACCATTTTTCCACAAAGCGAAACAATGCCTTAGAGCAATGAAACACAAATCATCCGAAGCATCATCTTACTTGACTATTGAACAAAGTAAAGTATGTAAAGATCGTTAATTATTTTCTATATTGTTTTTTTAAGGAATTCCATAATGCACGACCATTATGGTTATTTCTTGCTGAATTTCTGATGATCAGTTAAGTCATTACATCAATGAAACTATTTTTGGACTAGACAATGGCTACCAATTCATAAACGGTTGAAAGAAAATGATTTATTTGCTTACTTTAAAATTATAGACAATAATACAAAACACCAAAACATTTTATGACAAAATCTTCGAGCTTAGTGTCAATGAAATACAACACCTCTAAAAAAGAAGATGAAATTGCATAAAGTCAATTTAATGAAATGGAATCTTGGTGGTTAAATGCTTCTGCAACTGTTGTACAGATCATGTCTAAGTACCCCTATCATTACCTGGAGTAATGCAGATTCACCGGTGTTTAGTGCATGAGACCCCTATTTATAAAACTGTAAAATGTGGTGTGTGCTATTTAATTAAAATTTGCAATTAAAATGCTGGTTACAAAAAATAATCATGAACTATCAAAGTATGTAGTATATGTATGTATATTATGTAATATAATATACAGTGAAATTTTCAAAATGTCATGCTATAATGATTGCCTAAATGGTTAATAACACTCTTTGCTCTCTTAAGACATTAATTGTACATATAAGATAGAGCTATTGACAGGAAGTATACAGCCTCCATCAACCCAGAGTCTCTCAGAGACTAGTACTGATACGAGGAAGTGAAATCACCCGTGTAACGAAAATACTGCCACTCTCATGCCAGGGTCTACAGAACATTTTTTTTACAAAAGCAGTAATGTTACAAAATTCATGTATTTTGAGAAGGTATAGTAGTGCATTCAAATAAACGATGCCTCCTCTACTCCAAAGAACTTCAGAATATGCAGAGAGTTATTCGCGTCTAAATATTGACGAAGATGGATCTGTACATCAAGACATATCATACAGAAGTTCATTGGACAGCTCTGTCCTTATAATGGTTCATGTACATATGTATCAGAAAGTGAACAATAGCATTTGGGTGTACACAGTCTCTGTCCATCAGATCATTCAATGAAGTAGCCATGCTCTAGTTAGTATCATCGTGAGAAGGTGGAATTTTAACATTAGGGTTCATGTAGCCTGTGTCATGTTTGAGTCCACTAGATCATATAGCAGCTATGTCCTAGTTTGTATTGTGGTGAGAATGTAGAATTTTAGCAGCAGGGTTCATGTAGCCTCTGTCCTGTTCAAGTCCACCATATCATTTAGTGAAGTAGTTGTGTTCTAGTTAATGTTGTTGTGAAAAAGTGAATTTATAGCATGAGGGCGTAAGCTGCGTCCGTCATTCCTGATTCCTTAAGAGCAGACTCCAGCACACTTGTATAGGCTTGTGCAGCCTCTCGGTCCTTCCAGGTCTTCAGCATGGTGTAAGCCTGGAAATACAAAGAACAATCCACTTACAAAATAGTCTACAAATCCAAGAACAATCCACTTACAAAATAGTCTACAAATCCAAGAACAATCCACTTACAAAATAGTCTACAAATCCATGAACAATCCACTTACAAAATAGTCTACAAATCCAAGAACAATCCACTTACAAAATAGTCTACAAATCCATGAACAAACCACTTACAAAATAGTCTACAAATCCATGAACAATCCACTTACAAAATAGTCTACAAATCCATGAACAATCCACTTACAAAATAGTCTACAAATCCATGAACAATCCACTTACAAAATAGTCTACAAATCCATGAACAATCCACTTACAAAATAGTCTACAAATCCATGAACAATCCACTTACAAAATAGTCTACAAATCCAAGAACAATCCACTTACAAAACTGTCTACAAATCCAAGAACAATCCACTTACAAAACTGTCTACAAATCCATGAACAAACCACTTACAAAATAGTCTACAAATCCATGAACAATCCACTTACAAAATAGTCTACAAATCCATGAACAATCCACTTACAAAATGAACAATCCACTACAAAATAGTCTACAAATCCATGAACAATCCACTGACAAAATAGTCTACAAATCCATGAACAATCCACTTACAAAATAGTCTACAAATCCATGAACAATCCACTTACAAAATAGTCTACAAATCCATGAACAAACCACTTACAAAATAGTCTACAAATCCATGAACAATCCACTTACAAAATAGTCTACAAATCCATGAACAATCCACTTACAAACATGAAAAATAGTCTACAAATCCATGAACAATCCACTTACAAAATAGTCTACAAATCCATGAACAATCCACTTACAAAATAGTCTACAAATCCATGAACAATCCACTTACAAAATAGTCTACAAATCCATGAACAATCCACTGACAAAATAGTCTACAAATCCATGAACAATCCACTTACAAAATAGTCTACAAATCCAAATCCATGAACAATCCACTTACAAAATAGTCTACAAATCCATGAACAATCCACACAAAATAGTCTACAAATCCATGAACAATTACAAAATAGTCTACAAATCCATGAACAATCCACTGACAAAATAGTCTACAAATCCATGAACAATCCACTGACAAAATAGTCTACAAATCCATGAACAATCCACTTACAAAATAGTCTACAAATCCAAGAACAATCCACTTACAAAATAGTCTACAAATCCATGAACAATCCACTTACAAAATAGTCTACAAATCCATGAACAATCCACTTACAAAATAGTCTACAAATCCATGAACAATCCACTTACAAAATAGTCTACAAATCCATGAACAATCCACTTACAAAATAGTCTACAAATCCATGAACAATCCACTTACAAAATAGTCTACAAATCCATGAACAATCCACTTAGAAAATAGTCTACAAATCCATGAACAATCCACTTACAAAATAGTCTACAAATCCATGAACAATCCACTTACAAAATAGTCTACAAATGCTATCTATATATATTATATAAAACAGCTTGATTCTTGTAAAACATACAGTAACATGTTTTGAACTACTTTCCTCTGGTATATTAATAGATACAAAAACTATAACTTAAGAGTCAACATATGGAACTGCATTATACAAAATGTATATACATGTACTAACAATAAATTATGAGCTTTTCCTCAAAGACAAAAAAAACAAAACAAAAAAAGCCAGTATGTTTAAAGCAATTTTGCAGCAATACTACAATACATGTTAAGTGCAATGATAATTGAACACATCAACAGTGTAGGTTTTGAAACTTCAGCTGCTCCCTGACGAGGTTCAAACACCTGAACACACAGGCTCATTTCATTTCACCAGAAGAAATTATAATTAAAAATTAGGTTTAGTCATGATTACAAAATACATTTTTTTCAAGGTGGCCATTTCTATCATTTCTCACACATCAATACACAACGTAAACGACAGCTTACCTGATTTTTAGAGTCGGATATGTTTGCTTTGATATCGCTCACTTCCTCATTGGTAAGTCCAAGTTTATTGGCTGTCCTTAACCAATCACGTCTGTAGATTTTTTCTGCGACCTGTCGGAGAGATGCATCTGAGGGAATTTGTCTGCCTCCAGGGTCGGGGGTTGGCCCCTCACTGTTAAACTGTAACCAAAAAAGTAAAAGAGACTTGATAACATTATATTGTGGTACCAATGAATTCGCGACAATCCCAAATTTGGAAAAAAATCCATACAACGTCTTTTGGTATTTCTATTCATAAAAAAACTGAGCAACAGCCCCAATCAAAAAACATCCTGCAGATTTATCCTAAAATAAACAAATTTTATATACATAATGTTTTTTAAATACATTACCTTCCCTCAAGTAGAAGATTATAAGCAAGATTTTATTATTTACTCTTCAGAACTTCAGACGAGGTTGATTCAATTCAAAGGGATAAAATACCATTTTTTTCACAATTATTCTTGGATATAAATTTTGAATTAAAGAATCACTTGCATTTGAAGTCTTTTCCTGTAAATATTCACACATAACACAGTTAGTGGTTCTAAAATCTATCACACACAGCACATCAGCTCTTCAATGTACTGTCAGCTTCAATAACTGTATTTGACGACCTGCCATCTTGGCAACATTGCCAAGATATCACTAAAATAAATCAGTTAGTTCTCATGACGACAAAAAGTCAATAGAAAGCAAACGAAATCCAAATTCTTATTTATCAAAAAAAAAACAACAAAAAACAAAAAAAAAATGTTGCAAATTTTCAATGTCACAAAACGGCACACTTCAAAACATTTGATTTAGGTAGACCTACTTAGAATGAGTTAGAACAAACACTATCACACTACCAGAACCATACAGCATTAGGCTACCTGTCCGTGTGGTCACTAATGGTCAGTCACAGACTTCGGGTGGACGTCCGCTATTAACATTTTACAGTACAAGTCAATATTTACAGAAAATAATATATTTGACCATCTCTGGCGACATCATCACCAGAGTTAAAGCAACATTTGGCATAAAATAGGGCAATCTAAGTTGTTTAATGACTAACAAATGAAATAAAGTTTAAATTTAATATCCTGAATTATCCATGTTACCAGTGAGAATAATGGCTTTTCAAATCAAAATTTTTCCTAAGGAAATATTTGCTGGAAAAAAATCAAACAAACTGATAAACAGAAAGACTGATTCCTGCTTAAAAAATATTTTGATTCTCAAATTTGTTGCCATGTTAACAATATTCATTTGACTATTTCAATGTAATTGAATAGGTTTCAGTATATTTATCTCTTATTGATACTGTTTTTCCTAAGTGTGAATACTTACACTTTTAATAAGTGTGGCAGATTTGGTAAGAGAACACAACAACCTGACAAGGAAGTCAACCAGATCTTCCCTCTCTGAATAGTGTCTATACACCTGATCTCTTACCTCCTCTGGGTACATATATGTTAATGTAACAAGGATGGGACAATATCCTGGATTTCTGAGCTGGGACAGAACTGGTATAGGATTAAGTTGGGACAATATCCAGGATTTCTAAGATGGGAGAGTATTCGTATAGGATGAAGTTGCAATGATATCCTGGATTTCTGAGCTAGGACAGAACTGGTTTAGGATAATATTGGGATAATATCCTTGATTTCTTAGCTGGAATCATACTTTGTATGGATAAAGTTGGGAAAATATCCAGGATTTCTGAGTTGGGACAGTACTGATATGGGATACATTTGGAATTATGTCCCAGATTTCTGAGCTGTGATAAAGTTGTGAAAATATCCAGGATTTCTGGGTTGGGACAGTACTGATATGGGATACAATTAGAATTATGTCCCAGATTTCTGAGCTGTGATAAAGTTGGGAAAATATCCAGGTTTTCTGACTTGGGACAGTACTTATACAGGATAATAGTTAAAATATTTTTATATTTTTGTTTTTTGGAATAACTGGTAAAAAATGACATAGTCAGGTGACCCTCATACCTTTTGCAGCTCTAGAGATAGACCCCCAGACACCTGGGTGATAGACGAGTGTGTTTCCATTGTGCCTCCTGACTACACACATTTACACTTAGCTGGTACATGTATCAGCAGAGTATATAGTTATTCAAAATTTAGTCAAAGAATAGAATAACACAAGAAGTTTCATTTCTTTTCGTAGTTTTGTAAATGCAGAAGGATTTTTGTGACTTAATTTTATTAGTTTATTACATTGCGTGTTGAAATCTGTCAGTAACAAATATGTTGTGTAACATGACAATAGATGTGTAAGGACCAGTGATAAATGTCCAAGATCCACCCACACATGCTCACTGAGTGCATTTGACAGTTCTTACAAAATGGAGATACTATACTGGCTGTTGGACTCCATTTCTTTCACACATTTGCTTGTAGTGCATTTGAAAATTCTATATACCTAACAAAGGGGAAACCAACCTTCAGGAATCGTCCTGCAGCTTCAAACTGTAATGGGGAACATGTATGTAAAACAAAAACTTGTCACCATTACACACAACACTTCCCATGATGTTTTCAACTAGCATAACAGTGCTCTTCACACACAATAAGGTCAAATATCAAAGACAATTTATTTTCAGACAAACCGGATTTGAAGATTTCTTTTATTGCTTTCAGGGATGTTCATGGAACAATTGCTTGTGATGGCTACACTTTAAGGGTTTTGAAGTAGATCAGAATATATACCTCCGGAAGTTGACTATGAAGGCGTTCTTTCATATAGGTAGGAAGGACCTCGAAATTCAGAATATCCTCTAGCGTTTCTCCTGGAATAACACTCCTGACACCTGTCACGAACTGGTCTTCATTCATCAGACCTACAGAAATTACAAAATGTCAGGAGGTAGAGTAAACAGCCCTCCCTTTCTCAAGACACTCTCCATCACTACCTGGTAACTATTGGTACATGTACCATGTTTATTCTGAAATATCCCAAGGGGACCAACACATTACTTTCTACTCCAAATCAGATGTAGAGCTTATTACAGGACCCCAGGGGATCAACATTTTACTTTCTACTAAAAGTCAGATGGTGGGCTTATTACAGGACCCCAGGGGATCAACATTTTACTTTCTACTAAAAGTCAGATGTAGAGCTTATTACAGGACCCCAGGGGATCAACATTTTACTTTCTACTAAAAGTCAGATGGTGGGCTTATTACAGGACCCCAGGGGACCAACATATTACTTTTTACTCAAAGTCAAAGTGAGGGCTTGTTACAGGACCCCAGGGGATCAACATTTTACTTTCTACTAAAAGTCAGATGGTGGGCTTATTACAGGACCCCAGGGGATCAACATTTTACTTTCTACCAAAAGTCAGAGAGCTGGCTTATTACAGGACAATGAAATAGCATCGGTTTATTTTTTTCTGATCAGCAAAATATATGAGTGAGTTTATGATACCAGGTAGAGTCTTGATGAAGAAATTTGATACTGAACAAACTAAACTGATTGTTTTAAATGACACAACAGTCAATCAAAACAAAATGTATATTAGAACAAGTACATTTTGATAAATTGTCGAAAACCATTACAATTTATGACATATTTAGAACAAAAAATAAGCATTGCATCCACTTTTAAAATGGGTTCAACTCTTTAAAAAATTGTAAAAAAAACAAATTGAAAAGAATAACTCAAACCTGTATTTTTCTTGTCTATATGTTTATACACTATCTCTGCAACTCTTTGTACATCCTACAAAAGAAAATTCAGATTTAATAATGAATAGGAAAAAAAACAGCTAGCACATTTAATAACATTTTCAACCCTAGATTCTGTCCCGTATTGTAAAGCAAATTTAAAATGGCAATTGTGTGAGGTAACTAGGAGAATTAGTTAAATACAAACTTCTTTGAGAGCTTTTGGCCTACAAAAATGCAACCAACTCTGAATATCATTAAAAATTAATGTAAACAAACCTTTTTATCACTTGGGTTGGTGTAGACACGTTCTAAGATCTTTACAAATGTTGTTTTCGGAACAGGGTTTCCATTGTTCAACAGCCTGAAAATTCCTGTGTAATAATAAACAGAATGAATCAATTTATCTATCATCACAGATACACATACTGTAAATATGGAAATTTACACTAAATATGCGAAAGTCATTTGATCACATAAATTCCTACAATTTGTATGAATATTGTGATACATATGTGACAAAATATACGCAGAAAGGTATACTCATCCTGAAAATAACCCCTGTACACACAGTTTGCTTATTCAAATTGCAAATGTGAACAGTATACCACAATGGTTGACTATTACAGGAAGATGCAATATGGACGATTCAGATCATGGTATTATTGACAGAGGAATAAATCACAAAAGGGGCACTCAAAAGCATTATACAAATGAGGTTAACAGAATTGAAAAGACAGAGGCCCTAGTATCAATTTCTTCTATAACCCCTTCCCAGCATTCTTTGACCCCTTTCAGCTGTCATGCTGAAGGCCATCCTACTGAAAGAGTGACACGAAGGGAAGTAACTCTGGAAGATCAGAATATTTATGATTCACCAAACTGCCCAACATAAGTATGTAAGTAAATAATTCCACATTAATACTACACTTGTGAGTCTCATTCTCGTTTCTCTTATATTAAAGGGGTTCCTATCATAACACAAACAGTTTATAAACAACATCAACCTAGAGAATTTAAGTTTGTGGATGGGGATCTATAGCCGTAAAAGGAGATGAGGTCTATTTGTGATAATGAGACTGCAGTATCTAATTGTTCAAGTGATTAAGACTTACCCCTGAGTTTGTCAGTCGGTTCTGCTATCTCACACCACTTCAATCCTCGAAGGAAGTTCTCAAATGTGATGTCCTTCGTTTGGTTCAGAGTGAATTTTTTCATTAACTGTAATAAAAACAAGAAAGACAAATTATGGAAGCCGGAAGTGGAGCAGAAAGTCAAATAGTCCCATCACAGCTATCGAACAAAATTGTTTCAACTGTTTAATAGTGCAATTCTAAAGCTTCATATAGAGACAGTGGAGATGCAAACCTGCAAGAAAACTGGATGCACAATGGTAAGCATATGTCAGTTATCACACACATCATGAAACTGCTTAGACTTATGGACTCGCATAAGAAATCATCTTTTAAACTTTTTTGACTCCTGCATACCCTTGTGGTATCCATATACCAGAGAAGAAACCACATCACTTAACACCCCTAATATTGGCACTAACATTGGCTTGATCTTTGATTTTTAACCTTATATAGATGATGATCAATAAACATCAAAGATGGTGATATGTGTCTTTGTCCCACATTTATTCTCCTTACTATAAATGATACAATGAAGTTTTTATAAGATAAACCATATACACCTACATTTCTTGAAAAGGCATCATTTGAAATTGACATTTTCGTTGCCAAATCTTCTGTTATGACGCCATCTTTGTTACATCCCAGTTGCTGGAACCGCAGCCACAAACGCTCTGTCTCAGCTATACTCACTATTGTTAAACATCATAATTAATTATTAAGAAACAGATTTTAAAGCTGAATGATTACGAAGAAAATAAAAACCAAACATATTTTATCATATTTCTGCATTTGTCCAGTAATAGGGCTATTAGGCCAATGCATTAAAAAATGAAAGATTGTATTTTAACTGAACAGTAATATACAATGGTGAGCTTATTTTCATGCCATATTGCATAATAATAAGGTTTTGAAATTGTTGATACTATTTATAAAGCACACTATGTATTTATTATAACCTTCCGAAATGTAACTTTCCATTGCAAAATCTTAAGATCTGTAAATCATCAGGTAAACTTTGAAAGACAATGTGGATTTTATATACATGGTCTCCAACACCTTATGATTTGATTTATGAATCCTGTTGGGACTTTTTGGAATGGAGAGTATATATTTTTGATAATGGGAATATCAAAATAGGAGGAGTTGTATAAAAGAAGCAGGTGAGTGTGTCAAGGTCTTTGTTAGTATTAAGGGTTCTGAATATTTATATGTGATTTTATTTTTGTTTTTGTCGCGGATCAGCCACAACTAAGGTAAAAACATAATCGGAGATTGACAGTCAGAACCCATCTAACTAGGTCTATGTCAGTAAGGTGATGGTGTATGCTTGTTTTTGGCAGACCTGTGGATCATCTTGTCAGAGATCTGACAGGAATATGTTTTTACCTGTTCTAAAACAAAAGCATGCAATATGATATTTTTCTTTAAATTTCAGATATATACGTTGATGTCCAATGACTTACACTCAGAAGCGATGGCATGTACAGTGATCCAGTTCGCCTTGCTAGGATGTGTGTGTTGAGATACCTCGTCCCCAACAGGGGCCATGAATTGACTTGCGTAAGAACCCATCCTCTCAAGTTAATGTTCCAGCTGAAAGAAGAAAAGATGTAGACTTAATTATCATTTTCTTTTTAATTTCTATATCAATCATTTTTTCTACTTTTCTGTAACATGAAGCATGACGTAAATTTTTTAATGCCAACTATGGTTAAGAATGTTGAGGAGTCTTTCAAAAAGTTGGTCAAACATAGTTTGAATAGTATTTATTAGAGAATTGTACACTTTCTCTTACCCTTTTTAAGATGAACGTTTATCTTACAACAAATAGATAGGTCGTGCCCATTTTCCAGCAACTGATCAGTCTGTTTGTCTCATTCCATGATAGGCTATCTCTTCTAATGCACGACTCCGTGATGTTGCTCAGGCATTCATTTGTAAACAGACGACGTTCTTTGGTTTCGTTGACTGAAGAGTTCCGAAATACAATTTCCCCGGAACGTTCTCGGTTAAAGGAATTCGACGCTCAATAAGGACACATTCTAATTTATATATTCCCATCTTGATATAAAAGCAAGTCAAACGATTTTTTAATAATTTTAAAATTCTTATGAACAAATGATGTTTTATGCAAAAGATTGTTTTTCACATCCTTAAATGTATTTTGCTGTCAACCAATTCTACACCGTCATTACTTCAGGGCTTTCGCTCACTTTCTCACTTATCCACACCCTGGAACATTTCCTGACGAAATTGGAGGCACAGGTGAAGTAATTTAATTGGTCTACAGCGAGTTTCAGGAGAAAGAAAACTCCCCAATCACAGAAAGATAAACTCCTTTGAAGATAAAGCCAGATATTTCCCCTTTCTACTTATTTTTCAATCTTTTCTTGTCAACTGAAAGACCGAAAGGCCATAACAGTGGGCATAAAATCCATTGCATAAATAAATACCTTAAAGCCAATACAACATACCATTATGTGACCTCATTATTCATTCGATTTACATCAAAGGATCAAACTAGTATTCTCTCCTTATTCAGGAGGTGTTGTACATGGAAACTATTTTGCCATGGAAAAAGTAACCCCTGGAGTATCGAGGATGCTCAGAATTTTATGTGTTCGATTCCTAGCGGAGGCATTGATATAAATAATGACCTCTGTTACATTTTTATGCTATTATAGATACGCAGTTGGCCTGTTGGAAAAAAATTTATCCCAGAATCTTGATATTTGATCAATTTGTTATCTATTTGATGCCTCCAAAAATACAATATAGATAAACAGCTACATACATGACTTCATGAAAGACCATGCATAAAACTTGCTTCTGAAACTGAGTGATAATAAACCTGAACAGAGTCCAAGATGGAAACTTGTAAACCACTGATTTTTCTTATCAGTCTCAAAACAAAATATGTACAAGTAGGGACCAACAAGAGTTCTTTTAATGAAATAGTTTTAATAGTATTTTTATTTTGTACTTCAGTTTATTTCTGGATTTAAAACATAAAAAAAGCACATCAAGCTGAAACAATAGTTTTAATAGGTAATAATACACGATCAAAGAACACATATTACACTATATCTTATGATCATTCTTAAACATTTCACAGAAATCCTACACATTTTTTTAGTTCAGATTTGAATTAAATCTGTCAGCAATTCAGTAACACTATTAACTGTTATATGATAATATTCTGTGCCAAATCAATTCAAGCTAAAAAAAACAGCAAAGTAATATAGTCCTATTTCTAACACTAAAGACATTTAAACGCAACAAAATGACAATTCAATTTTACCCTAATTGATGTTCACCTAATTTGTTTCATTTTGGCTTTTTTAAATGTATATTCCACACAAATAAATCACCATTATTGTAGCGAATAAACAATGTATCTAACTTTACTCTTTCTAGGTCAAATTGATCATGTGACAACATAGCGAACACTAGTGGTGAGTTACAATAGTCTATATTATATAAGTACTGAGGATATGGAAAATTCCGTAATAAAATTTTCACATCTTCTCAATTTACATAATAAGGACTCCTTTTACCCCACCTCTTATTTAGGAGTTGCTTTTAAATCAATATTGATATTGCTAGTGCAAAAATATTTATCAATTTTTATCAGATAATTTTCAAGTGGGCCCAATATGTATTTTGAAAAGAGTGAAAAAGAATAAGGCATATTAATTGCAGGTATTGTACTTAAACATGTTTACTCTGTGGGCAATGCATTATAGTATGGAGTAATGTATATTAAGATGAGGTTATTAAGACAGTTGATTTTTTTAAAACATGACATTATGACCTCATGTATCACATTGGAATGACAGCTCAATATGGAGTGTCTCCCGACAAATTTTTGAACATTCTGAAGCCAGTTCTAATCTAATTTCTTTTTTTCTGCAATATATAGCCTTATAACTGCTTATTCTGTGCATTTCTCTCTAAAATCTATACTTTCCAATGTTATAAATATATTGTTTAATACTGGGGTATAACATTGAACTTTCTGCATCATCATTCCTGGAACAGTCCATAATGTGAAGGTTTTCATTTTACAACAATCTACTATCTTATGGGTAAGGATTAGAAGAGTCAAAATAATACTCATCTAAATACATTTATATCCCTATGAATGCATTTTCCTTCAGATGTTCATATAAGATTTTGATATCATAATATCATGAACTACAACAGAATAATGTTGGCTCCTAATTGAAGTCAGGGGTCAAGAATATGGGAATGACATCTCACACAGGACACGTTCATCTTCTGTGTATCTATGCAGAGGTGGGAGACACAATTTCATTTGCAATGATTATAAATCTGAAGCAACATGATAGCACTAGCTAAAATATAACGAAGAATTAAAATCTAACTGACAAGAATTATATAGAACAACGACAGTATAATCAAGTTATATATTACCGGTACAATGCTCTAAAGTTGTACCGGACACTTTGATCAACGAAAAATGAACCACAGGACACAACGAAATCAACATCCACAAAAAAAAGATAAAAAAAAAAAAAAGAAAATCTCCATGAAGTAATATCAACATCCTCAAAAAATATTTGTACTTGTGAGCAAAATCTCTCATCTCAATCAGCTGACAAGGTTTGCATTGATTTTGTTTGTTTTGGAAACCTAAATGTCCAGATCAGCAGCCTTACAGAGTAGATTTCACTTACAAATACATATGATAACAAAAATATCCATCATTTCAGAAATTGATTAAGAGACAGAATTAACCACAGCAGTACTGGTAAAAAGATATAATAATGATTAAAATTTATATGACCCACTTTTCTCTCAAATAGTGATTTAAATTTATTTGATCCACTTTTTTTTTTAAAGAGTTAACATGCAAAGTATGGTTAGATATATCTTCATTAAAACTTTTATAGAAAAATTGTAACAATTTTCTTTTTCGATATTTGTTCTTTATTGTATTTAAACAATAACTAGTAAATTTTGTTCAACTAAAGGAAATGAAATTGGAGAAAACAATATACATGTTTGTAATGTTAGCAGAATGGGGTCGCAACAGGCAAATACCAAAAAGTGATATAAAACCTTCTGCTACTGGTACATGTGTATTTTCACTTTGAGTTCATACCTAATATTGCAGATAACAAATATGTTTTTGGGTGTTGAATTGACAGTTAGTTTCCATTTAGCAGCGGCAAGGTTAGACGCGATGTTTTCTAAAAGAGTACATAAGTTTATGAACACAATGACTGGTCGATGCATAAACGGATATATACAGTGACAGATTTTACTAGACAACAATTTCTTGTCAGTATATTTAAGAGCTGAAACCTTTCTAAGCAAAATTTATATACATATTTCATCAATATTGTGAGAGTTATTATAGAAAGAAAAATCCTACAAAGAGAGTCATAAAAAAGGTACCCCATGTCTGAATATCTCTGAGAATACGACAGACATGAAAGATCCCTGATTAAATACCTGGCTATCTCTCTATATCAATGTCATACTTAGAAGAAGTTGAGAAGTGAATATTGAACCTGACAAGCCAAAGGACTGAAATGAAAGCAAACTTCATCTTTCTACTTCAATCCCCACTTTGAAGAACTGATTTAGATTTGACTAGTGATGTAAATTATATTGAATATTCCTTAAATCTTTGCATCAATTTTAAAGTAAATTCTATATCATTCTCCGGTGTAAATGACCATTTCAACAATCACATAAGGAGATCGTCAGATAATTAACCTTATGACTTAATAAACATGGGACAAATATGTTTCCAACATTAAGTAGAACGTCAAACAGTGGAATTTACAAAACTTGTAATCATCCGGTTTCTTTGTATATATGTTAAATCTGTTGTACTGTTGTATTGAAAACCTAAAAGTCAGATTATATATACATGTATAATTTCTTAGAAAAATGTTAACATTTGAATCTTTACTGTGCCGTTTGTAGAAATCAACAGTGAAAATGAAATTAACTAGAAAATGAAGAAAAATGAAAATAAATTAATGATGAAGATACAAAGTTGTGTTACCAAATTGTAATATCCAACATCAGAAACTATCAAGTTACATATATTGTATTGTGCAAGAGCTTTGCTTTTTCTAATTGTCATTATTGTACAGGAGCTCTGCATTTTCTAATAGGCTTTTGAAATAATTTTGAAGTGTAATGGCAAATATGCTGATTTACTTACAAAGCAAAACATACAATTGTATACATATAAAGACATATAAACATGATCATTTCTTACCATTTGGTTCAACCTTTCAAAATTCATTATCTTTTATACTTTTTCTGAAGAGCAACAAAATTTCGAGTCATATAAAGATTATGACATCAAATTTAAGGAAAATCTCATTCACACATCACAGAAATAAGACTTGTCATTACATGCTTTAAAAAATTTCCAAAATATATTTGTAAGTAATAACCTGTAAACACGGTCACGAAGAGTCTATTTGTTTTGAATATTGATTAGTTTCCAGTTTTTCCGCTCTAGATCAATCAGTTACATTTCAGAAATACATGTATTTCAAAATTCTCTTTAAACAAATATTACAGGAATTTTTTTATTCTAACATAAAGGAAATTATTTTGTTTGTGCCGGTACATTGAAATGTCTAAATGTCAATAAACTTGTTCATAATATGAATATTTTGGTAATAATTTGATGGTTAAATTCTGTCTTTTTTTTTAAAAAATGTGTCTAAATATGAGGTATCATTATGTGAACAAAGGAAAAAGACCTTTCAATATCAGCTTTTTTATCATCAAAATATATATATATACATATATATACAAAAAAGACAGAAAACACTTTGGATTGGTTCATGAGTGGTAAATCAAAATAGTTTTAAAAATCTCAGTTCTAAAAAACAGAAAAAAAAAAGCGAAAAAAAAATCAAGACGAATGTTTTAGAAGATGTATATAAACACAAAGAGCATCATGGAAGTAAAACTTCTAAATTGTTTTAAACATTTCAGCATGTTTGAAGTATTTATGTCATACTTGTTTATTTCACCAATCACAAGTGGTGCATGGTTTTTGGTGACATATTTTACTGCTGGCAGCACTCTGTTGTATCTCATAAACATAACTAAAAATATCTTTTCAAGAAAAATAAGAATCACTGATGCATTGCATATCAACACAATTACTGACATCGGAAATAAACTTAAATTTTGCATGATTAAAAGTCAAAACTGAAAAAATAATGACCGCTGTAATTTATGAAATAAAATGTGAATTAATTTTCATTGTTTTAAATTTTTTTTTTTGTAATTGTTCCTTGATAATATTTCACCAATTTAATTTTCCAACGATTTTTATATTTATCAGTGAAATTAAGAACAAATGAAACAGTATTATCTGTAAACCCACGAAACTTGAGTCTCGCACAAATGTACAATTTTATTAAAAAGTAAAAGTGATATGCTTGGGACACATATCTACAGTTAATGTATCTGAGAGTACATCAATATTTAAAACTGTTACCAAATTTCCATAATGTCAACTAATATTTAATTTGGAGATTCACAAACCTGAATTGAAAGTTTAAAAACTGGGTATGTTCCATTGATCGATATCAAAACAATTTTAAAGTGCAGAATAGTATGATAGTAGCCGTCTTCTTACTTGAATATCACTATATCTTTCAGGTTTGTTCTTCACTACTTTTTTTTTCATCACGAAAAAAACTCAAGTTCCATGATCATTTTCATACACACATATATCTCAATTGTCCTTCGCAAACTTGATCAATTTTAATCAGTTCTACCCCAGATTTACACCATAGTTGTCTTACTAAATTTACATACCAACTTTAATCTAATCCTAATATAACAGGAATTACTTTGGGGTGAAGTATATCTCCTTCGTAAGCATGGAAGTTATGCAAGGGATCTGCTTTTTCAATGCCATTCTGGGGTCAGAGGTCTGTGACTGGAAACAATAAGCCACCCTCCTGTTTACAACAGTGAGGAGACGCAAGAAATCCAGGTCTTTAAGCTTCTTGTCTTCAAGGGCACTTGACAAGGCTTGAATGAACCATGATCCATTTGTTGAGTTCCTCCAGGAGTAATAACCTTTCAAAAATGTAAATACATCTTGCAAAAATAGTTTAAGAAATATTGTTTGATGTGATAATGATTCTAAATCTCAGTAGGTACTAATGTACTGGATAGAGGTAAAAGATGAAGGCTACCAAAGTGATTTGTTATTCATGAATGAAAAAGTAGATTAATTTTGCAACTGATGTCTCACCTTTCCATGTTCTTGCACTACTATTCAACATTTATCTCCAAAAACCGATTACTACCTATGAATCAAAATCTCAGACACAGCAACACACAAAAGTGGAAAGCAGACTTATGGTGTGGAACAAAGCTTCTATAGGATGAAGATGTGGTACATGGAGCCAGACCCATAAACTTACCTGGAACTACTGAGTAAGCAACAAGGAAATCAGCTTCGGCAGGGATGGACTGAGTTCTAACAGTTCGGTCAACCTCCATCATACCTTCTGCATCTGCGACAGTTACGTCCAAACCGTCGTCGAACTGTGAACCTCTACATGCCTACAAATAAAAAGAAATGTCTCTCGATCATTGAACGAGTAAAACTGACAGGGAATGAGCAGGCCAATAAAACAATAAAGACATCAGAGAATTTCACAAAGAATATACTGTGTAAAAAGATACATAATTTTTGGAAGCATATTTTCAAATCTTCAGTCACTATTAAAACAATGTACTATCTGCAGAAGATAATTTATAGATACAAGTCTTCCTGAAATACCTCGAAGTTCAGATCAATAAGTTACTAGAAAAATTTAAACTCAAGCATTTAAAAAAAAAATATCAAGGTAAAATATTTAACAATGGTCATCAACCGTAAGCTAATCAGCACTTGCAAAATCAATCCTGAAATCGATTCCAGCAGTTATGTCGGGAAACTGATATAAATCCACAGATTATTTTAAACTAAAGACTACCAAAATTTTGCAGTGCGTTAACACTTGTGGATATAAGTTTTCAATATTTATTTTTACACAACAGCAGCCATTAAGAAAAAGAAGAAATCATATTTTAATGTTCTTATAGAAACAGACATTTAAATCAACCTTTAGAAACGTGCAACTCTTGATGAAATTTTCTTTATTTTAATCAACATTTAAAAATGTGCTTCTCTTGATTGAATCGTCTTTAAGTAAATATTACACTGTTTGAGAATATTTTTCAGTGGGTCTTTATCATTATCTGAATGATCGATAATCCTTCATTCGTGTATGATGTAATTTGCTCTTAACGGACCTGTATAGCAAATATTTTAGGTTTGCCAGCCAGACTTGGACATCTATCTCCTTTGAAGGGTTCAAAGAGTTTCTTGACCTCGACTGACCCCTCTGTGCCGAAGACTACCCCATCCTCACCATGGCTCAGGACGACGACAAACAGACTGTCACAGTCATTGTGATCTTCTAAAGATACTGTAAATACAAAGGCGGTACAGAATGAGGCATAAAAACATTGCTGTAATCATTGACCAACCGTTTATTTATATCAAATATCTTTGGCATTTCCTGACAAGACATGGATGATCGTAAATTCAATTTAAATGGTTAAGTATTGAAAACAACTCATCAAGAACAAGAAGTACTGATAGTATTATAAAAGTACTGTTATTTACTTTGAAAATGATAATGTTCATCATTAAGAAGTGGAGCCATGAAAGTAGAATTAACTAAAATGTAATTTCATTTATGAAAAAAAATTCATGTTACATGTCATTTGTAAGCTGGTAATATGTTACTATATCTTATTTTCTTATAAACAAATCTGTGGGTGAAAATTTGTCTGACAGAATTTCCTATTTTAAGCAGTCTCCACCATTAAACTAAATTTGAAAATCATTATTCAAGGCAGTACAAGAGATCTAAGCTTATCAACATTTAATATAATTTGACATTCTATCGACATTTCTTTACCATTAATTTGCTAGTCACATCGATTTTATAGACATTCCCATATATATCTTTATAGTATAAATCCTTTTTATTTTCAGAGATCAATAAGTAGGAATTGGTTAAATGTCCATTAAAATGGATTAAGTCCTAGTGAACATACAATTATTGAGAAGATGTTGCATCTTGTCTGCAGTCAAATTGTGTTCTAATGTGACGTCAAAGTCCAGTTCCTCAAGTCTCCGGTACATGACAGACGCATCTACATCTGTTCCCTTCCTGTCCCCAAGTCCCATGTTGCCTTTAAATTCTTTGTTATTAATAATAATGGCCTTCCCACGTTTAGCGTGGTCCATCTTGTAGTGTGGACTGTGTAGTTCTGCTTCAGTTAAGACTTTGGTCCTTGGGACTGGTCTAATATAGGAAGTAAAAACGAAATGATTGGAATTTTTTTTTTACAGATACAGGTACCCAACATACCTTGGGTAATAGAAAATACACTGAAATATTGATAAAACATATCTACCTATAATATTTGTTTATGAGATAAAATAAAAATTCTTTAGGAAATAATTTTTTTTAAAAGTAATATTTCTAAGGAAAATATCAGCTGTATGATGCTTTTTATGACCAACAAAAGCAAAAAAAATTATGTGACAGAAACAGGTAATTACAACCATTTACACAATGCTTAATACAACCACATTTTTGTGTCTAATCTTTCACAATTTTTGCCAGGAAAAAGCATGATGAATAAAAAAAATCGACAAATTTTGATTATAAAGGATAACAGCATACATTTTTAGGTCCTACTCTTCAGTGATGAAAATATATGACACACTAAAAATTCTGGATTTGATACCAAATGACTAATTTTGCAAAAGGTAAAGTAATCTTGTTATATGGTAGGTATACTGAAAAAATCACACTTGACCTTTACAAAGAACATTGTATGAAGATTGAACCCTATACCTAAATCAAAGTTAGGACTCAAAACGTATTCAAACAAATTGCTTGTATTATTCCTTACTTTCTAGTTGATCCCTTGGAGAATAATCCTGAATAACCAGTTCCATGTCTGGCATCTGTGTCAGACACAAGGTTCGGATTGGCATCTGTCGTATCTGAAGACAACACGAAATTTGAAATTTTACTTTGTACAATTCTGTATTAATTACACAATAAGCCCATGTTGGCTTATAAATACATCATAATTTCTGTGCTATAAAGTTACCAGGAAATACCATTATGATGTCCAGTAATAAGCCCATCCCCTGACTCTAATGTCTTATTAATTAGTACCTTGGGCATATTGCAAAGATATACAAGGTACTTGTATCACCACAAAACTAATGATTTGTAGTATTTATCTATCATTACCTAACATATACCATGCATTGTGTATGTTTCTGGGAAATGAAAAAAAAAACCAACGTTTTCTGATACACCATACATTTACTATTTGGAAAACAGGATGTGAGCAACCTTTTACCTGTTTTTCTTTCTAATTTTCATTTTTATGACAGAGAACACATATACTGATTGTAGTTAATTTCTTCATTTTAACACATATATAGCTGCTGTTTGGGCAGAATCTATTAATTCTGATGAAACCTCCTGACGAGATGAAACATCTTTTCCTATGTCCAAACAAAAACTAGTGTGCTATCATTTGAACTTTTAATTACATAATTTTTTAGACTTTATTTCCAACACCAGTAATTTTCACTCTATGCTATATTAGCATATAACTATTTCAATTTTTACACTTTACTATATTAGTGTGTATGTATAATAGACAAATTGTCCTTTAATGATAAAAACATTTGCACAAACTTTCGTGCATTCTGGAATATTCTTTATTATGTACCTGTAATAAATGTTTGAAAATCTTCTAATTATGTTGTGAACAATCATGTATTTTAACATATACCATGTTTTACTAACAAGAGGACTCAGTGGAAGATTAGCCTCAGCTAAACAGGTTCTTAATCCTCACGTAATAAAGTCTATTATTATTATCATTATTATTAGTTCATCATTAATAAAAATGTTTTTTCAATACTAAGTATATAATTACTAGTAATGTATGATTTTTATTTAAGGCAAGGGTAAGTAACAAAAATAAAAAAGATTACATATGAACGAAACGAATTAACATGTGTCCAGAGAAAACTTTGATTTAGAAACTTAATTTATTGAGGGTATTATTCTATTCCTCAATGAAGAAATAGCACTTTTACATATAAAAACACAATCTAATTATTTTCCTATGTTTTGGATAAGATGGATTAGATTGTAAATCACGTTAGTCAGTCACCCAAAGATGATAACTATTTCAGTATGTTACTCATAAAATTGATACCTGGTATTTGGTGTGTTTTTCATGAATGCTGTCTTCAGGAGATAAACTGAAACAGATTATTTTGAACTGACTTTCACACTCAACATAAACCGAAAAACATCTGATCATCCTACAGTTCTATGATATAAGTTTTTAATTTCTACACATACAACTTTTATGTGAATATCTTAACCACTATATGATATGACACAATGCACTATTATCAAGATATCGATAGTTAAGCTATGCAATTTGAAATGAAAATTATTTTTGTATATGTACATTTGAAGTCAAATTTTGGATTCTCAAGACGTGACACCATTTATGTCCTGATTATCCTATTCAAAATCAGGAACCGTTGATATATACTGTACATCTATGTATTACATTGTCAAAAACAATAACAAACACAACTACAGGGCTTGAGAGAATTAGCTCTAAAATTATATAAACATTCATATTAATTTCTAGCAGTCAGTCTTCCGTGACATTCTGGCAAGTTTTAGAATTATTAGAGACAGTAGGTATGTTGTAAATATATTTTAGTCACGGTACTGACGTCATTTAAGAGTGGTTTATGTCATGACAAGATCCTATAATGCAAACTGATACATACATAAGGACAGTCACATATATACTCAGCAGTTACACGGAGATGGATATCTAGCCTGGGGCTACAAAGGTCGTAATAGGGATTACTGAACAATGAAAACAAGAAAAATGTCACAAGAGGTTTGAGTAACAAACGATATCAGGTTTCATCCCTGGATCAGTTCTGTTGTTAACTAATGGAGAAGATATCACTTTGCGATGAAAACTACTTGGTTGAATAAATAGACATTATTGCAATGAATAGCAGACTCCTGATATATCACTGTATCCATGCAGTGAATAAACAATGATGGCATCATGCCAAATTATTTATAAGATATATGTATGTTTTGTGTGTTTTCACATAAATACAAGGGAAGAAAATCTGTTTTATACAGCATCTTATATAGAACATCTGTCTTTCAGTTTCAAAAATTTTATACCAACAAATGAGACAAAAAATATTGTCACAAAATGATAGGTATCTGTACCTGTAAAATAACAATGACGTTAACATTTTTACCTATTCCAAATTACACACCAATATCATTATTCCTGTACTGAGCTTGTCAAACAATCAAAAATAAAAATGGTACCAAACCATATGAAGACATAAATTTCGATATTTATTTTTAGAAATGTATGTCAGCTGTACAAATCCTAAATATTTATAAATAAACACATCCGTAGCGGCGATGTTAAAATGATCGAGTGAACATGTTTTAGTATACGACACGAATCCGGTTCAATATATCTGATTTAAATAAAATACATAACATGCATATATGTGTTCAGAATACATTTATAGGTTATGAACAGAAAAGAAAATAGGAAGATAAATAGGAGACGTAAATAAATCTAGACCAGTCATTTCCTAATTAATTTGATGACATGCTAAAAAGCAACGCATCACTTCTTCTTGTATTGTAAAAAAATACATTTAGACTAGTATGTGACTAAAACAGAAATCAAACATTACCTCTCTTCATATCTCCTTTGTCAGCCATTGTGTTGTAGTGAAATTGTGCCCGAAGAACTTCTGCAACTCGATGGTAACAGCTTACGCTAAGTTTCTATTTTCGGTTTAGATGAGTAAACTTCCGGTTGATAGACTACTTCATGAGTAGGACAAATTTTCCGGATATGTATTCGATGCTGTAGATTCGTAAATTGTTATTATCTCTGCAGAAGAAAAGTTTCACTTGTTGAATTGGCCTCAATGGATTGTCGCAAAAAATGAAATTTTCTTCAACCATTGAAACGTACGCTCAAAGCTCATAAATATTTTGTTTCGTACAAGGGACCTAACTCTGTCAACCTAAACTCTACAAGAACGACAGGCGCCATAATATGACGTCTAAACATTTTGCATTGGTCTACGATCTACAAGGTAACGTATCTGCAATGAACAAGAAAACATAAGGCATTTGTTTACCTTACAGAAAAAAATATTTGTTTTGTGACCAGTGATTGAAGAGACTGATGCGTTTAAAATACATCATGATTTTAACATCCAGCAAATTTGAATTCGTTTTTTTCAGACAAATTGTGTCCTTTGCCCAAACTATAGCAACGAACAGAATGTCTCTGAAATACCTAAAAGAAATTTAAAAAAAAAAGACAAAAAATGTTCTGTTTATAAAGTTGTGGTAAAAGAAAGAGGTCGTACCCTAAATGTTTGGTAACAGTAAAATGCCTTATCCTAAAGAGTGGAACAGAGAAATATATCTATATACTTTCCTAAGGTATGGTAAAAGAATGATCACCTTTCCAAAATGTTGTCAGAAAAAAAGAAGTTTTCCAAGCTGTATTTAAGCATGGTTTAACACATTCAAGAAAAATGTCCTGTCATAAATATCAAAAATATTATCCACAAGAGTATGAAAAAAGAAACTTTTTTATACAAATGTAGGATATAGCAGAAAGATATTTGACAAAAAATTCCTTACCTCATTTTCTATCGGCTACAGAAAATTGTCCTGTCCTTAAAGTCATGGTTGGACACACATGTTGTTTCCTATAAAACATTGATAATGTACGTCATTATCTCACAGGAATAAACAAACATCAAAATAACTTTTAGCATATTACTTAGTTATAAATTATATTGTATTGTTTAACTTTGATATGAAATTGTTAATAACTTTTAGTTAATGTTAAAAATAAGAATAGGCCATCATTACCTATGTTTAAAAGAAAATGGAGGGATAGATTTCACTTTTTAGGAGCCAAGGGTCCTTTTGCCCCCTCAAAAGATTATGCCTGTCACATTGTTGATAAAAATTCCAGGGTAACAGTCTTATGTCTTATAAAGTATTAGTCCAGAGCTATATTCAGTCATAAAGGGGCCTGATAGTTTAGACAGTTAAAACTAACCGGGGTAGAAGATCATTTATCAGTGTGTTGACTTCTTAATCACTGGATAATCCGGATATTTTCGATCTAAAACAGTTCCTTAGTAATCAAAGTAACCAGCTCCTTAGATCAACTGTAAAATTTCATTGTCCTTTTATGATGTCCAAAAACACATGTGTTTGAAAATTTCAAAAGTTTCGAAAAATATTTGAGTTGTGGCAATTAAAAATGAAAATGTATTATACAGCATAAAGAAAGAAGAAGTGTTGAAGTCATCAAACATCTATTAAAAAGATGACAAGGTTTTGATGCGTGATATAAGAATTTTTATAGAGCTACATTCTTAGTAGTAAAGATATGTAAACTGGTAAGGTCCAAACAGTATTAGCTCTTGTCATGTAGTTGGTGGTAACCGTTCTACACCTGAGATATGCACAGGTAAGTCTTTGGAAATGTCAATCAATTGAAATTGAGCATTAATCTAGTCTGATGTATGAAGGTAGTAAATGTTCTTCAAATTTGTAGTCAAAAAAGATATAAAAAAAATTTATGGATATCATGCTCGTTTTATCAAATGAAGGATCTGACAATTTCTTCGTCATTTTAGTGGCTGAATATATCTGTTAAACATATCATGTGTCTATTGGAAACTGCTTTCAGTATACATCATTTTAGTGGCTGAATATATCTGTTAAACATATCATGTGTCTATTGGAAACTGTTTTCAGTATACATTAAGGATTTCTGGTAAGGAGGTAGGATTTTTCAGGAAGAGAAATAAAAATGGTCATTTATATACTTATGAATATATAGACATATGTATTTTTCATATCAGTAAGTGATTTTAACATATTTTTTAGCTAATTAAGAAAAAAATAATGAACAAATATTGTGAATTGAAAAAAAATGTTGGCTTTGACAAAAGATTGTAAAACTTTGATGTAGAATTACATATACACTGTCACATTTGAAATAAAAGCTATTTTAAAACATGACAAATTTGAGAACATTTACCATAAATATTTTCAAATGCAAACAAACAAGAGGCTAACTTTTCATAAAGAGTTCTTGGCTTTTGAGAATTTCACTCAATGATGTTAGTGAAATACTTGTGTGTATACTGAAGTTGTTTGGAAACGGTCGAATCGTGTATGCCATATTAAATCATAAAGAGCCATTCATCCTTCTACCTCAGTATATATACTCTGAGCAAGGCAGTAAATGGTCTATCATTTCTATACTTCATTGAAAATTACAAAGGCTAGCTCAACAATAGCTATCAATATGATTTTCGTATGTGAATGGACATAGTGACGGGATGGTTAAAATTCACAGAGCATGAAAAAGGATTTGAAATTGTAAGGGACACCGAAATCTCAATCATGTTCATTTATCAACATTGATGAGTGAATCATTGTGATTTCAGGTAATTGATGAACATTCAATAAAATTTGTTGTAATGTAGTAATTTACAAAATATAACCAGAAGTAAAAATATCTTTTAAACATTTGAAAACTTTTTCTCCCTTTTTATTTTTCTGTAAAATAACTGTATAGTTATTGGGCGTTGTGATATATTTTTTTCAACAGCCATGAAAAGACGGTGGTGGAATTTGTTTACTCTTGCTTGTACGTTGACGACACTGATCTCTGAAACAGGTGGAATTTTTCGCTTTTGAAAGGTAAGGAAAAACTTTGTTGTTACTGTCGGTGATATATTTGATATAATATCAGTGTGGATGCTGTTTATAATCATGTCTAATGTCGAGTGCAGTACTTAATGTATTGGCTGAAAATTTAATGGTAGAAAATATATACGTCTCTGTAAGAATGTATGAAATCATAATTTCAGAAATTCTGTATGTTTAATGGAGACAAACATTTTCTAGTCGTCAGGATAATTTTTTCATTTTGTTAATAATATTTATATGTCCCTTTAGTAAGAATTTATTATATTTTTTTTTTTTGTTTGTTTGTTTATTTTTTTTTAATATATATAAATATAATATAAATATTTAATTAAAGCATTGTCTCATTAAATATTTATCTCAATTCCTTCAGTTCCGAAATTGATCTTTACCAAAGAAGGGTATCAGTTATTGAACTTCACACTATAAGACAAGTGCCAAAATTTTGTTTACCTGTACATATACATATGATAAGACTACCTACCTGTTCAAATATACATAGTAGGTAAATTGGTTTGAATGAAATCCCAAAAATGACCTGCCGTAGCAAAAAACAACAAGGCATCATTTTAATTGTTTAAAATTGTTCACACACACACCATTCGGTAAATAAATGTAATCCTGGTGTAATTATTGTTGATCATTCTGTCTGTACAGAGGACTGATAAAAGCATTTAAACAGTCTATTGTATATCAAAAAGACACTGCCTATCAAATGCTCCACCGATTTTCCATGGGCTTTGTATATGAAACTATGGCCCGCACATATATTCTATTAGGAAATACTCAGCTTTAGTGCAGTCTGTGTATTATAGACTTTGGTATCACTAGAGGCTATTTGGTACTAAAATGTTCACATTTTAACGATACAGGAAATGATGAATTCCTTATCAAAATGGAGCAGTACGGAACTTATGGTTCATGATTAATTTCTGATCAATTTTATCACGTTCTATGATAGTGAACTATTTGATAATGGAACTTATAAGTATTTGGATTGAATGTTAACAGGTAAGTGGTTTAAAGATATTAGACATTTTATCGTAACATGTGTAAATCTGTTAATGGGTTCAGGTAAATTTCTGTACATTATAATGAAAAATTTCATATCTATAGACAATTTTCACATTAGCATAGGCTGCATACATAACCAACAGATATTATGTACCCTTGTACTATTTCTTGGTAAAAACAGTCTCTGGTGTAGGATTAGGACTAATTTAAAAAAATGATGGATTGGTCAAGTTAGTTTCTGTACACACTTATGGTGGAAGCAGTGAGAGAGTTGAGTTGAATAAAGAATTTAAGTATAGACATGTTATTATCAGTTGTTCAGATCTTCAGCGATACAATAAAATTAAATATATTTACCTTGATGTGATACACTGCATGATTATCAAACGGAATTATTGTCAATTCCCGGAATATATGTCTAGAATGTAGAACAACCAGACCATTCACACAGTTTTGTATATTATTATTCATTTTATATTTAATCGTATATTGAAGTTTTCATTTAGGGGAAGGGTTGGCCAGAGGTTGTAGGGGTGGAGGTAGGGGGTGGGGGTTCAGGGATGGGCAAGATATATCAATTCTAACAGTTTCGTCTCAATGTTGGTGTGGACTTGAATTATTATTATGATATGTGATATCAAATGTTAAAAATACCCTTTTTCCGACACAATACGATTATTGTAGACAGGAAATTTTATCTTTATATTTCATCCTATAATAAGGCTTTAAGGGATCTCGAAGTCTTGAGCTTGTTATAGGACAATATGGAATGAAATTTATTGATATTTCTAATGAAATGCAATTGGATGAGCTTAACCAGGTATGGGTTATTGGTAATAACTTTATTACTCCTGCGGTAAAGTTAAAACTAGGGACTATTTTGTTACAGGAAGCAAACTCACTCAAAATAACCATTACATTGTATTTAAAGAGAAATAAATCTCTGTTCTGTATAATTACTAAGATAGTGATACTAGTAACATATACTGCTATGATTACATTACAGATCACTGAAGTAGTCCACCCACATGTAAAGTTAGGTAGCGACATCTGCATACAACGACCATCATGGAATCCTTGGCATCCCACTTGCCCAAAGTGGATGACAAGGCGTTGGAGTTTGATGTAGACATCCGAGATGGTCAGTTTAATCTTGAAGGCAGTTACTTCCTGAAGCTGTCGGTTCAGAGTCTGGAAGTGACCGATTACAGCAATGTTACTGTACGCAAGGGAAATGAGCCAATGTTCAGCAATGGCTTTAGTGCACAGACAGACACTGTCAGTCAAGTAGAATCTTCTAAAGTGTCACGGTTCCAGCAAAAAAAATTTCAGTTCAGACTTCCGCAAGGTAAGCCCAACTGCATTTGGAGCACTTTTCAAATGGTTTTAGAAATACTTTCAAAAATGATCTACATTGTTATATAACAATCCAGAAAAAGCAAAACATGAGAATTTGCCAGATGATAGGTGGTTTCAATAAAATCTTTTAATCTTTTTGAGCCATATGGTTGAATTTATAAATGACAAAGTTTGATAGCATTTGAAAAGTATATTCTCTTGAGCTACATATGGGAAAAAAACATACTGTGACACAAATTGAAACATAAAGACATTTATTTTATAGTTCTGGATAAAATTTGAAAAAAGATTTTTTCAGCATGTGAGACACTTGCTGCTGTTTTTCAATAAAACAAAGTAAAAATTGGTTTTTACTTTCGCTTTTTCTGTTTTCCAGAAACCGAAATTTCACTATTAAAGGTTCTTTGTTTTATATTTATTTTATTTCAGGTTTCTGTAAAAATGACAAAATGCACGATGTTTACCTGTTGGTGGAAGCATTTGTACAGCCCAAGAATGGAGGAAAAAGTAGAAAAGTTGGTGAGGGCAAGTTTGCAATATATCCCCGTCCAAATGCACCACGAATAAAGGCTGATGTTGATCCAGGGGAAGATTTTTACCGCTTCACGGATGTCCTGTCCCTGTTGCGAACTGTCAGTACAGACAGTGTACAGATGCATTGTGGGAGGATACGTTGTACCTATGCTCTGCGTGAGGTATTGCCACCTCGTCCTAAGAGCCCCGTTATCACGCCTCCACCACCGCGACAGGAAAAAATCACTCCAAGACGGGATCCACCTGTGAGCACTCCAGAGCCAACTCCGCGAGAGCAACCAAAACGAACTTCTCCCTGGGGAGAGAATATATCACTACATTTACCACCCTCTCCTACACTGCCACCTGCCAATGAAGGCAAGAAGGTATGTGTCCATAATGAATATAAGTTAATGGAAACATTGACAGAGAGGTATGTTCCTGTCAAAATAAACTACAAGCAGGCAAGTTCATTGATTTGTGCATAGTGGTGAAACATGCTTATGGATTTTATATAAAAGTGATAATTTCAGGTGTGTGTGTGTATTACACAGTAGAAGGTCAGATTATGTAAAATGGGGTTTCAATTACATGTGGATAATTATGTCTGTGTCAATGCAATGAAGATAGCAAATAAAATAAATTAGAAAATTATCAAGAACTTAATTGAGCATAGTCACGTCAAGTTTGACAGCAAGTTGGTCAATGAAAAGCACTGTTAGTTCATAAAGATATGAATTGCAGGAGCAACAAGTCTTTCCCAACTCTACGCCATGTGTTTAACATATATTTGAGAGTCAGAAGTAGTTTTATTTACGTTAAGGCACTGCCTTTTAAGTGATTTTTTTACAAGAATGCTGGCATAATTTCATAGTAGATTAGTGAACAGTCACAAACACACATACAGGGAAGTCTATATTTTTTTCTTATCATTTTCTCATTTGAATAAAATAGAAGTGCACAGATTCACCAATGCATGTTTGTTGTTTTAGCTCCCAGAGGGTCCTCTCCTAGAATCTGATCGGAAGACATTCTTCGTAGGTCAGACATATCGTCATGTGGCTAAAAACGGCAAGGAGCAAGTTGATGTGATTGTACACGGGTCCATGAGTCTACCATCTACACCAAGTGGAAATCCTCCACTGCCTTACCCTATCATGTAGGTAGCAAGTTGTCATACTCACTTTAGACAGATAATCGGTAGTTTAACCCTGGTGTCCACTTATGCCAAATACCCTGACCACATTTTGAACAGTGCCCAAAAGATCATAGACTCATGATTTTATAAAATGACCACTGCATAATACCTATCAGACCCTAGACTGAAAACCAAATTAATTGACCACTCACTATACTGGCCAGTATCAATCAGGTCCTAGACTCACTACCTTATAAACTGACCGCTCTATATACACTTACTGCCTATACCACTCTGCGTACTGCCCATCAGGTGCCAGACTTGTAACGTGATAAACAATCCACATGATATACTGGCCTACCATGTTCTAGACTTAAGACCTCATAAATTGACTATTCCATATACTGACGAGTACCTGTCAAGTCCTAAACTCACTCCCTTGTATACTGACTGCTCTATACACTACCTATCGGGTCCTAGACTCACTTCCTTACAAACTGTCCACTCCATGTACTGTCTAATACCTATCGGGTCCTAGACTCACTTCCTTACAAACTGTCCACTCCATGTACTGTCTAATACCTATGGGGTCCTAGACTCACTTCCTTACAAACTGTCCACCCATGTACTGTCTAATACCTATCGGGTCCTAGACTCACTTCCTTACAAACTGTCCACTCCATGTACTGTCTAATACCTATGGGGTCCTAGACTCACTTCCTTACAAACTGTCCACTCCATGTACTGTCTAATACCTATCGGGTCCTAGACTCACTTCCTTACAAACTGTCCACTCCATGTACTGTCTAATACCTATCGGGTCCTAGACTCACTTCCTTACAAACTGTCCACTCCATGTACTGTCTAATACCTATCGGGTCCTAGACTCACTTCCTTACAAACTGACTCCATATACTGTCTAATACCTATCGGGTCCTAGACTCACTTCCTTACAAACTGTCCACTCCATGTACTGTCTAATACCTATCGGGTCCTAGACTCACTTCCTTACAAACTGTCCACTCCATGTACTGTCTAATACCTATCGGGTCCTAGACTCACTTCCTTACAAACTGTCCACTCCATGTACTGTCTAATACCTATCGGGTCCTAGACTCACTTCCTTACAAACTGTCCACTCCATGTACTGTCTAATACCTATCGGGTCCTAGACTCACTTCCTTACAAACTGTCCACTTCATGTACTGTCTAATACCTATCGGGTCCTAGACTCACTTCCTTACAAACTGTCCACTCCATGTACTGTCTAATACCTATCGGGTCCTAGACTCACTTCCTTACAAACTGTCCTCTCCATATACTGTCTAATACCTATCGGGTCCTAGACTCACTTCCTTACAAACTGTCAACTCCATGTACTGTCTAATACCTATCGGGTCCTAGACTCACTTCCTTACAAACTGTCCACTCCATGTACTGTCTAATACCTATCGGGTCCTAGACTCACTTCCTTACAAACTGTCCACTCCATGTACTGTCTAATACCTATCGGGTCCTAGACTCACTTCCTTACAAACTGTCCACTCCATGTACTGTCTAATACCTATCGGGTCCTAGACTCACTTCCTTACAAACTGTCCACTCCATGTACTGTCTAATACCTATCGGGTCCTAGACTCACTTCCTTACAAACTGTCCACTCCATGTACTGCCTAGACTCACTTCCTTACAAACTGTCCACTCCATGTACTGCCTAGTCTCTATCATGTCCTAGACTCACTTCCTTACAAACTGTCCACTCCATGTACTGTCTAATACCTATCGGGTCCTAGACTCACTTCCTTACAAACTGTCCACTCCATGTACTGTCTAATACCTATCGGGTCCTAGACTCACTTCCTTACAAACTGTCCACTCCATGTACTGTCTAATACCTATCGGGTCCTAGACTCACTTCCTTACAAACTGTCCACTCCATGTACTGCCTAGACTCACTTTCTAACAAACTGTCCACTCCATGTACTGCCTAGTATCTATCATGTCCTAGACTCACTTCCTTACAAACTGTCCACTCCATGTACTGCCTAGTCTCTATCATGTCCTACTACGCCATAAATGAACAGTTCCATATATTTGCTTGGTGCTCATTAGTTTCTACACTCCCTTTCAAATTTGTTTTTGTTTTAAAATGTATGTCTTGATTTTATCAAAGGTCAGGGTACGATAATGAAATTAGATTTGGAAGGAATCCATTTATAGGATAAATGTAACAGTGATTAGTACCTATAATATGGTATTTCATTGGGATAACACTATAAAGTCAGTGAAAACATTAATATATATGTACATAAACATAGGAAACCTCTTTGTCAAGTCCATAACCATATTACTGCTGCTTGCCGTAGCTATTGAACTTCAAACAAATATACGTACTGATAAAATTCTGAACAGGAGTAATCTGTTGGTGTCACCTTTTATATGGAATGTTAATTATTGTATTTTGTATCCTTCAGTAAGAATCTAGCTGCAGACAAAAAGAAAATGGCTATTGGATCTCCAGGTCACACAACACTACAGCCCACACATGCGCCATCGTGGGAGGAATTACTCACCATTAGCATGACAGATGCTGAGGCAGCAGAAGATGGTAATATCAGTCCTTTTTAATCTTTTGTAAACCTACACATAAACAAAGGATTCCTTAACTAGATTGATATACACATACAAAAATATTCTATAAATGTTATGTTGGTGTGGCTTAATCATTTATTTTGTATTTACAATATATGATAATATACAGTACCAGGTATATTTAAAATAAAAATCTGAGGAGGTATTTTGCGGAACGGGTGTTTTCATCATTAATACCCATCAATTATCATAGTACTCTCTGAGGGAAAACAAATTCAGTTGAGGATTCTTAACAAGACATACATGTTGTGCTTACATGAGTGCTGGAAGCAGACTGGTGTTATATTCTGCAATGAGACTATGTGTGCTTCAAACTATAATGCCACCTTAAATGTTACACCTCAGACACTGCATTACATCTCTGGTCATTTTATTCTTAACTTTAGTCATTGAAAATCTTTGCTGCAAAAACTGATGGAAATTGAACCCAGGTCTTCTGTGTATCAGGCCAAATGTATTCAGCTAGATACTGGAAGCACCTAAATGTTTATTGGTTGACAACATGTTTTATCATACAAACAAAATATAATATTTTGACTACAATTGATTAGGAGTTTTTGAAATAAAAAAAAATCCTAAAAAGAAATTTAAAATTTAGAATGTGCGTCTATTACATAACTATTAGTAATAGATAGTGTTACATATGGCTGAAAGTTGATACAGCAGACATGTTTGTTGTAGAACATGTAAGCGATCAGATAAAGATATTCATCTGTATAGAATATATTGAATTTCACATAGAGTAATTTGACCTTGACTTCTTCTCGGCTTCTTTTAGATATAGAATTAAACAATTCAATAAAGACCAGTCACAAATCAACATAGTAAATGATCGACAGGAGAGAAGTATGGCATGTCATTTTGACTTCAAATTACAAAACCGGGGTGGATTTTTGATTAAATCTAATTTATCTAATCTCTCTCTCTGGCCCGGATAGAAGTGTATAAGAGGTCTTACTGTGAGGGAAAACTTGGGTACCTGCAGAAAACCCATGTGGTCAACAGTGGTAACCCATACCACATCGGTTTGGGGAATCAAACCCTGGACATCTAGGTGACCAGCAAATGCGTTACCATTGTGCTACCTTTTTTATATGACTTATGTTTTACGGCCCTTTGTCAGCCGGGGACATTTTGGGCCGAATAATTATCTCAACTGTTATAAAAATTAAATTAAAATCACTGAAAATCTGTGCCACCAATCAGGCATAAAGGAAACATAGGTAGACCCAGCATGAAAATGAGTGATCATTAGGTGATCCTTTTCCAGGTCTGGTAATAGATGTAATGTAATCTTTATTTGCATTGCAATTGGCATACACTTCATGGCCTGAACAATGAATAGGCAAAGGTGAAGAAATATACATGTAACTCATAGCAGACAGGGATATCTTTATAAAGCTCCCCGCAAGAGATCGTCTTGGTCTGCCCATGTACTGGAAGTTATAGTTTCGTTGAAAACATTCGAAAAGAAAGTGATCACTCTTTTGTGTGGAAGATTTGTTTGAGGTATAGATCTGTTGCAAAACTGAATGCTGTGAACCTTACAAAGTTTCCAGATATTGGAAGGATGTTTTTATGTTTTTGTAGAAAAACTGACAATTTACACAAGAGAGTTGACAAATAGTTAATTTCTTGATGACAAAATTGAAAGCATATAAACTCTTTACATAGCTGTAATATCATTTTGTAATACTAATGGTACATGGCACCAAATATTAGAGGGAGACTTGGGGTCTTATCAGTATGAATTATTCCAATGAACAGGAATAAATATATATTCAATATAATATGGAATTTATTTTTTTTTTTCATTTTATTAAATAACCATACTTTACAGTTTTAAACTGAACACTTGAATAAATCTGCAGGTGTTGAAACAGAGCTTTGATTGTTTAAATCTGTGCAATACATGTACATAGATTCCTTCTAGTTTATATACCACAGTTCTTCAATACTTTAACAAATGTACAGGTATCTTAACACCTGTTATCCTAGATATCTGTGTAACTGACGAAGACCTAATCTGTTTGCGATGTACATAAGATAGCCGTTAAATTCAGATCAATTCTATGTTCATCTGGTTATGACTCTTGCTTAAGTACAATTTAAATATCACTTATGCTTGTAGTATGAGATGTCCTCTAGTTCTTGAAGTGGTGTGTTATTTACTTAAATCCTTTTTTCTTCACTTTATCGTGAAAGCTATCAAAACCACTACTTACTGATAAACTTCTTTAATGGTCACTACTTGGCACTACAAAGAATTCTAGAATAAATATTTATATCAACTTTCGAGATGAATGAATCGAAAAAAAATGTTTTATATAAAAAAATATTTTTTAAATCGAAAAATCTTTAAAAGATAATATATGGATCTTTCAAATTTTTTCTTCGGTAGATAAAAATATATACTGGAGGTGTAGATTCAAATGGACATTTTCTTATTTCTGAAGGGAATTTATTGGAACAATGCTTTTAAATTACAATTAAAAAAGAAATTAACATATAATTATCTTAGGATGACAAGTGGAAATAGTTTTAAAAAATTTTACACATAATAGACCTTGATTATAAATAAATCTTGCTGCATTTCATATGAAATATAGTTGATATCCAGTGCTACTGTTGTAGGAAATGATAATTTCTGGAAGTGAAATATGAATTCATATCTGTTCATGCCTCTCCAATCCTGATTTTTGAAATTTTCATCCCCTTGAACTACTCATTAAAATGAATATTTCAAGCATGAAGTGTTCCTCCTCCTTCAAAGTATTAACCCCTCCCCCGCCCAGCTTATACTAAAATAGTTTACATCTTTTTACTTTCACTTTACATAACTATTACATAATTGAAATTGTATAACATTGTTCCCTTCAGTAATTAGATATTACACAAGATAATAAAAATCTTTAAAATGTAACCTCTTTGTTCGAGTTGAAAGTACATTATAATTGCTTTATACACTGTAAAACCTGTGCAATATGCACACACATGTAATTTTTACACATAGTTTTGGGAACTGAAATCAAAGATAAAATGTCTCAACACATATCAAATGTGCATGGAAAATTTCTGTCATAAGCGATGTCCAGGAAGCCCCCAAAATCTATCTGTGTCATTGTATTGAAACATCACTTAAAATCCAGCAGGAAATTTATTCTTAATGGAATAAGTTTATGTAAAATATGATATCTTACCTGTATGCTTTGACCCCTGTGTACTAAGATACCTGTGCATTATAGAATTGATGTGAATGGTTGACTTTTCTCCTACAATAGAATACCAGTGTGTTAAGTACAGTGAAATTTCTAAGTCCTTCTTTAGTTCTTATTATTGGTATTTTATTAAGACTCGTAACTTGTCTTTACCTAATTACAGACAATCCAAAGAGAGGTAATCTTGTACTGTTTTATTGCTGTCTAAGTTTGTATAAAAGGTAGATGGTGTATGATCTGTTGTGTTCTAACATTTGTGAAAGTACAATGAAGTATGAGGATTAACTTATACTGTTATATAGTGTACAAAAATGTGCACAAGAAGAAACAAATTATGAAATTAGGAGAATCTGAAGTACATACAATACGATTTTCTTGTCTTTGGAATGTGTTGCTTTCTTTAATTCAATAATTTTGAGTTATCTTTTTTCATTGTGAATGAAATATTCTAAACATACGCTCAGTATATGGGTTTCTCTCCGTGATATATATCTATATAAAAAAGTGAGTCATAATCAGGTACAGCATCTATTGATAAGTGTCTAGTTTGCAGCTTACCAATCATATCGGCAAAAAAATTGTGATAATTGTCAATAAGCCTATTCTTCTTAATAACCCCATACCTGTTTATGAGCTCATACTGTTAATAAGCCCACCCCTTTTAATAAGCTCACCCCTTTTGATAAGCCCATACATGTTAATGAGCCCATACCTGTTAATGGGCCTATACCTGCTAATAAATCCATACATGTTAATGAACCCATACCTGTTGATAAACAAATTCATGTAAATAAGCCCATACCTGTTAATGAGCCCATACCTGCTAATAAGCCCATACCCGTTAATGAGCCCATACCTGCTAATAAGCCCATACCTGTTAATGAGCCCATACCTGCTAATAAGCCCATACCTGTTAATGAGCCCATACCTGCTAAAAAGTCCATACATGTTAATGAGCCCATATATGTAAATGATCCTATACCTGTTAATGAGCCCATACCTGCTAATAAGCCCATACCTGTTAATGAGCCCATACTTGCTAATATGGCCATACATGTAAATGAGCCCATACCTGTTAATGATCCTGTCCTTGTTAATAAGCCCATACCTGTTCATGAGCCCATACCTGTTAACGAACACATACCTTCTAATAAGACCATACATGTTAATAAACCCATTCATGTTAATAAAGCCCACCAACATTGATTGAACTTTCATAAGAAATGCAAAATAAAGAAAGAAAATCTATCCTTGCCCTTTAACAAAACCAGCTCATCATTTTGAATAAGAAATTAGGTATTAGCCCCATGTAGTGCCACATTTTTCCTTGTCCATGTATTGAAATTTTCTATGAATTTTTTTTAGATAAAAATTGTGTAATCAGCACATTTAGCTAATGAGTATGTGGTAAATATTTTAAATAAGTTGTAAAGTCTCATTTGAATGTTAACAATGTGTTTCTTGTGCAAATGTAGTGAAAATTTGTATACATAAACCATTTGTGTGAAGTGTGCATTGTTTTGTTTTATCTGATGTATTGTGTAACAGTTTAGAATAACTGAATAACATTTGATATACAAAGGACGTCCATTTATCACCAAGAAAATCACACCAGAGGGTGGTAAGATATCATGGTATAGTCCATATATATATATATATATATATCCACTGCTTCTTCATTAGAACCATAGTTCTAAAGGCCAGATATTTGTAGATACAGTGCTGTTAGTATTTATTTTTGTACATGAAAATACTTAACTAAAAATTTTTTATTTTTGAAGAAAGTAGTGGTGGAAGAATGACATGCATTTAAAAATAATTTCTTATTGTTTTTTTTTTTTACATAATATTTAGTACTGTCCTTGTTTCTTTTTTAATTGTACGATATAAAAGTTTTATTAACCTAGGTAATCTGAGATTTAGAAAATTAAAATTGTACTCTTATGAACATTTTCTCTTATATGTCATTGAGTTGTGTTCACTTATCATGTACAGAATATAGCTAGCGTTTTTATATGCTTTAAATAGAAATTCAGCACGCAAAAAACATTTAATATCAACACTCATTTATGTATGTATACCAGTTTTCATGTCATGCAAAAAATTTAATGAAACTGTGTTTTCAAACTTCTCATATCAAAATGTAAAATTTTGAACTTTATGAAAATTTACTTTTTTAATATACATACATTTTCAGAAAAAAAGGTTTTCTTAAACAGATTTTGAAATATTTCTACTGCTTGCAGACAATATAAGAAAACATATTTTCTAGAAGATTACATTGTTTACTTATCAACAGTGCTAGTTATAGCAGTGGCTGATGGCCCGAGTAAAGAGAGACTTGCTCATTATGAGATCCCTATGGCATACCTAGAGCCCTTCCATCAGTATCACCTGGAACTTGTTAAGGTAAGCATTTTCTCCAGACCTAATATTTATGTAGAATTTCAAATTTATTAATTTTACCTACATAGATATAGTAAAATATCAATGGTCTTGTTTTCTCTACTGACAGCCTGTCCAAGGAATAAAGAGTGGAGTGCGTACCTTTGTCACAATCACAAGAAAGCTTGACCACCTCCTCAAGGATCCAGCATCTCCTCAGTACCTAGGACTTGAGGTCAGTATTGGCAAAAAGTGACCATTTTTATTTTACTTCCTAACCCTGTGTACGTAGGAAGAATTCAATTGGCTTATACTGACCGAAGGAATGAGGGTATGATAAGGAACTGCCAACTAGATTTTTAATCTTCAAGATAATTCTGACCATATTTTAGTATTTGATCTTGTCTCAGTATAGACATTGAACATCAAAATCATGTTTGACCTCAAATTTTTTTATGTACACTGAAAATTCGGACATAATGCTGTGAGCTTCAGTATTGGGAGCCACCCACATACATGGAACCTTTCAGTAAAATAACATTACTGGAATATAGCCGTAGTTAAATAAAAAGGTATATATCTTAAATGATGAACTGGATAAACTAGTTAGTTCCTGAATATGGATTTATGTTCACCATATTCCTGTTTCTAGGTCTTTGAGGAAGTTGCAGATTATGTCGTTCCAACTCTTTAAGAAATGCCATCCTGATATACATTGCTTGTTGAGAGATTGACTTCCAAATATGTCATAAAACACAGTGTGTAAACATATATACACAGTTTCATTATCACTTAGATGAGAAACTAGACTTAGTTACTATATATATCGTGCAATATCTACATTTTAGTGGGGTTTAGAAATAGAGGAGCCAGTATATTTACAGGTATTTAACGTATTCACTTTCAAACGTTTATTGTTGTCGTGTTAATTTCTGTCTGTTTTTCTGTTTTTATTTCTTTTTGTATTTTTGAAAAAAAATTAAATGTTCACCTGTTTTGGTTATGGATTATTTCTGTTACAGTTTTGTAGATACGTTACAGGAAACATGCATGCAACACGTTTTTTTAAAATATTGTGATTCTTATTTTTTGTATTATGTGGCGTAGAAGAGAAAGATTTTTTAAACATAAATATAAGGTATAGATAAATTTCAACTTATTGTTTACTGTTTATTTGTTTTAAAAACATTAATTACACAATGTAACTGTGAAAATGGATGTCATCAGTATTTAAAAACTTAACCTAAATTACAAATCTGAAAATTATAATATAGATTATGCAGTCCTACTTTCTGGGAGACTGCAGAGTCATTGATTGATATACAGTAACACTCAAACCAGAGCATTTAGCATGTCTGAAGGTAAAAAATAAATGAATGTTTCGTATAACATAAAGTGATTGTTTGGATTCAGGTGATGTTGAGATCAGTCCAGAGACCGTTCAGAAATCCACTGGGTCCACTCATAGCTGTGGCTAGAATGGTGCCAGACTACTATAATTATAAGTAAGTTTTTGCTCATCAAATATTGATCTATAAAAATATTTTGAACCTTATCACTTTTTTTTGGAAAAAACAATTTGTTAAGATTGTGCTCACACTACAGCATTTCCCGATGACTATATTGTTGAAAAACCTTTATTTTTTTGTTAAGATTGTACTCACAGTACACCATTTCCTGATGACTTTATTGTAGAAGTGACAATCTACTGTCCCACCCACGTACTGCTGCCGTTAGTATGACAAGTGTAACATTTCCCTCTCCTCATCCTGCCACATTTAAAATCCCACCGAGGACTAAGCATGGCTACCCACAGGTAAGCACATAATGATTTTCTCAATACCTTACTTGAATGAGAATACAAAATATTTTCTCCATCTCATCCAGTCATGCTGTCTGTCCTGCTCTCTTCAAGGCCTAACTATCCGTACATGATACTTCACGTTCCTGTTGAAAAAGCTTTCATCTGTCCATCTTTCTGCCTTCAAACTGATAACTTCACACAAATGAACAAAGAAATCTTATGACATCTCCATATTTTCTGTCCTGCAAGCTTCATTCTTAATGAGGTATTGATGATGAAGGTCATTAGAGATGATGTCACAATCTCCTTAATGTCATGCCTTCAAAACTTTAACCAAGGAAATATATTTACATAGCTTCACTCATATGTTGTAGCACCTATTTACCCCATTTAAAGCCTTCACCCTCTGTTGTACTTTCAAACTCCTAAAGAAATTCCGTTCACAAGTAAAAAAATTCGGAGGTTTACATGTATGATTCTTGTTTCTGATGTCTAAGTATTGATGTTTTTATAGATTAGTTTACCAGGGCGACCCGATACCCAGCCATTGTGGAATCACCCGTACTTATTCTGTGATGAACGAGATAAGGCTACCTTATTCACACCTGGAGCTGCTTTAGTCATAGAATACTACATCGCCACTGCTGGTATGACAAAGTTTCATCTCTTCTTTATTAGTATAATATTATTCATTATATCACTTTTACGATATACAATATAAGGTTAGTCTTTCATATACATGTAATTCAGGTATTGATAAAAACAGAGCTTTTAGCACTGAATTATATCTAATTTGTCAATCCTCTTTGCTTCATGTGCATGGAAAATATATATATAAGAGCTATAGTAGTATATATAATTAGTATCGTCTTATGTAGTACTTTGTCGTTTTTTGTCACCTAGTTGGCTATTTTGCTTTGATCACATATATAGTGTAAATATGATCATATACTTCATTATTCTGTAACCAAAAAACAAAGAAAGTAATACAGAATTTTGACTCAAAGTCAAGGAAGTGAGTGGGGGAAGGTGGGGGGGGGGGGGGGACTTACAAGATAATGAAATTGCTTTTGTTGGCAGGGCTATAGAACTGGATTGGATAAGGATGGGTTTATTTCCAGCCATGTGTTTATTGCTTAAATTGATGGCACTTACAAAAACATTGTTTCATTTTTGTCTCTTAACTTCAAATTTTTTCACACCCTCACACAAAATGATTTTAACAAATAAACTTCACAATTCAATATTTTTGAAACAAATCAACGCTTGTCTCTGATATGTTATGAAACTGAGTTCAGTGTAGTACTCAAAAGGATTCATTTAAAATCTAATCCATACTGAGAACTGGTGTCAAAATAAAAAAAAATTGGAACAAATGAGATGTTTTATCCCAATGTAAGGCCAATATTTCTGTTATGTTTGAAGTCAGAATTTTGGCGTAACATTTTACAAGGATATATAAATACATGTATCAGTATTTTTATGACATTTCTTACAGTTGCCATGCCTTCTAGTAAAAGCAGTACAAATTACACGGGTTTGTATTTATCAAGCTGTGGGATGATCTTTATATATATCTATACTGTATGCACTGTATATCACTCACATTTCACAAATATTTTATTTCCCATACTTACCTCTGGAGACATATTTCCGAATAAGACTTCATGAAAAGTGGTCTAGAATTGACTGTAAATTCGTGAATGATGGGCTATTAGATAAATGGACTCTGATATCGGTGACCGAATCAGCATCAAAGTCAGCATGAGTTATTCGTGTACAAATAATCGTGAGGGATTTGAATTCGCAATTTCTTCTCCTAACACAACATTATTGCAAGAATATATCCCATTGGAAATGTAAGTAATTTACAGTGCTCACTATATATGTGTATTTCATTTTCTGTCTGATATACAAGTACAGTCAATCTTCCTTATTAAAAACATGTCACAGATTGAAATTAGTTCTTTAATTTTTAAACTCACATTCTCAAACATGATACTATACGAACTCTTACTGCCTCAGTATTTTCCTTCTTTGGCCATATATAAGTTCAAGTTTGTTCAGAAGTAAGTACATGAACTAAGGATTGAATCTACTCTAACAGACGTTAGTATTGGCTCAGTCATGGTGATCTTGATGTTTTGTGATTTTTACTACTTAGGAAGTTTGATTGTACAGAGTAATAACAGAACTCAAAGGAAATAGCTATTTCTTCAAACACTTGGTGAATGAAAATTACTGTATTTTCAAATCTTTGTCAGATATCCCAGTTATTACAATCCCTGTGCTTTAGGCACTGACCACTCATTACAAATAGGCTCATCCCTTTCATGTGATTTAAAATGCTGATAAACAAGAAGAAAAACTGTCCACAGCTTCCAAATGACGATGAAAATATTGTAGAGACTATGCCTTGTCACTCTGATCTAACTAAAGACATACAACAATTCAGCTATAGCCAGCCAGACATGTGGCTTTCTTGACATGTGTGCATTACGAGCATCCAAAGTCTGACTAACTTGAGGTTTTTTAATGTAAAACCAATTTTCATAGGTAAAATACTTCTCACCACTGTGTCCCCCATCCCTACCATGTTCGGCTGTGCTAGATGGGCTGCCTGGTTGCTAGTCACCACTACGGTAAGACAAATTCGCATACTAAAGTTATGGTAATTATTACTGAAATGAAATTGAGGTTTTTTAATGTAAAACCAATTTTCATGAGGTAATACTTACCATAACGTTATGCAGTCCCACCCTATCCTCCCCTCTTCCTATCTGCCTGGCTGCCCCTCTGCGGGTGCCCCATAAAGGCTAAGAGGAAGGGAGATCACTCTATGTTCCTGACGTGAAGGCTCATGGAATCGTAGGGAGGGCGCGATTTTTTAATCTTTTGTTTTTGGAATACAAAGATGGGTGTTTGTACCATATTTGCATACTAAAGTTATGGTAATTATTACAGAAATGAAACTTGCCTTTCACTAGCATGATTTGAATCCTCTATCGTGGCAATTCGTTGCTACTTAGGTTTCTTGTCAGAGTGAAACCCTGTAAGTGCTTCCATCCAGACTAGGGTGGTTCAGTCGATAGGGTATCGGCCTATAAAACATCAACATTGGAGATGTTAAGACTTGATGTTTCTTACCTGTGGAAGTTTGTGTTTCAAAGGAAAACAACACATACTAGTTCATGCTGTCATGGTTGTGTCTTTGGGCTTAATACTTTAACCTAATTTCCCAAGTCACCATGTGATGGATCTCCAGCATGTTGTTCAGTGAGGTAGCTACTACCTACTCCAAGGAGCAGTGAAAATAACCCTTTTGGCAATTAACCCAGAAAACAAATAGATAAATGTTAAATGTTAAAATTAAGGTATTTATAATTGAATGAATACCACGTTAAGGATTTTGGGGAAAAAATATTTAGGATCTTCTATCTACTTATTTCCAAATGAGAACCTTTTAGGGCATCACATGATGTTTATGATGGAAGCACTGCCTGTGAGAAGCTGTTACTAAGTGTCATCATGAAGCCATTGTCATTTCATTAGGTAAATAATCAAACTTACATGTAGCTCCCATTCTTTCATACAAAGACACATTTCAGTGATACTCTAAAGGTCCCTGGAATCAATAGCTGATCAACCAAGCAGAGAGCAATATTGATATTCCAATGGTAAATTTACCTGTATACCCAAAATGTATAAACATGTAACTAATGATGGGAAAAGGCCTCAATTTAAGATTTCCTCAAGTCGAGATTTTCCTCAGCTGATATCTCCTCGAAAACGGCTTTGTGTAAAATTTTCTCAAGGAACAGGAGGAAGTCATCGGCTAGGATGTCCTGAAATTCCTTGAGGAATTTTCATACAAGGTATTTTCAAGGAGATATTAGCTGAGGAAAATATGGGCTTGAGGAAATCTTAAATTGAGATATTTTATACAAGTGGGGCCAGATAACATTTTGGTGATGGTCTTTTTTCTGACAGGTGCTTGAAAGGGTACATCGTTAAAACTGTTTGTCTGTATATATATATATATATATATATATTTATATTTATATGTATCTGTTGATGTTGTGTATAACAAATATTAAAATGTGTATTTTTCGCAAATATATTTATTTACATCTTATTTTATCAAAATATATTTAAACTTTGTTGTGTGAATTATGTAATTAATATTGATTACTAGAATTTAAATAAAACATAAAAAACATCAAAATATTTTCCCCTACAAACTATGATGTTGCATGTTGATATTATATAACATATGTCGGCAATATTTTTTTCTTTAAGAAAAACGTTTGTTTTCTTTCTCTTTAGTGATCCTACTGAAAATACAAACTATTGAACAAAGTCAATTACTTTCATAAGCACAGTCGATATAACATACCCCTGTAATCAGTACAGCTGAATCTCGATATCACATACTCACAGGCACCATGGGAAAACTTCAAGGTAACCAAGCATTTGATTTAAGTGAGTTTGAATGTTTTGTGTAAAGTTAGGCAACGACCAACAAAATGCTCCAGAATTAAACGGGGTCTTCGAGTTATACGAGTTTGAGATAACGAGGTTCAACTGTGTTATCAAATTGTATTAAACCTCCTTCTTTTTCTTCTTATATCTGTTAAAAGTCTTTAATACCTTTCTTACCAATCTGGTTTTCTTAAGTCATATTTGTTTCTCTGTTGTATCATTTTTGTATGGTATAACAGTACATATATCTGCTTACTATTGTCTACAACCTTGTCAGTAGATATTGAAAATAATGTTTATCTATTGTAGACTTACTGAGTCATCATCTCTGAATGTTATTTGTTATTTTCTTTACCCAATTTACTACTGAGATAGCGATGAAGATAAATTTGAGATAGTGATGAAGATGTATTTAAGATAGCGATGAAGATGTATTAGAGATAGTGATGAAGATGTATTTTAGATAGTGATGAAGATGTATTTGAGATAGTGATGAAGATGTAGTATTTGAGATAGTGATGAAGATTAGAGATAGTGATAAAGATGAAGATGTATTTTAGATAGATGTGATGTATTTGAGAGATAGATGTGAAGATGTATGTATTTGAGATAGATGAAGATGTAGAAATGAAGATGTATTAGAGATAGTGATGAAGATGTATTTGAGATAGTGATGAAGATGTATTTGAGATAGCGATGAAGATGTAGTATTTGAGATAGTGATGAAGATGTATTTGAGATAGCAATGAAGATGTAGTATTTGAGATAGTGATGAAGATGTATTTGAGATAGCGATGAAGATGTAGTATTTGAGATAGTGATGGAGATGTATTTGAGATAGCGATGAAGATGTATTTGAGATAGTGATGAAGATATATTTGAGATAGTGATAAAGATGTATTTGAGATAGTGATAAAGATGCATTTGAGATAGTGATGAAGATGTATTTGAGATAGCGATGAAGATGTATTTAAGATAGTGATTAAGATGTAGTAATTGAGATAGCGATGAAGATGCATTTGAGATAGTCTTAAGATATAGTTTAGATAGTGATGAAGATGCATTTGAGTTAGCAATGAAGATGTATTTGAGATAGTGATGAAGATATATTTGAGATAGTGATGAAGATGTATTTGAGATAGTGATGAAGATGTAGTATTTGAGATGGCGATGAAGATGTATTTGATTTACAGTAGAAAAGATCTTTTCATGGAATTCAATTAAAGTATGGACCAAAAATTCATCCAATATGGAAATGAAATTGCTCTATAATATATGTTGCTATCGGTAAAACTGTCAAATTTTAAGAGTCTCATAAATAGGCAGGGGGATAGTTTTGCCTCCTTTTACTTAACATTTTATGTATTTTGATAGTTAAAATTTCAACATCTGATTTGATGGTAAAAATCACAAACATTTGAAATAAAGTGAGCAATCGGAGACTGCATTCAGTGCAGTTTCCCTTAGAAATTATGCTAAAATGTCCATGATATCTTGCTTCAAAGATGTTATAAGAAACTTTACACTCACTTATAAACAACTTCATGTAAACAAATAGAGGTTGTACGTCTTTATAGTCATAATATGCTCAATTCATCCATCTTATAGGAGATAAAAAGTCAAATTTATTATTTAAATTTTGAAAGGTTATAGTTTAAGTTGTAGGTTTTATTGTCCAAACTATGTATCTAAAAACAATTTTTTTCCCGCCTGTAGCGATGTCGGACCAGTTCTGGAAAGTCCGCAGCCCGATTGGCTACTCAGCTGTTCTGATGGACAAGGATATATATTCAGAGCTGATGTCAATGCGTGGAAAACATGGCCTTAGATTGGAGGGCGTGCCTATCCAGGTAGGATACCAAAACTGACCTTTAACCTTTTTGAAGAAACTATGTTTTTTAAAAATGATATAATTGTAGTTTGACAGTATGTTTACTTTTTTTGATTTTTTCATCGTTTTCTTTTTATGTTACTTGTGTTTTTTATCAGCAGGTAAAATTTACAGGTGAACAAAAGTGAATGTGACTCAAAACTTAAACATTGTATTATCCCCTGAAATAACAGTGTATCCTGCACCCATTACATCAGTCTTAAGTTGAAAGTTAAGCCAAAAATAAGTTCCAGAAATCTTTCAATAAAAAAAGTTAAAACATGTAGTTAAAACAAATATAATCATGTACTGTTTTTTTTTTCAACTGTCTTACCTTGTTGGGTCTCATCATTGATTTTTTTATCAACTTATGAAAGTCTCGATAAATTAAGGAATTAAAACTGTATATTCATCAGTATTAAAACACAGCTTAATGGATAAAAGATGCCATAATATTGATATAAAATTGTATTATATGAGTGGAGACATTTTGTAAAAGTGTTAAAAAAAAAAAAATATATGTTAGACTAATTGTTAAAGGTTCGACTCTGAACCCTAAAATTCTGTAAGAATTTAATTTTCATTTCGGATGCCCACTTATAAATCAGACCAGATTTAATAGTATCATACTATACTACCCAAGGTAGTTAGTTAAATATCAGCTTGTTCACAACACTGCTTGCCAACCTATTCTTATCAAGTACCCATCCATGTTAATGCCCTTATTGCATGTTATTATTGAGAATGGGTACCCATGTAGTGGGAAAATCGATCAGTGACCGATATGGATTGATTATCATACTTTTAGTAATGAGAAACTGATTTAAGACAGTATTTAAAATCCTGTTCTTTTGAAAGGCTATACAATTTTTTTTTTCGTTCGGCCTTTTGAATCATGCATATTTGAAAAACTGCTGTAGAAGATTTTGATAATCTTATTCAGAATTACACACCAAGTATCCTGTAGAACCAATCATTTGTAACGGATCAAGTATTTTCAGATCAAATAATTTTTGATGTATAAGAATATTACTTTTGTAATCATATTAAGAGTACAAAATCTATATAATTTCAGTTTCTAGATGAGATATTAGCGGAATACGAGGTGGAGTATTTTGATGTGTGGGTTGTTTGCTGTGTACGATATGTATGTGCATGTAAAACTGTAAACTCATTTGTCAATAAATACATTTGATGTTTTCATACCTGTAACATGAATACTATTTCAAGAAAGAAAATATTTATTTGACAAAGATTGATAGCTACGAATTATCTATGAAATTTAACTGCCTTGTATCATAAAGAAATTAATGAAATATCTTAAAAATGATTTTCAAGTGACACTGTGTTTGTGGTTTGTTGTTGTATTACAGTATGAATATGGTTTGAATTTGTAATATAGAGGTGTGTAATGTAATAAAGCTGATGTTTAATGTTTCTTGTTTATATGTATAATTCAGTCTGGACTCGTGTCCCTACTTAAGTCTCCTAAAATTTAAATACCTTGTGCAAAATTGAATAAACCAAGCCATGAAAGGGACAAGACTTGTCAGACTAGAAGTAGATGTAATTAAGTAGAATGAGAATTTCTGACATACCATTCAAATATAACAAAAAAATATACTGCTTTGGCCATACTGCTGTTACATACAGTATATGTGTCAAACTGCTTTATATAGCTGTATCCGACTTCAAGAACTTGTTCATGGATCTTAGGCCAAAAGAGTTGAATCGTAGGAGGCAGCTGCGGAAAAATTAAAAATCTTTTAAAGGAATTTTCAATCTGGGGAGATGTGTTAGCACAGAAATTCATTTTTGTCATTATAATTTTCAGAATGGGATGATCATGTGTATATTCTGAACTGTGTCACTATTCAAATAAAGTAAAATTAGGCTATAAGATAACAACACATGTAGAATATTGATTAAGTGTCCCCTAGGGTTGTCTGTTAGGCTTGATGAAGACACACACACCTTAGATACCAACAGTTATTAATATCTGCTGTTTGCTATAGACAAACACACCTTGTCATTACCTCAATATTTTCAATTCAAATTCAAAAACAAATATTTTCCTAGCTGTGGAGTTTTCTGTAAACCACTTCATAGCATTATTATAAGCAACTCCTACAATTAAACAGTTCAATCCCCCTTTTTCAACTTATAGAAAATTATAAGAGTCTTTAGTATCTATGCTTGTAATGCAACAATAGTATACTTATTCTAAAATAAGTCTGTGATAGGAAATAAGCCCATCCATACTCATATTACTATTTAGTAGAGTCACAAACGAACACAAATTCATTGTCCTGTAATTAAATCACCTGCTGTTTCAGTGGTAATGTGTTGACAATATGGTTCTGAAATAAGCAAACCCTCCATCTTTGTTTCAATTGTGATGTGTTTGTGCCCTCTGGTCCTGTAAAACGCCCATCCTCTAACTCTGTTTCATTGGTAATGTATTGGCACCCTCAGGTTCTGTAATCAGTCAACCCTCTAACTGTTTCAGTGGTAATATGTTGACCCCTTTTGGGTCTGTAATAAGCCCACCCTCTCACTCTGTTTCAGTGGTAATATGTTGACCCCTTTGCTTATTGCAAAGGCAAGTTAATCATTTTAAAGAGGGAACATTTATGCTTTGCATTTTGTCTGTAGAAGTGATGTTTAACTGAGGCAGAATCTTAATCATGCATTGACCCCCAAGGGGCCATGATAGATTGGAAGGACCTAAGGAATATTCATCTATAGTTGTTGAACTTTTAAAACAAACAAACAAACTAATTTTGTTATTTGTGCACAAGTATTGTCCAATGTGTTGTAGTGTAATAATTTGAGGTTATGGGACGGTAGGGAGAGCCTTTTGTTTCTGGGCTACACAGATGGGTTCAGATACTATATTTGCATACTAAAGTTATGGTAATTATTCCTGAAATGAAATTCATGTTTCTGTTTCAGGTCTATCAGAACATTCTATATAGCCATCCACACATTTTATTTATTTAGACAACAGGAAAGAAAAAATAAGAATGAGAATAGACCATGTTGATACTTGATCAAATTATATCTCTGATTTCAATGACTTGATCCTAAGACTTTGGTTGTGTGTGTCAGACCCTATTATCTATTGGTTTTTAGTGACATGCACAAATAAGTTATTTCCACGGAAATTTTTCATGGGAGAAAAAAATCAAGAAATGATACAATTTGACAATTGTTCTATACGTAGATATGAATAAATTGTTTTTCTTAAAGAACATTTAGTTCTATAAATAACAAATACCTTCTCTGTACATTCATTCCTCTCGGAGAAATTCACATATATTTATAGCTCTAATACATACAATTTTTTTTTAAATTGGAATTAATTCTGATAAATTTTCTTTTGTTTGTTTACTATTTGCAGTTTAGGTTTATAAAGCAGGTTTGTAAAGAACAACAATAACATCAAGGAATGGGATTATAATTAAAGATGAGGTAAATTTTCCTGAAATGATGATAAATAATTTTACTAAATTTTCACAATAAAACCTTATACTTGTTTAAGAAAATGAATTTTAATACAAAAATTACATGTAATTTTCTTCCTTTTCATCATATATTGTAACGTGTCTCATCAAAAATCCAATAACATTTTTCTTTTAGAAATAAAATGTGTTTCTAAACTTGAATGTTTTATTTATCAATTTTCAAGATAGTTTACCTCATATAATGTATATTCTTTAACCATAAATATATATCTGTTTGATGAACCTGAACGGATTTTTACTGTACATGTATATTTATGTGACTGTATCTTGGATCAAGCTCTTCAATACTTCATGAAATCTTACCAAAAAACAGTTGAACTACCTCCACTTAAATAGGTTTGTTAATCTCATGCAAAAAAAAAAAAAAAAAAACATCCAACATATTTTTTTTCTCAGTTTATCATTTCTATCTTTTTTTATGTGTTAATTTTTTTCCCAGACAAACAGAAATTTTATTTTGGAATTTATGTGAATTATTAACAGAAACAAACAGTAAGGGGTGTGATTATTGTTTTTGTTTTTTGTTTATTTTTCCAAAGTAAATATATCCTGCAAATTTTGATAAAAAATATATTAATTCAAACATTAAGGAAACTGAAGTATTGAACGGCTTGTTCCTTATGTGTTTAATTTCAACTAATGACATTGTTGTTGTCTGTGATTTTACATCAGAGAACCCACTCTGAGATGACCTGGTTGGTGTATGGATTAAATTCTCTACAATTCTCTGTTTATTTTAGTAGAAACATTCATCTTATATTCTTGGTGGATATACTCACTGCCTATCTAAGATTTTCTTATGTTAAGAATAATAAGTTTAGACTGAATCTGTTGTTTCAAATAATTATTCATCAATTCTGTATCAGCTCAATTTTCCCTCTAAAAGAATGGATGCTGATGGTATTTTTGTAGACGTAGTTATGGAAAGTAATTTTTGAATAGTATGTACAAAATTATCATAATTTATGATAAATTTCACACCTATCAAAGTAATTGGTCCTCAATTTTCATGCTTTGTGTAATTATGGAAAGTAATATTTCAGTACCAGATTATGATAAATTTCACTTCTATAAAAGTAATTAGCCCTCATTTCTTAGAATTTGTTAACAAAATTTTCTTATTTATCCAGTGAATGGTGACGGTCCTTAACACTGATGTTTACATGTTGTTTTAATTGTTTTAATCAACATTATATTCAATCACTTTAATTTTCAACAAACCAATAAAAAAATCTGACATATATTTTAATCAACATTTTATATATATATATGTGACCTACTGATCGTAATCAAATTGAATTTTATTCACAATTATTAAAATCTAAATACTTTTTTTGTGTTGAATTATACTCAGTGTCCCCATGTATGCACTCATTTTGAAATATTTTATGTACATGTAACAAGGAGTGCAAATGCTGTTTCTATAAGCTTATCAAAATTTGAATGGAAAGTTTATCATCTTAAAAAATGACTAAAATTCCTCTGATTCTTTGATAATCCATTTTGAATACGTAAACATGATGCAAAAAGCCGATTGTATGTAACACACTAGATAATGCCAAGTTTTTAAGTTTTAAGAACGAACATATTTTAGTTTTAGGAAATGTTTAATTTTGAGACAGGCATTTTACCTCAGTTGATTGATTGACAGGTTTTCCGTCTCTGTGACCACTCCCGTGCCCGGGTATGGTCTCACCGACGAACGTGTTCTGGTGGAACGCTTACCTTTGTCCTTAGGTGTTCTAATTTCAGTGGTTGAAGAGAGATAACTTTTTTTTATACATTCTTTCCAATGAATGTTATTGGATGTGTTGCAGAAAAACAAGCAAACCTTTTTTTTTTTATTCTTTGACTTTTACTGAATTTTTTTTATTCTCATGCAAACAAAAATAGACTTGACATAGAAAATTTTGCAGACTCCATGCTGTTGTGTATATTATCTTTTTATTTTAAGAAATCAGGTGTAGATTTGTCTTATGTTGTTAAAATAAATTTTGACCCTGAGTGTTTGATTCTTTTGAAGGTTTTTAAAGATGTTCTAACTGTAAGTTATATGAACAATTCTGTAGCTGCATGTCACTGCACGGTAGACTTTCTTTGTGCTGAGATTTTGTCCTAAATTTGAAAAGTGCACTCTTGAGTAGTGAAAATATATTGCATGCCATGTGACTTTATAATTCTGTTTAATCTATGCACCATTTTTTCTCTAAATAGAAAATTTTACTAATTCTCTTTGATCTTTTGATTTAGTGATTTTTTTATTATTTTCTTTCGGTTTTTAAATAACTTCGTAAACTTATTTGTAAAGAAAGAAAATGTACACAAAGAAATAAAAAACCTGGTTTAAAAAAAAAAAGTCGTTCATAATTTTAAAGATTTGATTAAAATTTGAAAATATTTCATAAAGATTAACCATTTTTTTATAATATGAAACTGTTGCCTGTGTTAAAAAAAACCTACCTGGAGTAGATTTAATATTTCATTTCTACAATGCATGTTAATTATTAACATGCACCTGTTTCTGCATGACCTCAAACAGTGATAAGTTTCCTAACTGCATGATATAGATCTATAAACACATTGACTGGCTATTTAAGACAGATTGATTTTAAACGTTTTCCTGTACCTTTACAAACTAAAAGCACTTCCAGTAATTTTTTGTTTAAGATTATCATCTCCTCTAAAATAACAGATTGTTGGTTCTCGTCACATTGATGTCTATGTGGGGACATACTTGTCTATTATGATTTATAGTCGTAACAAAAACATCAAATCTTTCCTCTGTCAGAAATGGACAGAACATTTGTTCAAACTTCAGCTTTCAATGAAATAATCCATTTTAGACAATTTGTATTTCAATCTGAAAGTCAAGAAGGGGTGGGGGTGTCTAGTTTTGAATTGGTTGTGTATTCCTTTTAATTGAAAATCTGAAGCAATACACACATAAGAACAGCAACATCAGATATGAATTTAGCAGTGGTAAAGTGCATGTTAAATAATTCTTAATATTTAATAACACAATATTTTCAGAGATAGCATGGATAAAAGTGTTCAAAATCCTAACCTCTATCATTTATACATGTAAACATGTAATTTAAAGTTTAAGACAGATGTTGATGAAGATGAACATTTCTTATCAGTAGATTACTAACCTTCTTTCTCTCTGTTCAGATATTAATCTTCTTTGCACTAATTAATCAGTAATTAGCCAACGGCTCTTCTACCGCAGTTATCTCCCTTTGAAAATACATACGTACAGAATCTATAACGTTTGAAATTAATATATTGATTTAGAAATCAACAGGTTTGTAATAGGTTAAATACTGATTCAAACTTAAACTTCATTTGTTAAATTTACCAAATATTATTATTTTAATATAATCTATCAAAAGAGAAAATGAAATTTCAAAAATCAATTTAATCAGGTATGTTTATGTTTTTTTTTTTCTGAAAATACTTTCGTAATCTAAGATTTTCATTTCTTAATATGAGTAGCTTGAAACAGAAATTATGAATTTGTAAATATCATGTAGTATTTTTTTTCCCAGTAAAATAATTTGAATTCTTTCTCCTACAATATTTTATGAAAAATAAACATTAATCAAAGCCCAGTACTGTATGAAGTCTTATCAATTTATTGTAAACTTACTATAGGGTGAGGAAGTGGAGGATATCAACGGCAACCCACCTAAAGTTGGCATGGTGCTACGGCTCATCACCACCACAGTAAGTCTGCACTTATGAAGTCCATTAAATGAAAACGAACAATTTACGGTACATGTTCAAGTTTTGAGAATTTCACAATTATAAAGTTCCGGTCAATGAATAACTTTTTCTCTATGAAAGTTAATGAGGTATTTGAATTCAGTTGAAACAAAGGATAATAAATGCACACACACATTTCTATGTGTATTACCAGTGAGGTCTCTGAATCAAAATGTATTAGTGAAAAAAAAAATTAAAAAAATTATCAGCAGACTTTACAAAGGGAAAGAAATAGAAATATGAAATTAAAGACATAAATAGGAATAGCCATTTTAAATCTGCACGAAATTTGTAGCAAATATTTCCTTGCATGAAAGTCCATGTACCTCAAGCCTTTATTAATACATTGACTATTATATCAATCACAGGATCCAGACACCATGGTAACCAATAGTGACATAGATGCCCTTCCAACACTGGACATGTTCTCCAATCCGGGAAGCACCTATCACCGCACAACTCCGGATGTACTGAAAGTGGAGGGAGAGGAGGGAAGTGTCCACACAGAAGGTACAGCAAAGGAGGAGGAGGAGGAGGAAGGAGAGGAGTCAGAGGATGATGATGATGCTGATAGACTCACTGGTCGACTCATACCTACACCGCCAGGAGGAGGCTATTATATGAGAAAACAGAAGAAAAGACCTTTATCTGTAAGTTAGATTCTTTTCAAATAATTTTTGTTCAGGTTATATATTTAGATTTTCTCAATAATTTCATTTTTGTCTTTAATTTTTGTTTCCTCTCTCTCCTTACTCCAGTTTTGAACTCCTGTGTCCACTAGTCTGCCTCTTTACTGGTTGCCTTTCTGTCCTGCTGCTTCTGTTTGTCTTTCTCCTTTAAGGTACAAGAGTGGGCCAGTCTTACCTAAACCATATTACATCGATGTCTGTTTTCATTCTTGTCTTCCTTGATCATTTGATATTGCCTCGGCCTACCCCTGCTTTTGTAAAATGCATGTATATACTCACATAGGTCAAGTAGCCCAGTCAGTAGAACACTCATCTGTCATCAATGCTAGGACTTTGGTGTCCACTATCAGATTGCGAAAAGTATTCAAACATGTGTTTATATAAGCGCTCAGGTCTCCTCCATGTTAAGTCCTCATGGCCATTAAGAATGTTTCATAATTGTAAAGTAAAGGTCATATATGTTTCTAGAATTTTGTTTTTTCCAGCCACCCACATACCTTCATTTGTAACCCATTTCTTAATTTTGTAATTCTATTTCATGGCCCTGTTTTCATTATCCACACCCAACGTGCAGCACCCTACTTATTCCAAATTGATGTTGACTCAACCTCTTTGTTGTCAAATTCATTACTTTTACAAATCGCCCTATTTTCACTATATAAGGGTAAATCTCATTCTTTCTTATGTTATATTCTAGTGTACCTAACTCTATACAACCTCAATCTTTGTGAAAGGATATGCTTAAGAACTGCCTCCAACTTGTTTTCTTACTGGTCGTCTGAGTCTCTCCAAACCTTCACTGATACCTTCACTTTTGTCTTATTAACCAATGTGTACCAATCCAGTCTACTTTCCCTTCCCCACCTTTGCCATACATAACCTCACTTGTATAGATTCTCAAACTCCAGCACTAACATCTTAATGATATCTTAATCTTTTTTACTCAAACTATTGTCATTAGAGAAGTGTGCCATATAGCAAGCTAAGCATAAGTCTGAGGTATGTTCAGAGTTCCATTCCTAGGTGTTGTACAAAGTCTTTATTGAGCTCACTGCTGGCCTTTTGTATACAGTATACTGAATCACAATTTACAAAGAACACCTGTAATAATCCTAGATTCAAATAATTTCATCAACGACTTCAACGTATCAACTTTTGATCTCTTTGTTACAAAATATACTGAAAGATCATTAATTTTTGTGGAGTTTTTATTTTTGTTCATCTCTTGGGTTGTCTTAATCCAGGATTCATATGTCCATAAATTATTGAAAATTTGTAAAAGTAAATTTATTGAGCAAAGATTATCATCAAAATAAGGTGTCTACACAATAGCAATTTTTTTGGAAAACCATGAAAATTGAACCCCTCAAAAATATATGATTTCACAGTATTCACAAGATATGAACATTTCCCTTACCATATCAGTTCTGCAATAAGACCATTGTAGTGAAATAGGGGACTTATGCTATACCTCAAGTGCAACAGCTTGCATGACACTGAAAAAAATGTTCACTGATATTTCTACCGCAAACCAATATATATGGATGGTCTTGTTATCAAACATTGGGCTTATTGCCAGATAGATAAAATTGTTTGATGGATGTGTGGGAGATAAAGTTACTCAAAGGTAATGGCTTGATTAAATTTCATATTCATTTAAGTAGATATGTCGATATTAGTATTTATACTAGTGCATGTATCATGGATCAAATGAAGGTGGCTGATTAATTCATCTTAATTAGCGAACGTGTGTAAATGAAATCATCTTTTAGGATATTGTTTGACACATTTCACTATATAGTGTCTCTATACATACACAGCCACAAGTATTTTATCAAGTTCACACTGATGCTCAAGGGGAGGTAAGTCAAATCTGCAAATTTGCTTGGAGGGTTTTTGGTTTGAAGTTACAATCTAACATGAGAATAAACTGTTTTTTTTTAGCTTAGATTTATTACTTGTTCTTTATATAAAGGTTGATTTCATTGTGCATGTGTGTGAAGATATATTATTATTGTATTATTGTGTGTCGCATTCTCATAAATATACCAGGTAAATGTTTATTACAAATGGTCACAAGAAAAATCCAGAATATAGTGATAGCAAGTATATTTTTTTCTGCTCTATCTCCCTATATAGCAGGCTTAACAGATTACTCTCTGTATTGATGTGCTTCAATGCATACACTCCCGGGAGTGGGTACATGTATACATACACTTGGACAAAAGTTGAGCACCACAGAATTTTTTGAGAAGTGCTTTTACCTACTTGGAAGCATAAGAGTAGATTTATATATATATATATATATATAATTTTTGTAAAATTGAATATTCTACCAACAAAATCATAGTATTAAGTCCAATAAATTGTTCATGTGACTCACTTCTGAACTGAACTGATTCCTGAACACATTGCCTCGTGTACTGAAAATTTTTTTTTTGGGGGGGGGGGACCCCAACTGATGCAAATGCAACTCCAAATTTATTCAGATTTTGACAAAGAGGATCCAAATGATTGATGTGTCTTCCAATCTGATCTCATACATATTCTATTGGGTTTATATCCAGTCAGAGGGCAGTCCAAGGAATAACATGAATTTCCTCTCCATGCATGTAATTTTGCACAATTCTGCCACAATGTTGTCTGACATTGTCATCCCTGAAGGGAGGAAGACTGGCAGTCAGATGGTTGTCAGATGAGGAACAGCTGTTTCCCTGACAACCAATCAAGATACCATCGTGAATTAATGCAGGTCTGACTTACAGTCATTAGAAAAGTCATTTCAGACAGTAACTGACCACCTCGGTAAGTCAGTTCAGACAGTAACTGACCTCCTTGGTAAGTCCGTTCAGACAGTAGCTGACCACCTTGGTATGTCAGTTCAGACAGTAGCTGACCACCTCGGTAAGTCAGTTCAGACAGTTGCTGACCCCCTCGGTAAGTCCGTTCAGACAGTTGCTGACCACCTCGGTAAGTCAGTTCAGACAGTCGCTGACCACCTCGGTATGTCAGTTCGGACTGTAACTGACCACCTCGGTAAGTCCGTTCAGACAGTAGCTGACCACCTCGGTAAGTCAGTTCAGACAGTAGCTGACTATCTCGGTAAGTCAGTTCAGACAGTAACTGACCACCTCGGTTAGTCAGTTCAGACAGCGACTGACTACCTCGGGAAGTATTAGTACCTACAGGATTTCTCTGGTCATATCTATGATATACCCAGATTAGGATGTAGCAAAAACTTGTTTAACTTGACCAATGGAAATGACACCTTTTCCCCCGACACTTCATTTACGTCGGCCTCAAGGCCATTGGTATCTCATCCGTTTATGCCTTAGCGTTAGTGTAGGATGTTTAATAGCCGCAGTGTTACTGTTCTGACTGTCCCACTTTCTGGAATTCACTGTTGACTTCACTACTAGCATCCCATTGCTAAAGGTGTTGTTTGCGTACTATGTGCAAAGCCCTGTCATCTCAGGCAGTAGTTTTCAGAGTTCTTCTTGAATGTTAACACTCAATAACATTTCTAGTTATTGGAATTATTGTACAATAAAGTGATCCAAAATGAGAACTGATGTTTTCCATTCTCCAACCACTTTTAATATGCCAATGAGCTGCCCTTTAACCGCTTTGGATAATTTTGTCTCAATATCTTTAAATTTCACATGTGATAGCATCACTACCAGGGTAGTATTGTTTCGCAGAGTGTGTGTCCTGTCCGTACTCACAAGGATCAAACACCGAATGGCCAAATGACCAGGTACCAAAACGATCTGAGAAACCGCCCGACACATTTTTCTATCGCACAGACCAATAACTTATTTACTAAATGTCAACAAGAACATTTTGCATATATATTTGAAGAAAATGACAGATAGCTAAATGTTTCAGTTTTTTTTTTTAATTTCACTGATTTGTAAAGATGGTGCTTAACTTTTGTCAGAGTGTACGGTATTCATTGTTATATGGCTTCTGTGTGATCATGATAATTTGTGCTCGCATTTATTGTCCCTAGGACATTTGATATAAAAATCCCAAGGAATTTATTTTAGTATGATGACAAAGTTTTGGAATGCTAAACATATTTAACTGGATGAACACTATTAAGTCTTGTGGTGAATGTGTGTCACAATTGAAATACAGCATGTTAGAGAATTCATTACCGTCGTCTGTTTACGTCACTGAGCGCCTAACAAAACTTATTTTAGAGACGTAATTTGTTGGCATATTTACAGAGATTTGCACATTTTAATTTGCTATTATTTACATATTCTATATGATATTATTGTTATTAACTTTTTTGGCATGCATTTGATTCTAAGTCATATGATCAATACATTTCTGTTTGATGAGTGCAAACTAGATTTAATGTAGATTGTGGACTTCATGGATACCCATTCACCAGAAATCTATTCCGATATAGGTGAAACAAGATGGAGTACTGGAAAACATACCCTGTTAAGCTTGGATGTGAATGAGCAACATTTGAGTCTCCAGCCAGACACTCAATGTAACTGCTTGCTTTGCTAGTGGGTGGTTGGTAGGATAGTCTTTACCCTATCCTTCTACACTAATCCCTGATTGGTCTCAAAAATATGCCCCCAAGCACAAACTGCTGTTCAATATTTTCAAGAAAACATCTCATTTTCTTATATTTTCTACTGTTGGAGTGATCGATCGTGCCTAATATGAAAAAGGAATGATTAAAATCACCCTGCCCTGACTGGGGTTTCTAATGGCAACATTTTGGTCTCTTATAAAGCTGGTGACTATACTGTTTGACTAAAGGGAAATTAATTCCTTAATGCTGAGACTGATAAAGTGAAGTGTTCTATCTCCTCCTACACATACATTTATTTATCAGGATAAACCTTTACACAAACTCTAAGTCAAGAAAGAGTGGCTGATACAGGTCAAGGTCAGAGGTCAAATGGAGGTCACATTGACCTCATTTTACATGCAAAGTATTGAACATATTACATTTTAAATGTTTCCTGACTTAGTATTGAACATATTACATTTTAAATGTTTCCTGACTTAGATTTTTGTACACAAAACTTTCACCGAGATATGCTCCAGAAGCGTCTTCACACACATGGCATACAGGCATGCATGCACATGTCGCGAATATTGCATACACATAGGTACTTACTACTTCAGTGTAAGCAGGGCTTAATAATCATACACTATAAACAACTCTTAACCATCTTCTTATACAAAATAAGCTGAAACTTTTTGTTCTGTCTTCCAACAAATGATCATTGCTTCGTTTAAATGCCGCATATTCTATTGCTAGTTTTTGATGTATTACAGAGAATATCTTTTGAATAAAAAATCAATAGATCAAATAATTCATTTGTATTATATACACATATATATGAGTTTAATTACTTAAGTATTTTCTTATTTATTACTTGATTAACTAAATTTGAGAAACAGTGAATGAACATTTGATATTTTTGAGAAATAGGTGGGGGGGTTGGGTGGGGGGAATCTGAATTATTTGAAATGGGTTATATAAAGCTAATCTGTTATCTGGCCAGTTATATAGAACTGACTATAGTGTCTTGAGACATTTAAAAGGAACTTAGGGGTGGCATACAGTTTAACTAGATCACCTGTTGAATCGTGAAACAGCTTGTTTGGGGTAACCAGGCGGCCATAGGTAAACAATCATTACAGGTAGTCCGAAGGGGTAGCCTAGGGATCAGTTAATTAACTTACCTGTGTGTCCAGGTAAAAACATGGAAGAAATACCAGTGGGGCTAGTTTCCTATTGATTTCTACCTGTTTCATATAATTTCGGTCGTAGTTCAGCTTAATGATCAGAATATATCGATAGAAAGACCACAGGCTAGTTATTTGCTAGTTTTGATTACGGAAACTTTGACATTTATAACGGTAGTTGGATTTCACCCTGAGGAACCTCTATCAAAAATGAGATCTCTTGAATGGGATATATATACACACATACAACATTCTGTGTAATATGTCTTATGGACTATTTGTAGAACACTAATCTTTGGCAAGGATATTTTGTCAGCCATATTCCAACAAAATGTCTTTGAGGATTATTATAGTATAAACAAAATTTTACCTGACTTACTCAAATTTGGATTAAAGTGTACACATAGACGGATATCTTTAATTAACTTTCGGTGCAGTGTCTCATCAATTTACTAATAAACTGAGTGGAAATTTAATTGAACTTGAGATAAAATTTCCAAGATGGCTACTATGTACTATCGTCCATATACGGCAGAGGTAAGTTTGTAAAAAAGTTTGCGTGATAAGAAAAATCACGTTAAGAATTGTTTGAGATCTGTTGTGCATGATTCAGGGATGTTGACAGTTGTATAACACTAGTAATGGTTTCTATGATTCTTATTAGGTTGATTAAATGAAATAAAAATATCCAGATTATGATCAAATAAGATAAGGTAACAAGATCAAGTTTAAAAGTTTAAAGTCTGTTTTTTTCCCCTGTAAAACACATAAATACATTTGATGGCTATTCATATTCTTAAGATATACAAAAAAAATCCCACTTTTTAAGATTAATCATTAATAATATCTATTTCAATGCAATTTTTTATTTAAAACATTGCAAATATTTTACATGTATTTTTATTTCTTCCATTTCTGTTCTTGATTAATAAAAATAAACAAAATCCTTGGCTTTATTTTGACTTTGGAGGTATAATTATAGACACAGGTTTGGTGGACTGTCCTTTTGTCCTTCTGTCCATACATCATACTGTGTGGATTCATCCTGAGACACACTTCGCCAATGTATCATTGAAGTCAATGTGACCTGTATTTTCTGCTTCACTGCCTTTGGTTAAAATTAGCTTATTTTTTGAGACTTCATATTTAGTGGGAACGATGTCATATACATCTATGTTTTGAAAGCATCCATATAAATGTTGCTTGAAAAATGTCTAAAAGAAAAAGAAAAAAAAAGCAAATGAAAAAAAAAAAAAAAAATGTCATAGACATTTTTGAATTAGGAAAATTCTGAATCTGGTTTGATGCTCTCATTCAGTGAATTTAGTTTAGTAAGAAAACAACACTATCTATGATAGTGACAGAGGTCGGAATGAATGAATATTGGGGTTTGTGATAACTGAAAAAAGGGGATCAGTGTATATGAAAGCATAGAAAGTGCCACTGATCAGCTGGAGGCCAACTGTATGGTTGGTTAGGGTGAATCGTTAGGGACAAGGTAGTCCAGGTGTAAAATGATATTTAAATGTTTGTTTATATTGACATTAGAGAAATCCGTACAGGTAGTCTGTCAGACTTGGTAGATCAGTGTGTAGGATTTAGTTTTAATAACTTAAGTAGGGGTTAAATACAAGCATTATAGACTTTTTGATTGTGGTTTTCTTTTGATGATCAAAGTTTGATAAGACGTGTAGAAAGTTGTCTAAAATTTCACTATAATGGGTTTAATTGTTTTAAGTCCTCATCAAAAGCTATCAACTATATTATTGTAAATCAGAAAAAATCTATCAGTTTATATTGATTTAGAAAAAAAAAATGTGTAGTTTTGTAAACAAAGATAAAAAGATATTACACTTCCTTAAGAATAAAGACATATGAAACAAATCATCCCAAAACAGTGAAAGTTGGAGTAGAACAAACTTTCATTTTCAGCTTTAACTGAAATATTCTATTTGGAAGATGACAATTACTAAAAAGTATGCCATCTGTAAATATTTACATGCAAGTGTAACACTGATCTATATGCTCTCAATATATTTACCTGTCTGGAATTAATATTGTAATAAAGGGGAAACACGACCATTAATTCTGTTGAATAACTTTGAAGAACTGCTTCAGCTTTTTGAAAAAAAAATGAGCCTCATATTTATTTGTTTTTTCTGTGAAAGCCTTGTACACATAATTTACTCCAAAAATTTCATTTGTGCCTTTTTTGAAATAAAAAACAAGCCAATTTCAAGTAGTATAGTTTGCCAGCCAATTTGTGCAGTTGTTAGAAATAGAGTTGAATGTTTTTTTTTTTATTTTCAATTCAAAGGATACTTTCTTTAATCAAACAAAATTAAAAAAAAATTAACAAGGTATGTTCATTTAATTACAAATGTATACTTATAAAGACATGCAGGAAACAGTTGTTGTATTATAATTGCCCTGAGATGTCTGTTATTAAAGCGTTATCGATTTAAACAGAAATTCTTATCAGAAAGTAACTCATTTCCGTGGGTTGACAGGAGAATTCTGTGAGGTACATAACTCGTTATATAGACCAAAGTATGTTATACATCAGTTAGAGTTGTAACTGTATTGTTCATTGCATGCAAGTCACTGAACTCACGGACCTGTCTCTGAATTATTCATTGTGAAGGCAATCGTTTTCCTTCAGGGTCCATAAAACAGTAAGAAAGATGAAAAGGTACTTCAGACACGGCAGCCATTTTCTATTCTTTGATAAACATACATACAGGAAATTTAACAATTGTTCTGATGAATTTTTGTACGGAGAAAATTGATTATTTTCTGCGTTGTATTGTTATGTAAGTCACAAGTTTTGTTATGCATTTGAAAGTTTCCTTTATGAATAAATTATTTAACATTATGGGTTATTAAACAAAGCTGTTTTGTCTTTGAGAACAATCGACAGATATTTTGAGAGAAGGCTATTGTAACCAATCTCTATGGGGAATGGGTCTGGGATACGAAAAATCAATGTTCAGGAAGCTGAAGAGGTACATTGAAAAATTTTATTTTCTTTTGTTTTCTTTTTTTGATTTATTTATTTTTTCGGAGGAAGGGGAGGGGGGAGATGCTGTTCAAATTCACCTTCAGTTTAGTCAATTTAAAGTTATTCTCAAAAATTGACTATAGAAATTTTCACTGATTCAAGCTTGTGTTTGTTCTTGCAGCCGATTAAAGATGGCGAGATGCCTTCCCATGGTGCCGTGGACTCTGTGCTACCAGACTACCAGTATGTGTTTGTAGACCCCCAGGGAAAGCAGCATGCACCCAGGGGTCGACAGCCTAGCCCCACTGGGCGTGTCCCTCGTCCTGTACAGAAAGCTGCACCATCAAACGCACCAGCGGCATATACGAAGTATGCTGCTCCAGTACAGAGGTAAATGATTCCAGATTAATAATTTAAAGGATTTTAAGAAATCAAAATGTCTTTATTCATATTTCTCATAAGCTTTTATTTTTATTTGCAAGGCATAATTATGTCGTAGATTAAAAATGTTTAGAAGAAAACATTTTGTATATAGTATTATCAATATCGCTGCATAATCCTAGCAGGGTTTACTTACTAAACAAAACAATGCTATACCGATGCATTTTGTAAGACTGGATTTTTCGTGGAGAAATTTTTGTGGTAAAACTTTTAAACTAGCACAGTGGTGATGGCATCTGTAACAATATATAATACTCCACTAATGTTTCTTATGATAACCCACCCCAACCCATAACACTACAAAAATGTCACCCTGAAACAGTCATTTCTGTCCTATTTACTGAAATATTTAACTTTAGATAGAATATTTTATCGTAAAATAATTTATGTTATGTGGAGATGTCCTAACAGGGTCGTATTAGTGCTTGAAAAAGTACTTTTATAACAAATTTTCCAAACGGTTGTTCAGAAATTATTTTTGTCTATAATTTTTTATTACATGTACTTAATCCTTTTTTGTTTTTAAATATTTGTTCAAAATTTTTAAAAAGTAAGTGTGTAATTAAATACCTTTAAAGAACCATTTCTTTTAAAAATTTATTCTAAGTAGTCATTTGTGAATTAAATACCTTTAAAGAACCAATTCTTTTCCAGCAAGCAAATTTATTCTAACATAGTCATTTCACGTGAGGAATTCAACTGCCAATACACAAAATGTTGTTAAAATTTCAAATTTTTGATAGTCATATTGTCAATTTCAGGACAAAAATTAGTATTAGGATAGCTGATATAATTTTCAATTAATCTTTTCATTTTGAATATAATCTGTTTTGCTTACCAGAAATGTAAACTACGGCTAATATTCATGTACACTGAATATTAAATCTTTTCATTTGTATAACAAAATAATTCCTTGTGTAATAATGAAATCATCATGATATCATTACAGCATTTTAAATTATTTTTTAAAGACACGATTCCTTTATGTAGTGTTTTCATGACTGACCGTGAACATCACTATCATTTGTATAACAAAATAATTCCTTGTGTAATAATGAAATCATCATGATATCATTACAGCATTTTAAATTATTTTTTATGTGTTGAACATCACTATTATGTGTTTATGTTATCTGCTTTGCGTGACAATTTCAATCCAATCTTATTCCAGTATTAGGCCCCATTATAGAGATCGACTTAGAGTTCTCCCTGACAGGTTTGCTATAATTACCAGCACTAGAACCCCAATGGTGATGGAGTCTACCTCTGTGTATTATCACTGTCTCTTATTTTTCCTTTTTCTAAGTGTTCTCTACCATTTACATTGCATGTTTGTAAAAATTATCAAATCTTATAGAATCTTGTAAATGTTGACACCAGAAGTCCTAAAATCTACCTTCTTAAATTGATATAAACATCTATAAACATATATTTTAAACTATATAATTGATTTAATTTCTACAGGTAGAAATCTTTACAAGATTCTTTATAAGTACACAAAATTTAATATATATGGATATTCATTGTTTTTCAGTGAATGTAGCATCTAGCTCTCAAGACTTCCCAAATATCCTGAAAGGATTATTTTTCAATAACTCCCAAATAAAAGAAAATATTTCTTTAATCAATTATGCCAAAAGTTTTAATTCGAAAACAAATTCCATTCTAAATAATAGTATTAAATTGAATATCCATATATTTTGTCCATCTATGAGCAGTCAAATCTTGTTATACAAAACAAAATGTTGAAATATAGACTGTTTAATATGATTAAGAAATACATGTTAGCTAACGTTACTGGAATGGCTGAATGATGTATCATATTACTAGTGATTTGTGTAAGAGTTATCTCCCTTGAATTTTGCATTACTTAAGGCATTGATCTGCTTTCAGTTCATATTACTTAGGAATGCCAACTAAAAACAGTTCTTTGATAATATTAAAAATTTTCTATTTTTATCTTCTTTTAAGGGGAGACAACTGCAATTTGCTTAAATGCTTGTGTTTTCCCATGACATTCGTAGTTCGTGAGACAGAAACACAACACTGTATACCTATCAACAGAGTTTTATGAATATTGAGAGAATCATGTATCACATAACTTTACCCTAAACTTGTTAATATAAAAAAATGATAGCATTCCTTTTTTGGAAATTAAATACATATATAATAATGTATCGCAACAATTTAGCATACATACAGCCTTAAGTGTAAATCAGCTGTAACAAGGTTTGACTGCGATCACGTCATTGATATTCATTAAAATGCACCACTTTTAGTTGTTTTAGTTCTTGATTCTTCTAGACCTTGACCTGAACTTATTTCTTTATCACCCGTTTCATTATTAACCTTATCAAACATGCGCAGCTGATCTGTCACATGATGAAGAGGAGGAGGATATCAATAGTCATACATTGTGAAATGAATTTGGATTACAATATTAGCCTTTAGTATTTGATAAAAATAAAACCATTTGTATTTCACTTCTAGGCACTTTCTGTCTCAAACGCATGCAGAACTGTCAGTTTCTTTTTCACTTTGGAAAATATAACTTGTTCTAATCATGTATCCAAAAATTGAAAACAAAAGTGCAGGTTGATTAAAAACAAACTACGTATTCTAAATCATTGAATTTGATATTGCATGTCAAAGAAGTTTTCTGGTTCATGTTGTGTTCACATTAAGACGTCAAATTGTTGATCTATTAATTGATTGACTCCGAAAAACTTAATATTTAGAAATTTTATGCGGACCTATTGAAAAAATGTTAAATGTAATTCCCACTCGAATGATAGTAATCAGAATCAAAACTCTAACTGGAACTGCTTTGACAATATTGTTCTGTACCACTTCATTTGATTAATTCTTTGTTTACTGTCCACAGTCGGCAGCCTGACCTCGACAATGCGTCTATGAATGTGCTTGATCACCAGTCAAAGGAGCTGGAGAACTACCGTTTGGCAGTGCAGAAGATGGGCCAGGACATGGTTGCACTGCAGGAAAGGATCCGCGAGCTTGAAAACAACAACAGTCAGCTTCGTCGCGATCTTGCAAATTACAACGATGCTAGTAAACTCATGATCGAGTCTGCCGAACTTGATGGCCTTTCAAAACCTGAAATCATGTCCCGATACGGTGAGTTTTTTTAGTATCAAAACAGATTGAAATTTTTATTGCAAGGTTTATATCTCTGGGACGAAATACAGACATCTGTTCTTGGTTAGAACAATCTTAGTCTCAGAATGATATTTGCAAAATTGCCGACTCGTCAGAATTTATATTATCTGAAGATCACAACCTAAATCAAAACAGAACATGATACAAAAGAAGACCAATTGAAAATGAGTCCTTTTCATACTTTTAACTAAAGACAATTTTTGCTAACTTTAGATGTCAACAGTGACTCAAAGGCTGGTAATATTCAAGGATGAAAAGTTGCTATACATTGTATAATATTTCATAAATTTCATTTTCAGCTGCTTTGAAGCAGACACTGCAGTCACAAACCAACGACTTGAACACGTATAAAGACAAAGTACAGAAAGTCCAGAACGAATTAATCGCGGTAAGTTTGTTGAAGTTCAGAAGCTAAACGTCACTTGTAGTTCACCAGGCCATTATTGTACTTCAGAGCTGTAGCCTTTCTTGTGTTAGAATCCCACTGTGATAGTATCAGTCACCGTCCTTTGTGTTAGAATCCCACTTAGATAGTATCAGTCACCGTTCATTGTGTTAGAATCCCACTGTGATAGTATCAGTCACCATTCATTGTGTTAGAATCCCACTGTGATAGTATCAGTCACCATTCATTGTGTTAGAATCCCACTGTGATAGTATCAGTCACCGTCCATTGTGTTAGAATCCCACTTAGATAGTATCAGTCACCGTTCATTGTGTTAGAATCCCACTTAGATAGTATCAGTCACCGTTCATTGTGTTAGAATCCCACTTAGATAGTATCAGTCACCGTTCATTGTGTTAGAATCCCACTTAGATAGTATCAGTCACCGTTCATTGTGTTAGAATCCCACTTAGATAGTATCAGTCACCGTTCATTGTGTTAGAATCCCACTTAGATAGTATCAGTCACCGTTCATTGTGTTAGAATCCCACTTAGATAGTATCAGTCACCGTTCATTGTGTTAGAATCCCACTTAGATGGTATCAGTCACCGTTCATTGTGTTAGAATCCCACTTAGATAGTATCAGTCACCGTTCATTGTGTTAGAATCCCACTTAGATAGTATCAGTCACTGTTCATTGTGTTAGAATCCCACTTAGATAGTATCAGTCACCGTCCATTGTGTTAGAATCCCACTTAGATAGTATCAGTCACTGTTCATTGTGTTAGAATGCCACTTAGATAGTATCAGTCACCGTCCATTGTGTTAGAATCCCACTTAGATAGTATCAGTCACCGTTCATTGTGTTAGAATCCCACTTAGATAGTATCAGTCACTGTTCATTGTGTTAGAATCCCACGGTCTTACCTTAACTGTGTGTACTGTTAGTCTCGCCCTAAAAACTAATGTTAAGATTCTCATGCCTTTGTTTAATTGGTGTATTCCTGTGTGATAATGGCCATCTTCTTAAAAATATCAATACATGTACCATGTATGATGAAACCTCTTTCTACAGTCATTTATTATGGTAGTCAAAATAAAGAGTATTGATGAGATTATGTACAGCAATCCAAACAGTTAAAATGAAATGAAACTAGACGGAGGTAATTCTTCGAAGTATTCATTGTCAGTATGTGTGAAAAAAAAGTTTAATTACACTGAACTGGTTGAAAAATTTACGGAAGATTTTTGAATTATATATTTCTTTAAATGCAGAAAAACGATGAAGAGAAGAAATTACTAAAGCTGAATCAGTCTCAGTCTGGACAAAGTGCAGTGATACAGAGACTAGAGGAGAGAATCAGAAAGTACAAAAAAATGGAGGAGGCTTGTAAAAAACAGGAAGTTGTGATAGAAAAGATGGAGAGACTGCTGGAGAAACAAAATAAGGACAAGTCAAAGAAAGGTCAGTGTATAGGACAGGACAGCTAAGTCAGTTTATAGGACAGGTTAACAATGTCAGGTAATAGGACAGGTCAACCAGGTCAGTTAATAGGACAGGTCCACCAAGTCTGTGTATAGGACAGGTCAACCTAGTCAGTGTATAGGACAGGTCAATCAGGTCAGGTAATAGGACAGGTCAACCAATTCAGTGTATAGGACAGATCAACCAAGTCAGTGTATAGGACAGGTCAATCAGGTCAGGTAATAGGGCAGGTCAACCTAGTCAGTTTATAGGACAGATCAACAATGTCAGGTAATAGGACAGGTCAACCTAGTCAGTGTATAGGACAGGTCAACTAGGTCAGGTAATAGGACAGATCAACCTAGTCAGTGTATAGGACAGGTCAACCTAGTCAGTGTATAGGACAGGTCAATCAGGTCAGGTAATAGGACAGGTCAACCTAGTCAGTGTATAGGACAAGTCAATCAGGTCAGGTAATAGGACAGGTCAACCTAGTCAGTTTATAGGACAGATCAACCAAGTCAGTAAGTAGGACAGGTCAACTAGTTCAGTTTATAGGACAGGTAAACTAGGTCAGGTAATGGGACAGGTCAACCTAGTCGGTGTATAGGATAGGTCAACTAGGTCAGTTTATGAGACAGGTAAACAAGGTCAGGTAATAGGTTAGGTCAACCTAGTCAGTGTATAGGACAGGTCAACAAGGTCTGATAAAAGGACAGTTTAACCAGGTCAGTTTCTAAGGCAGGTTAACAAGGTCAGTATATAGGGCAGGTGGAAAAAGTTAGTATAGAGGGCAGGTCAACCAGGTCAGTTTACAGGATATGTCAATTAGGTCAGTATATAGGGCAGGTTAACAAGGACAGCTTATGGAACAGGTCAACCATGTCATTATATGTATAGGCTAGGTTACATAAAGGTCAATACATGTGTATAAGACAGGTCACACATAGGTCAGTACATGTGTATAAGACAGGTCACACATAGGTCAGTACATGTGTATAAGACAGGTCACACATAGGTCAGTACATGTGCATAAGACAGGTCACACATAGGTCAGTACATGTGTATCAGACAAGTTACACATAGGTCAATACATGTGTATAAGACAGGTCACACATAGGTCAGTACATGTGTATAAGACAGGTCACACATAGGTCAGTACATGTGTATAAGACAGGTCACAAATAGGTCAGTACATGTGTATAAGACAGGTCACACATAGGTCAGTACATGTGTATAAGACAGGTCACACATAGGTCAATACATGTGTATAAGACAGGTCACAAATAGGTCAGTACATGTGTATAAACAGGTCACACATAGGTCAGTACATGTGTATAAGACAGGTCACACATAGGTCAGTACATGTGTATAAGACAGGTCACACATAGGTCAGTACATGTGTATAAGACAGGTCACACATAGGTCAGTACATGTGTATAAGACAGGTCACACATAGGGCAGTACATGTGTATAAGACAGGTCACACATAGGTCAGTACATGTGTATAAGACAGGTCACACATAGGTCAGTACATGGGACAGATTTATGATGATAATCATTATATACTGTACAGGTCTAGAGAGGCAAAACAGTGGATAACCATTCGGATAATATAATTTAATAAAATCAAATGGAATTTTGACCTGCTTTTATATCAATGATTATCACTTATTTGTTTGCTTTAAGGTGACAAATCATCTGAGGCAAACGAGGCTTTACTGGAGGAAAACAAGCGCTTGCGTTCACAAATGGACGAACTCAGGGTAGGTTTGTTTTTATATGCTATAGTTACAGATACCTGGTAGTGTAAAAAACTATAATCAGACAACCAATTCATGCATAAACATCTTGTTTACTGAAAATAACAAAGTCTTGGATTCTGACCCCGGAAAGAAGTCAGATAATACGATAAAAGTGATTTAATTGTTATAATCTGATTACAACTCACCACATCTACCCAAGAAAATATATTTGGTCTAATTGTTGACTGTTTTACCATATAGGAGCAGCTAAGGACGGGGGCGCAAGCTGGAGATGAGAAGGAAAAGTTTGCTATGTACCAGGCACTAGAGCGAGCAGACGCACGAGTGCTGGCCCTTGAGAAACAGGTAAAAAACGTGTCTTTTACTTGATACAAGTGTCTGAATGTTGAAAATGAGCAAAACATTTATAAAAATAAGATACTGCAAATCACATAGATTTCACGAATACTGTATTTTGCTAACTTACCTTTTCATATGTATTCACGAATACATGATTTCACTAACTCTTGACTAGAAATACTTTAAAATTCACGAATGACGAGCTTATGGAAACCTGCATTATTCAAGTCTCCGATAATGGTAACCACATCAACATGAATGTCATCCATAGTTATTTTCATACAAATAATTGCAAAGGATTTGAATTTGATTATCTTTGCATGCAAATGCGAAAATAAATCCCACACTAAATGTAAGTCATTTTCAAAGTTGTCTATCCTCAAACTATTTTTTAAGGTTTTGTTTTCCTGTGTGATTGTAGCTTGCTGAAAATTCACGGCAGTGGGGAAAGGAACGAGCTGATATGCAGATCCGACTCAATGAAGCAGAACATGGATTTGGTCGTTCACAGGGCATGGTTCTGCATGACTACCCAACTGCAAGCTCCTATGTAAGTGTTTTCATAAATAAAATTCCTTAGTGAATGTTTATGTAAACATCATTTTTATCACAGTTCAAGAGTCTAGATAAACATATGTTACATTTTGAATGCATTTTATTCTGTATTTAGCTGGTTTCATACCAAATCCAGATTTCAGAATCAAATTGCAGAGATCTTGAATCCTTGTAAAAACTGCAAAGAATTTCAGTGTTTATGAGAATTGTGATTTTCTAATTTCATCAAGATTGAAATGTGCTAATTATACTAACATATATCAGCTTCAATTTTCTTTTAAGGTAGATATCACAATACATATAGATGATCAATTATACCATTTAAAACTTTGAAAAGTCAATACATTTTGTATTTTTTTTCTCATAATTTATTCTGTAAGGATTTGAAAGGACATGGAAGGACGTATTTCGTCATATAGGTAACCAGTTTTAAGACCTGGCAGTATTAGAATTGTGTATTGTATTTTTTAGTAGTTTTTTTGGCTAGACATCATTAAATAATTTGATTTTCTGTGATTACTTATCAGATATATCTGCACATGTACATACTATGTAGATGTTGCATTACCCATTGGCTTTGATTTCCCTAGTTGTCTAGAAAACGTAAATATACATTCACCAGAAGTGCTACCCAGTGCACCTAAATCATATATATATATATATCTGTTTGATGTGGTCTATATGCAGTAGCAAAGCAGCCATTTTAACTGTAATAACTGATTATAATTTATACTCTACGGAGTGACTTTACAGCAATAATATCTATTGTCCGTGCTTCACGACTTTCATTCCAGCAAGTATTAGGAAATCTCTTATAATCTAAGAAACAGTGAAAAGTTTTTTTTTTATATTAATATTATAACAATTTCTCACAATATGGACCTTATTTAGCCCGTATTTAATTCAAGTTGAAAATTTGATGCAAGACCTTGTTGGATGAAATCAATGATACCTATTCAAAATTGAATAATTTATGTTGTCATGAAAGTTTCATGTCACTTACTAATGTGGTTTTACTTTCAACCTTCAAAGCATGGTTGAATTCATATATATATATATTAAAAATGTACAATTCAGACATTTACATTTTCTGTTACTAACAAAAAACTGTCATATCACTGTCATTTGATGGAAGTTTTGATTTGTCTGTAAAGAATACTGTATTCCTCCTGTCATATGTACAGGGGCCTACTTATCATATCACCTCTGACTCTAAGTCAGAGGATGGGCTTATTACAAGACAAGTCTTCTGAATGGCTAAAGATATGGGTGGGCTTATCACATATATGGGCTTATTGGCATATCAAAGTACCATAATCCTGCATGAGTACAAGTGGGCTTATTAACAGACATGAGCTTAATTAATGCTGGGTTAATAAGGTTTGTGAAAGATAATATCCACCATTATTACAGTTGTAGTATACAAGTGTACATAATTAGATCTGTGTAAATATTAATGATGTTTTTGCTACTAATAAGTTTTAACTATCATGCATGCTCTATTTTTAAGTTTGATTATTTTCCTAATAATTACTGTACCAGTAAAGTAATAGATTTTGTGTTAAATTATTTCATTCACAGGATTTTTTTTGTTTCATTTCCAGGAACCTGTTGGTCGCTCTTACCCAAGTAGATACACACCCAAGCAAAGACTGTCCCCAATGCCACTCTACAGGTGAAACAACACACAGAAATCTCCATTCTTTGAATTCTGACTCATTGGTAGCTGATGTGGAGATTACTTCAGCTCTGGCTCATGTCACCCGCATGAACTATCCTAGATATCAGACGGCAGTAGCCCCAAGCATGATACAACATGTTGCAAATCATGTTACTTGTTACCGTGACAAAACAGGACAGTACAAGTACCGTCGTAGAATTACTAGTGGAGGTCTGAGCCCATGAGAATCATATACAGATGTTTTCACTGTGTCTAAATATTTGGATGGATTTGAGGACATTTTGACTTCTGTTTTATTGGACATCAGTAATCAGGGATAGCCAAGAACAATATAACCTTATAGTGTGGTATCTGATGAATCTTTTCAAAGAAATCTAAAGATGTGTGTTTTTTTTCTGGTTTAATTTCTGTTCTATACTTGTCAGATAAAAAACACATTGAAATACGATCTAGGTTGATTAAGATTTATCATTTTGCATTCAACTTGAAAAAAAAAAAATTCTTTTAAACTTTTTACAAATACAATTGCTCATTGCAAAGCTGAGAAACTTGGATAAAAAGATGGATAACTCCAGCGTTCAGACAATATTTAATACAAAAACAATAGAGAATATTGTTCTTACAAAGTGTTCATGAAAAGTTAATGAATTAATCACTATCCATATTTAAAGCTGTATTTTATTAATGTTTTATAATGATCTCATGTGGAAGAGACATTGTAATGACATCTCAGGAAGTATCTTCTTTACCACAAATTTGTACCGTATTGGGAATAACTTCCATAGGAAATACCATTATAACAAAATCTGTCTTGATGTTGTGTGAAAGCGTGCGAGTTATTGTTTTTTAAATTCATTTGTACTTTATCTATACAGGGTATGGTGCATCAAGGATGCATCACCTATAATCAGTCAATCCCAATTCGTTAGTCATTCACCCAGTAAACTTTGTATGGGTTCTGCTGTAGTAATTTGACGTAATGAACATTCTGTTTTAAATTACTGCATATTTTTCGAGAATCAGGATACCAGAAAATAAAAGAAATAGGATTTATAGAGCAAAACATGCAAAGTATGGAAACTGGTTATATTTAGTTTACAAAAAATATTAAAGCAATATTTTCTAGATTAATTGATGTCCATTGTGCGTTTATTAATCAGAACATTGTCAGATAATGACTGTGTTTTTTTTTTTTTTTTTAAATTTCATACAATTTCTTCCATTACAATATACATATATATGTCAACATTTTTGCTTTGATGAATTGAATCTTGCTTGGTGCTTTATATGTTCATATATAAAAAAAAAATCATGTCCATATAAATTATCTTAATACTATTTGTATGTCTCTGTATCTGTACTTATCCTTCAGTAAGTCTGAAAGGGTTTGTTAATGACTAAGGGTATGCTTATAACAGGACAATAAAATTGCATTTTTTAAAGCATTTTAACTAAACAGTAGATATAGAAAGGACAGGCGTGGGCTTATCAATGGATAAGTACAGAAACTTTCATTATCAGTTGTAATAACACTAGCAATCTATGCTTCGTATTGTTTCTACTTCAGATATCCGTCCATTTTTTAATTAATTTTTTTTTAGTCATTCATGTTCATAATGAAAACCAAAATCATTGTCCGTCCTACATATAATCATAAATTTTGTCTCTGATGTCTGTTTTCTTGATGGCTTTTTGTTTCCACTATTAAAAATTTAATACGTATTATCAGAAATATTTCAGTAAGTATCATAGTAAGTTTCCTACATCTGTTCATTAAATTTGATATAACTGATAGGCTAGGATACCAGGGTATTTGCTATAGGTTAACTACTATAATTGAAGTCCAATATATATTGTATACCTAGTTTTATTGATGGGCTTTAATGAATTATAGATATGATAAGATTGCACGTTAAGTCTGTAGAACCTTCTGATACAATTTGTGTATAGTTACTTCATCTAATCTTTTTCTTTAATGTTCCATTGTTAGAGTTAAAGTCAAATTTGGAAGTTAAGATATCTTAATATACAATACAATTTATTTTGAAATCAGATTTGATAAAATTTATCAATCTTGTGAAAAGTTTACAGTTGTATAAAAAAATAGTAAGTTGGAACATCATTTGTAAGTAAAATATTTGATATAAACAAAAACAACCATTTTCCAAGCTTGTCTTTTCATAATATACCTGTATTGCTCTCACTTAACAGTGATGTTTCCAAATAGAGGAACAGTTCAATTGTGATAATGGTTGGTGGGGTCAAAGTTTAATGCTAATTACAGTACCTGTCAATGAGCACACAATGTATCATTCTTAATTTCCCGTGCCAGATAATGTTACTTAGTATTTGTGTATCGTATATTGTGAAGTGTTTATTTTCAAAACAATTCATTTAATGTTCTGTGATATCTGTATGAAGTGAATGTGATATTTTGTGATTTTTGTACATACCATGTATTGAAATATTTCATTCTTGTTTATTTATGATGTTAATGATTAAAGATATAAAACAGAATCCATTTTTCTCCAATTATGTGTGAATTATCTACTACTACCTACTCAAGAAAACTTTGAAAAATAATATTTAACAAGTAACGTCTTTATTAGATAAAGTAGGAGCACTTTGACATGATAGTTACAACGTACAATTTATGATAATACATACACATGTATATTGCATCAAAAAGCATACCAACCATGGTATACAGTGCAATGATACCACAAGTTCTCTCGACAAGTAAACTCCAATATGGCCATTATCTTTCAAATTGTTCGACAGAAAATGTCAGCACAGTCACTAGTTAATATCAACTTCTTTGTAAAGTCATTCCATGTGATACAGCCTGTGACTACATTGAACCGATGAGGATCACAAAACTTTTTTACCATAACCACTGTTCTTCTCAGTAAACAGCACAAAGGTTCTGACTTCTGACCGGTATATATCACACGATATTGTGAATACTCCAGTTTGGATTCTAGCTGTCAGGGTATATTAGTTTTAAATCGTTCTTTTTTTTTTTCAAATTCTGTGTACCTGTAGTTTTACATTATACATATGTTCAAACTCTTGCTAGGAAGACTGTTTTTTATCAGCTGTGGCAGTTGAAATAGTACATCAATGAACAGAAAATGTGCTCTCCGTTACCAACTCAATGTGACAAGCGACTTTAAAGTTGGTTACACCGGTAATTCGTTAAGAATCAACAACAGTCAACAGATTTCATACAGCTGACCCTGATAATACTTTACAAGTTCAGGATTATTACACTTATTTATCTTTTATCTATATCTCAAAAATCAAAAGAAATAAACAAATGAAAGAGTATATTCTTTAGCACTAGATCTTATTCAAAAAACAAACAAAAAAGAATGCTGACTATTTCAACTACATATATTACCATCTATTGATCAGTCAGGCATTTCAATCGTTAATTTTCATTCATGTATATATTATTTTTTTTTGGCATTTGACCAACAGACTTGATCAAATACAACCCCTTTAAGTTTATAAATCAAAGATGTGAAAACACAATGTGATATCAGCTTACCACACTATGATGAGACATGACTTGTCTTAGAAAACAAGAATTCATAAATATCCATCCTGTACCAAAGAAAGATTTCCCAAATTCTCAGACAACGCTCTTCTGTTTCGTCCAGTTCAGCAATGTCACTCCATGTTTTCAAAGATATTCCCACGTAATAGATGATTTCAAACTTAAAAACCTGGAGACAGTACAGCAATTACTTCTTGCCTGTGAAATAAATAAAATTATTAAATTAGAAAAAATATCAATTCCATTACTACTACCCATCACCTATTTCCAAACATACAATAATGAAAATTATGACATCTGAATTAACTTATCTCAATGTGGTTATTCTATAGTCTAAAAGAAAAGAGAAAGAGGCAGTTTGTTTAGGATCAAGAAATTCTACGCTTGATGACTATTTATATAGTACAGTGAAACCTGCTTAACATCATGTACTATTTGTCAGGGAGAAATGTGATTTTATCAAAACATGACATTAATAGTTGACACATTTTCCCTGGTGTCTTAACACAGAAGTTGATTTTCAGATTTGCAAAATTGATTTGTTTCTAACAGAAATTTTTTGAAGACAAATTTGAAATTTGATTTGTTTTACCCTAAGAACAGTGATTTTCCTCGACTTTTGTACTATATAAGTGATTCTCTTTAAAGTTTCTGCTTTCCAACATTTACTTCACATGTGAGGTGGGAATTTTACTTGAAAAGATACAATGAAACAATGCCTATCTAAACATTTTATTTGGAAAAATAATAGTTATCACAAGGTTTAAAACACTGAAAAATACCTGAAAGCCGAAAGTATCCATTAATTACAGTCAAAGGTTTGTATAACGTATTGTATAAGGTACCCGTTCACCATTTACAAATCTTACGACTTGTCAAGATTCATTCAAGTTGTTATTCCAATCAATTACAGTAAACTCTCTCCCAAAATTCATTTCATTACAAGACAATCTTTATCATGTATTTGTCCTTACCTGCTTTGAACCATTTGGGGACACCTGGCTCTTTACCAGTGGATGGCTGTGTGGTCTGTTTGGGGCGTGGCCGATCCTGTGCTGCCCCCGCTGAGGCCCCACCTGATGTTCCTGCGGAGGCCCTACTTGGACCACTAACTGGAGCCAATGCCTGTGACTCTGCACTAATGGGAAGGCTTTAACACAAAAACAAGTGAGATATATTAACTGACTGACGATCAAATTTTGTTTTGCCTCTGTCAAGTGGTTATCATCACCACTGATAAATACTAGTGCACTGTATATATCATTTTCTAAGATTAAGACATACTTATGTGTGAAAAGTATTTCACACTTTCTAAGATTAAAACGTACTTATGAGTGAAAAGCATTTTACATTTTCTAGGATTAAGAGATTCTTATGAGTGAAAATATTTAACTAACATAAAAAAAATTTCATCTTCAGAAAGTATAAGAAATCAACAACACTGATTACAATATCGCTCTACAGTTTTCCAAAGATCAAAATCTGATTGACCTATTTTTGGTACAAGAAAACAAACACAGATGCTAACATTACGAAAGAAAAAAAGCTATTCTTAAAGTCTGATCAAAGCCTGATCAGAGAGTTCCAAATGCTTCTTCTGAAGAAAACACAGTACATTTTTTTCACCAGTCTGTCCTTTTTGTCATTTTTCTCCAGAAGATTGGATGGAGTTGAACTAGCAAATAATATATTTGAAAATGTGTTACACCATAAACTTTTAGCTCCTGACTTTTCAATGATGAAATAAGGCTTGCATTCAATTAATTTTTCTGGATTTGACACTAAATTTGTGTGAGGTAAAATAAACCATTGAATGGACAGATAAAATTATGTCATGAACCCCCGGGTAAAAGCACATTTCTTTATGGTGTACACAAAATTTATGATAACTATTGCATGAGGAAAATTGGTTTTACATGAAAAATCTCAGATTTAAGACAAATGAAGCTGAGTATCAAATATTGATACTGAAAATGATTGAATAGTGTCGATCGATACCATGTATTTAATTTCTCATCAGCTGCTTTCCTGGATTCCATTCCCTCCATTAGCTTAGCAGATAAATAGTGTTCTACAAACAAACACAGAAACATGTATCAGTTCTATTTTCATCAAAAAATAATACATTATGAGCGACTTGTGACATCTGTTTTTTAGAGACATTGGCGTTAGACATATCAATTTGATAAGCTTTCAGTATGTACAGAAACAACTATGATCTCTTAATATGGCAGTAGGTATAACTACTTATCTTACTTAACTCTAGTATAGAATGTTTAAATTTAATCTTAATGACATATGCTTCCTGGCTGATATTCAACTCCTTTATAAAAGACTTCCAAAAACAGCACAGCTTCAAATTAATGATAGTGTGTTGTAGTCATTCCTGGGGTTCACATATAACACTTCTACCCCAGAAAGAACAAAGATATACAATTCAATTCAAAACACCCTGTTTACATCATTTTATTTACCAGGCAGCACTACAAGTAAACATTCATTTAATGTTATGTAAAAACAAAATATATCATTATTACATACCTTTTGGGACTTCAGATCCAAAATAAATTAAGGTGGCTGGCACCAGATTAGCCTGAAACATTTTATAAATCGGTTTAACACTTTACAAGTACAGTATCAGATCATTTAAAACAGGACAGCTACATGAATAATGTAACGGGGCTCCATATTGTTGAGAATGTCCCCAACAAAATCAAATTCACTCACAATTTTACGTTTTTCCAAGATGGTGGCCGTAAAGCGCGCCCGAGAGGGAGCCCCTCCTCACAAGAAAATGTGAAAATATGCTGAGACGGCAGTGTTCAGAAATGTAAAAAGTATTTACACGAACAGTGAGAACCAACAAGTAAACCCTAGAGAGCCTCTGGGGGTGTGAAACAAATAATGAAAGTATAAAAGGCGATATAAAGTCAGAGGAACTCAGTTCCCTCTGTACTATTTGCTAACAAAACACGCAATGACTGCTAACGATGCACACGCATCTCATGGGATCCCGGATGTACCATCCAGGAGTGAATGACAGAATTTAAAACAGGACAGCTACATGAATAATACTGAAGCTTCATTTTGACAAATTTAGCAATGAATAATTATTTCTTTAGTCTTCTCTTGCATTCAAATATTATCTAAATGATTTCAAACACTATTCTTTGAAACATTAATTTATCAATCATTTGAAATTATCCCCAATCTTTACACAATAATCAAAATTTGACAAAAGATGGGGAAGACAGACCAAAAAATTCTATTCCTAGTAGCAGTGGCCCCGACCTTGTACTCTGGATTCTGATACCATGTATAGATGTACGTGTTTACAGTGTTTGGTTACCGGTGCCTAATGAACGATGGGTAAAGTATTACGAGAAATCAAACATTTTTTTTACCATATTGATGATGTATATGTTGACATGTTATTCATAAACAGTCCACCAACAAGTACAGCATCCTGTACAAATGAAGGTCACTCAAATGCCTGAATGAGACATGCATCCAAATGGTTTCATTTGTTTACTTGCTCGGTTCATAGCTATCGAGACCAACCCCAGCCCCTACCACACTCTCGATGTTGTTATAAAAGACAATCCTACAATCATCTAGTAGCTATCATGACCCCTCCCCCCACCACACTCTCAATATTGTTATAAACACAATCCTGTAATCATCTTGTTTCCATATAAAATATCCTGTAAACTCACCAGTATAAGGGTTTTAGCCTGATCTTTCAGAACGCACTTTGGTGGTGAAGTATCTGTAAAAGATGAATCACATTTGATGAAAAAGGTGAGATGTTGATTTTCCAAAGGTCAAAGTTCTGACGAAATTTGTCTTATTAAACATGTTATTTTTTGTTTTTTGTCAGACAAAAATTTAATTCATTTAAATAACAATACAACTGTTTTCCATGTTAACATGATATAATATTTTGTAAAAGTAGAATATCATTGTTGTAATTCTATGTTGATAAATGACAGTGTATTATTTTACTTAATGTATACATCTGTATAAGAAAACTTATTAAATACCCCTGTTACCAGAAACTAGAAACTAACTTACACAAATAAAAAGGTGTCTTCTGATCTTCAAGTAGGCTTTTTACAAACTTGTGTATTTGAAACACTGAAATACCAAAGTAATATTAATTAGGACTAGTAATTCAAAGTCCCTCACCTCCATACAATTTACATTATAAAAGATTATCAAGGGCTGTAACTCTACATAAAGTTGAGTAGGACTTGATTTCAATACCAGGAGATAGTTACATAGAAATTTTGTAAGTGGTACAGGCCAAAGTATATTGGGTGGTTGGGTGGCGCAGTGGTAACGCACTCGCCTTTCACCTAGCCCGGGTACTCCGGTTTCCTCCCACAATAAGACCCCTCGCGCGCTTACATCCGGGCCAACAAGAGTGATTAGTATAAGTTGACATAACTTGTTTCGCAATTGTTGTAAAATAAATAAAGTTTATATTTAAAGTATATTTAGGGGTAGGGGATAGGGGTGCGGGTGGAGATGGCAGTGAAGTGAAGATGAGGGGTTATCCATATGTACTATGTCACAGACTAACTGACATATCAACATCTATATAACAAAGGCTTACAACATCATCACTAGTGTTTCAACACTGTTACAGGTGGTGTTATATGTAGGTTTCAATACAGGAGATCTTACAAGAAACATAATATAACTTTACAATTACAGATAATCTTCTTCTTTGAAACAACTAAGATACACTTAACCTATATACAACATTATTGACCAGATGATAATTACCAACTACTTACCTGTCTCCTTTGGCCTGAACAGTCCCTGTACAACAAGTTTGTCTGGGAACTGAACTCGTATGACGACTTTCTGATATTTACTGTATTTTTCTTCCTGTTTCAGTTCACGCATAGATTGTGTCATCAACATCTGATCACTCTCACTGAAAAAATATTTAGTCTCCACTGTTTTTGTTTATAACTTCATCTGTTGGTACTTCTGTATCTTTTTTTTTTATTTCTTTCCAGGAAAAATAATATTTACATTTTGCTTCCATATGAGGTCACATTTATTTGTAATCACACACAGCCTATAAAACTGTATAACATTCATAGAATCATTCACTTCTTTGAGGGCAAGACAGAGCTATCTCAACCAGAGGTAAAAGATTATTAAGTGCACAATCATGACATCATTTGATTTTTACTATGACATTATACAGTTGTAATGTGAAGGAACTTCAAACCTAGAGTATGACAAGGAAATCTGACACAAGTAAAAGCATGGATGCACATCTCCAGGGTATGAGAAACAAGTACCTTAATGATTCACTGATGTGGTTTTAAGAGACTTACGTTTGCTTCTGCAAGTCAGTCATCATTTTCCTTAAATCTTTTTCAGTAACTTCAAAGAATTCATCTGATATTTCTAAAATAAAAAAAAAAAAACAGATAAAACACAGTGCTGGAAATTATTTATACACCTTAGCAATACTATTTCATATTTCTAATGCTATGTTGCAAAAAAATATATATATTTTTGAGAGAAAGATATAAATTGACAGGACTAAAAGGTGTCCATCAACAGATCAGAGACAGTTTATCTTAATGTTTTGCTGGTCTCAAGTTTCCACCATAATATATCAAGGCATTTATAAATCTAGAAAATGTGTTCAAAATACTAATGTTCCCTGCTCCTATGTGTACCAGGTATATGTATCATTAGTCAGTGAATTAGTAGAAGTTGTCAAATGTGACCTTTGACCATTTAACCTTACCACTGACCACCATGTATTTATTTCCAATGTAACAAAGGTCACGATTTATTTCAAATGCCTCTCCTGAGCAGTATATTACACAGCTAGTATTTGCCATGGTTACATTTGGTTATTGATTACCAGGTAAGTAAACACGAAGGTAACTCCCTATACCATAAATGATATTGTTTTGTAATTAGACCAAAATACCTTGAGAGGACTGCATCCCTGGGGAGCGGATTGGTTCCTCAGCATTGAACAGCACTGTTTCCCTGTCACAGGGCTGAATATATATATTGACACATAAATACAAAAGTCAACAAGTGAAACATTTCTATGGAGTGATACTCTGAATAATTAAACACTTTAAAGACTGTACAAAAGACACACAAGTGAACAGAACTTTTCAATACAGAATAAGATACAATAGAGCCCAACGATGAATGAAACTCCTAACGACTCATTAGTGATGCTAACAGCCAAAATTTGGAGGCCTAGGAGGTGACTGTGAAAAATCCAAAGTGATTGAAAGAAAAGTCAAAATCTAGACATGGTGATGCACTAAACCCATACCGGTAATTAAAATAAATTTCATCTATCAGATGATTTGAGAACAACGTCAAATACGTGTGTATATTTTAAACCAAGTCACTTTTCAAATGAATTGAAGTGTGTATTCATTGTATTTCACTCAAGGTGTTAATAATGAATGTTCTCTCCTACAACTAGACTTACACCTGATGTAATCATTCCAATGCTATTTGATCAGTAGTGTTTCAGTTTTCTCATTCATATTTACCAGTGCATGTTAACATTTCTATAACTACAGAGACATGACTCACCTGAAAATCTTCTTTAGTAACAGAACTGCAAACAGAACAAAATGAAAAAAAAATTAATTAATAATAACTTTTTAATATCTTACACAATAAACAGCTGTGATTAACAACTTATGTTAACTCCAAGCAACGATAATATCTACATGTATAGCACAATTACGTATTACACAAATTAATAGAAGCACAGAAATAATATATATGTACAGTGTATACATACATATATGCAGGAAACTAGACAAGTTTGCATGTGAGAGCCCCCTCTATACAAAATTACTAAGACCATAATCTCAGAAACCTTTCAATACTAACTCATCCATGGTAGTTGCGTAAAAGATATTGGTATCAACTTTGATCAAAACCCCAAAGGAAATGAAGTGATTGATTAGGGACAGATGGGATAAGTTGGTAAGAACTTAGTTTCATTTAATGCCTATAAAGAAGAATTCCACAGTAAATGATGTAGCCTGTACATAGCCAGCAGTAGAAAAATTACAATTTTTCAACATAAGAAATGTACATGACTGTTGATATTTACTCAACACAAGGGAGTTCAGGCTGTTTCATGGATAATGTTATGTACTTATCCGAGTAGTGATTTTTAGCTCCACATGTGTGTATTGGTACATGCATTTAAAGAGCAACAAGTAGTTTTTCGATAAGGAAGAATGTCATGAAGACGAAACTTCCTTAGTCCACAGGAACTGAAGTTTTCATACACATGAAAATTTTTGCCTGGAAGATGTAGCTGATGATGACAGCTGCCCAATGAGATGATACCTATGTGTAGATGCTTCAGGCAACACAATTCAGCATGCTGTATACCGGGATATTTTTGTTCTAGGTTATTTTCGCCCTTGTACCATTACACATGAATACGACTCATGTTCATTTCACCCCTCAGGGATTATAAAAACGGGTAATATAAGATTAACATATTTTCGTCCCCATCTTAAATTTGCCTTCCCTGTTCATGGACAAAAAATGCAATAATTAAACACAGGGTTTTCCATAATTTTGTTAGTAGTAGGCTGTGTAGTGAAAGTAGGAGGCTGGTCTGCCGTGTACGTGTAGTCGTGTACAGAACATTATTACGGAACTGGATTGGTGTAGGTGACCAAATGATCAAAGTAGCCGGTCAAATTGGCCAGCAACCGGCTCTTATGGAAAACCCAGTAAACAAGGATGAAAATTTCCCGGTATACAGTACCCAGTCAACAACAACTTGTTCTGATTTCAAGGGAGCCAAGTATTGATATTGATTAAGATATGAATTGACTATCGTATAGTTTCTACACTTACCTCAGCTCATTGTGGTATAGGTCCTTTCCCTTTGTTTCTTCTGGAAACTTGAAAAAAAGTTTATAATGTTGTTTCAAAGATAAGATAGCTCTGTTAGAAAGATTACATGTGATTAAAATGCATTCAATGTTTTGATGTCAAATATACATATTGTATATACATGTACATTTTAAACCTCTAACTTGACTTTAAAGTAAGAATGTGATATTTGTAATGCAAGATACTTACTTTAAAATCCGCAAATGAAGCTGGGGCCTGTGATACCTGTTGATTGTTCCGCTTAGCATATTCTGCTGCCAGTCGTCTTGCTATCTACACAAATGACAAGAGGAAACATGACAAATTGCTGCAGTATAAGCTGCATGATGACTTTTTATCTGGATTCTGTTAACTTGCTTGCGATAACAATCATTTCTGTACCTGTGCTTGTAAACAGCCATTAAAACTTTTTTGCTGTGAATGCTACGATATGGCTGTCAAATGGTTTTTTGACAATCAGTTTGCAATCTAAATATGACATAAGAAATAACGACCACAAACACCACTTATAATTCATCATGTCTTTTCAAAAATATTTTCTTTTTTCAAATTCACTGATTTTGGTTGGGCATTGTATGGTACTCACTCTCTGTTCATCTGGAGACAAATTCTGGAAATCTTGAGGAGTGAAAATCTCTACACCAGGGATATTCATCTCTCGCAGTGAGTCAATAGCACTCTTTGATCCTGATGCACTCTGACCTCTCCTTGATGACCCAGATGAACTCTGAACTCCACTCGTTGCCATATGAACGCCACTTGCTGAACTTTGACCAACCAATACTTCTTCCTGCCTGTTGTTTTCTGTTTTACTCCTTATTCTATCATATTCTCCTCCTGTGGCTCCTAATTCAACTTCCATGGCTGATGTTTCCGTGGAAACCGATGATTTAGAAGAATTCTGTTCTATCTCCATAGGTTCAGGTGAATCCTTTGTAACACCACAAGAAGTGTCCATTTTGGATAAACTTGCCCCAGAACCACATTTACTTGTTTCTATATCTATGTTGTCCTTATTTATGTTTTGTATACCAGGATTTGAAACATTTTTTGATAGTTCTGACATGTTGCTTGCCTGTTTTTCTGGCTCTGATGCTTGTTTGCTTGTCATCTGTTCAAGTCTGGCTTTCTTTGATTTTTCTTTTTCTAACTGATTAGCAATATCTGTCATTGTGGTCTTCTCTACTGCTCTGTGTGTCAACCTTACAAAAGGAATTACAACAATGTGATGATTGATCATTATCCTTCACTTATTGCCCCCCAAAACACATATGAATATCAAATTACCGGGGTATGTAAATAAAGCCACTGTAAAATGACAGAAAAAATTGAAATATTTTACAATGACTGGATATTATCTTGCACTTTCATAATGTGACAATTTTCACTAAAAAATTCAGTTACAATCTAAAATGTATGTTTTCACTGATTTTCGTTTACATTATCAGTGGTTTTTGTTATCTTTTGTTATTTTTTTTTATTACATACAATTTTACTATTAAAAAATCATATTGCAAATAATCTCCTCTATCAACTTACATAATTGTTTATAACACTTAAGCCTCCACTAAAACACTTACCGCATGGAATAAGCAGATAGTTAATGTAATGATTTTTATCAAATGGACATACATTAAGTTTTTTATAAGCATAATTATTTTCTGATCATTGTGGGGACAGTTTTGCTGTCTAGTATTTGTATATACCTGATCACAGCATTCCCACTTGTCAGGCCAAGCTTCCTTAAATTAGTTGCAATAAGAGCCATTTCTCCTATTACCTATAAAAAATCAATGAAAGAACCAATAATTACCTACTGATTTTAACAAATATGGAAAGCTGAAAATGATAATAAAATATCTTTTATTGGTTTTTCTACCTCACTAAAATAAATATAAATCTGCTTATTATCAGGTTTATTGTAAGATGAATCAGTCAACTGTTTTGTTTTTAAGTATCAGCGCTTAACTGTGTACTGACCTCTTCTCTCATGTAGATACAAACAGGCTGGATAGGTGGGTCATGAGACATATCTACCTTGGTTAGCTCCCCTTTACAGGTACTAAAATTGACAATGTCTTGAAATAAGATGACAGCATGATATTATATTTTTTATTGGTCATATTGAGAAATTTCAGGAAAATAAACTTGTATGTTTTGTATATTTTAACCAAAAAATGGTGACATCTTTATATACATGTTCAATTCATAATTATTCCCTCAAAAAGATAAGCAGGCATACATATAACAACAACTGTCTTTTTTTTTAAGTGATTAAAACAGAAATAAAAAAAGCCATGCTAATATTATCATATATTACAACATAACAGAACTTTATTGAAAGTTTTAGAAAATTCAGCAAACAAATGAAAGTACAAAAATTCAAAACAAATTCCTGTTTTAACTTCAAATGTATTAAGGAGAGTCCAGAAATGAAAATTCTGCTCTCTATATAAACATCTGTAACAACTACTAGACATACCTATCTGGCTTCTCTTCCCAGTGGACTAGTATATCCCACAGAGATGTCTGTGGAGGAAACTTTCCTTGTAGGCGTGTTCCATTCTCCAGCTGTAGGGCAATGGTGACATCCTGGATGGCCCGACTAGTCTGCGACTTAACCAGTTCCAGTTTGGCATTATTAGCTAGGTTGGCATAGCGCATTGATAGACTCAAGTCTAGCTGTTTCTTGCTGTTACCATGACTGGAGACAAAACAAATATAAATGTCAATTATTTACTGATCATCTAGACGATAGTTTACAATATACGTATTGATGAACTAATCATATGTATCATACATTTCTGAGGGCAAATGACTGTTAAAAATTGTCAAGGTTGAACGCAAGAGTGTATTTTCCCTATACATGTAGTGTACACACAATGCTATTACTCATCAGTGTTTACTTTTTTGTCACAAAAGGCCATAACAAGAAATGTACAACTGGTTAGATAAAGTGTCATTTCTCAGTCGCATATGAGGAGGAAGAAGAAGAATTGGAAGTAAATGATATGAAAACAAAATGATACAAAAAATAAATATTCTCTTACATAAATCCATAATCATCAGGTGGCATGAATCCTTGTTTTTGACAGACATCTTCTAAAACCTGTATTAAAAAATCCAAGGATTACTTATTTGATGATATAAATTTAAACTTGCACATTGATTTCATAATCCCTTCGCATATGATTTTATAAATATTCGGTACTCCGCGGTATATCCTTCTTTAAACATCTATGATTCATATACACAGTACATAGCCATCAAATTTATATAAAGTGTATAAAAGTTCGTTAACAACAAGTGTTCTTGTTTTAGGGACTTGTTAAAATAAATACTTCCTTAAAAATAAACATTGATTTTCAGTACAATATCATGTAATTTGCTTAACATAGTGATATTATATAATTGTTTGAACTCGCAGACCAGGGCCCGTATTCATGAAACCATTCTTATGCTCAAGAATAGATTTTATGCTCAAGCAAACCTTTTTTATAATTCACCTAAATCATATAAAATAAAACAAATGCCAACTTTAAACCTTGAATATAGCTTTGATTTGAAATCCTTTAAAATTGTATTTAAATCTTCGGCAAAATCAGCTTCATTTATTAATTTTAACTTAAACAAGATATCAGATTTGAGCACAAAACTCATGCTTGAGCATGAGAACGGTTTCATGAATACGGGCCCTGGTGTTGGGTTGTCCATGCGATTGAATCAACGCAGATCTAACATGACTTGCTATTTTTCAGGTTCAGCATAGTTATTCACAAAGCGACAGATGTAAATTTGTTTTCTTCCACGACCGACAAAGTGTTAAGGTGTACATTTCACAACATTTTTCTACATGTTACCTGTAAAAGCTTCATATTAGGCGTTGTTTTCACATTTTGTCGACGTCCATTCGGACACAAAACTTGAACGGTCGCCATGCTTGTTTACAACGGAAGTGTGCCCCTTAATCATTAAAAAATGACAAAATATTATTTTAAAGTGGTCATGAATATACTTATAATGTTACTTATTGACAAAATAATTAAATACAAGAAAAATAAGGATGGCTTGGTCTAAAATTATTTTCTTATTCAATAGTTCAAATATGGAAATTAGTCATGCCGTTTACAACATCAACATTTTGTTGTGTAATGACAGAAGCAGCCGACTAAAAGCACACTGCTTTGTCAGCTGTTTATGGATAAGGATGTACGCTATTTTCTAATCTTATTTACCTGTCCCTAACGTCACAGTTTCGTATCTACAGAATTGTTGTTATTATTAATTTTGCGTCCGAAACTCACATTAATTTACTTGTCTTTCTAAGGCAAAAGTCAAGACCATAGGGGTTCTCTGTAATGTTTCTTGAACATAAATGATTGCCAGTCGGATAATTCTTGGCAGTCACAAATGACATGCAATAAAGAAGACGAAAAGCTAAATGAAGATATAGACTCATTTTAAACTAAGTATAATAATCGTTTATATGATCTGACTCAACATTTTTTTCTTTTCAGTAAGAAGTCTGAAAACGGTATGAGCTTCTCTCGTGTCATATACATCATTTGAAGAATATACGGATTTCACCTACTGTCAATCATGGAAGAATTCAAGACAGGGCCAGATGATTTAGGAATCCAGAGTAATGCCAAACCAAATAAGAATGGCTGTGACCAACAACAGAGTACTAGTAGCAGTATAGAAAATGGTGATGGAGCTGGCTCAGTAGAAATGAAGATGGAAGATGATCATGAAGGAGTACATGAGAAACCTGGAAAGTTCCATGTGGACAAGTCATTGATTCCAGCCGCTCAGCTTGATGAAATCCAGGAATCTTCAGAGCTGGAAGGTTTAGGACTGAATGTCTTTAACCAGGAAGACTTTGAGCAAGGTGTTTTTCTACATGAAATACATTGTATTTGTCATGTGTTATCATTTCAAAATATGTAGATGTCATGATTACAAAGTGTATTCTTCAGTATGTCAACCCAGTCAAAAGAGATAAAGGAATTTGCCAGCAAATTACAATGTAGTCCAATTTTCCTCAAACTGGCATTTGAAAACCAAACTTTTGACATACAAATTAATATGAAAAATCTCTGGTGCTTAATACATGTGATCAGTAATGGAACGTTAGTTAGATCTATTAAGAGAATTTGGAAAGCATTCACATATTGACGGTTCTTATAAGCTTTCGGTCAGTGATATTCAGGGTACAGGTTTAGCAAAATATCATTTTTCTAAATTCAAATAATATAAAATGTTTAATGTACCAACAACTATCAAAAAGTAATTTGTTTATACTTAGAAATAGTGTTGACTTTGTCCTCTTCGTAATGATATTTCTTTGATATTAATTATTTTTTCCATTTCTAAATGTGAATCTTGATTAACTTATATTTTCCACACACAGGTGTAATGGCCCAGGTAGATCAAGTTATAGCAGCTGAAGAAGAAGAAAGGAAACGGAAAATTGTTGAGAAGCAAATAAAGGAAGTGGAAGATGATATCAAGTTAGTCAATATTATGTGGTATATAAGATACAAAAAAGTTTTGTTGTCGTTGAATTTTTGGAAGTCATAACTAGGTAATATTTTATTTCAAATTTAAATACTATTAACACTTCATCTGTATATAAACATCATTTGGTCAATAGTCAAATATTGATGAACTACAAATAACAGGCACATATTGAACTTATCTTGAGAAGTAAATACATACTACAATTTGATGTATGACTTTCAATAACAGAATTTAACTTGTAGTTTCATGTAACTTTTAGGATGGTCAAGCAGGAAATGTTGGATATTGAAAGAGTTTTGACCAGTCTTAGCAGTGGTCAGTCGGACTACACCAAGCGCAGAATTGACTCTGTTCGCAGACAGAAGGAGAACAAAGTAAGTTTATGACAAGGATTATGAAAATCAGCTCTGACACCCTCCTTCCTTTTGTCTTTAAATTTTAGCAATGTTTGATTGTAAAAGCCAAAATTACATTGGCAGAAATTATTATTAAGGGTTCTTTTCCAATATTTCTGTTACTAACTCCCACAGTTGAAGTTCATGTTTTTATATATAAAATGTTTCACAAAGAGTTTTAACTTTGTGTAGATCAGTCATATGAAGACATTGAAGGTAAAACAGAAGTCCCTTCTTAGGAAGTTGCCTGGAGCATCAGTAGAGGAGGAGGGAGAAGAATGTGAGTGTATCTGATGAATTGTTCGTAAAATATGATTGATGATACAGTTTACTTCAAATAAGTTATTCAGATTACCTAAGTCAGGTTTTTTAAGAGACTTTCATTATAAGTTAATTGTATTTCACTAGATTGTTTATGTGGGACATGAAAAATAAAGCTGTTAACAAAATGTTTATCAGATGAACCAAAATATATAAATATTCTGTTAAAATTTCTGATCTGATATTTTGTTATTTGAAGCATTTGATTTTTCAGTATGGACAATTATTTTACAGTAAGGATTTTTCATTGTTCAGTTTAATAAATGTAGCTTTTATCTGTTTCTGCAGGTGACAGTTTTGACTTAAACCAGGTATTGGGTCTAACTGCTGGACCTTCAAAGGAAACTGAACGTGAAAAGATGATACGCCTCGGAGAAATGACGCCGTTCGGTACTGTTGTGTCTAAACCTACCTCTTCATCACTCAAGAAAGCTTCATCAATTTCATTAATAGAGGTACAAGACACACTTCATCCTTTCACAACTTTTACTTTAACTTTTTTTTTTACCAGGAATTATATGATTTTTCAGAGTTTTTGTTTGCAGCATAATAATGACAATAAAATGAAATGTATATTCTTTTGTTTTTGATCATTTGTAAGGAAAATTTGTGACCATAATTATCAATCAATATTTAATAGTAGCTGTAAATGGAAAAATGTAAGATAAAATTCATTGAAACATTGTTATAGATTTCAGCCTAGAATTTCATTTCTATCTTTAGTTTCTTTTATTTCATTGACCAGTTACTTATCCTGTTAAGTTTCAGTATTTGATAACAAAGGTAAGTCTAGATATGAATTATATTATTTTATATATTTTTTTAAACAGAACTCCTCATTTGATCAATTCTTCATGGACAAGGATCATTCAAGGATATCTCAGAAGAAACCAGCAGCCAAAGTTCAGTCGGAATTGAATAGAAAACTGGAAAGAATGAAAGCTAGTTTATCAGAGGACTCCAAAAAATCTGAAAAGAAAAAAAAGCCAGAAAAACCTACCTCAGATGAAGATCAGAAAAAAGGCAAATCAAAATCGAAACAAAAAAATCTGTTTGATGAAAGAGATAATCGACATTATAGAGATGATGTTGAAGGGGCAGACTTCAGTCATTTAAAGTCAAGCAAAACAAAATTTCCAAAATTTAATCATAACTTCAGTGAGGATCCAGCCATGAGTGACGAGGAAAATAGGGATAATTCTAGTGATGAATATCAGCCAAATGAACAAGAGTTAGCTATGTGGAGTGACCTTAGTGACCATGAAATCAAAGGTAGGTTACCAAAAGATGTGATTAGTTTTTCAAAAGTTCCTGGTTCTGTTATGATTTTTTTTCTATGTGCTCTACAACATGAAACCCAGAATATGATGTACAAACATAACAATCATTTTAACTATGGAGAAAGTAGATGATATTAACAGGCAGTTTATAATTTGTTTAAAAAGAATTTTTTGTTTCATCCATTGGCAAAAATCAAAATAGATATACCGTATCTATATTAGTTTTTTTTGTCTCTTTCCTGGTTGTTGGACATATAAGCAAAAATATTTTATATGACATTCTTTCAAACAGAACGTATGAAGAAAAGGAAAGAAATAAAAAAGAAAGGGTTTGGTCGGCCGAAAAAGCCTCCAAAGTATCGTGAAAGTGACAGTGACTCCGATGATGCAGAAGCATCAGGGAGAAAACGATTCAGTGGTGAAGTGAGAGTGAAGAAAGTTCGAGACGATGGATGTGAAGAGGATTATGAAGACAGAATGAGGTCAGTACAGCAGTAATCAGGACACAATGCTGACACTGTTGGATAAAAATCTGGAAGGAATTTTTAACTAGAGATTGCCTGTCATCTTAGAACAGAAAAAGGAGGATTGGAGATTTAGTCTATGAAGTTTGTCTTCATTAATGATGGCTAAAATTTTGTTTTAAAGTAGTAAAAGGAGAAAAAAAATCATACAAAAATTTGTTTCAATTTTTCCGGAGAATTAAATAGGCAAAGGCTGAGTTATTTGTATATTTCTAAATTGCACTTGTTTGATATATTTCCATTTTTTATTTTAGAGAATTCAACAAAGTGGAGAGAAAGAGGATGCAGCGGGTGGATAATGGAGAGGAGAGTGATGAGGAAGACCATGAACTGGAGGGGGGTCTTAGAGTACCAGGACGTATCTGGTCAAAACTGTTCAAGTAAGATACTCAATGTTTAGTGTAAAATCCTTCAAGTAAATTAATGTATGCACTCCAAAAATGAAAAATAGATATTTCCTGGACAATCCTTAACTCAAAGTGCTTTGTTTTGCAATAGCAAAAGTATACTCCTACTGCATGCAAAGCATGTAATATCCAGAGTTCATGGGTTTCTGATATATTGATTTGACCTTGGTCTTCAGATACCAACAGACTGGTGTGAGTTGGTTGTGGGAACTCCATGGCCAGCAGGCAGGTGGTATTGTTGGAGATGAAATGGGACTTGGCAAGACTATAGAGATGATCGCCTTTCTTGCTGCTCTCAGACATAGTAAACTTAAAGATAAAAACTTCCAGTAAGTACTGTGATGATGTATGGCAGTTAAACAGATTTCAGCCACTTTTTACTTTTAAACCCTAAAAATGTAATAGATAGGATATTGATCCTCTTTGTAGGAAGAATTTTTCTTTTGGTACTCGACTCGTGCTGTCATGTTCAGAATTAAGATATCTTATTATGACTTCTGAGAAATTCTCTTAAAGATTTTTGAATGAATATGTTTTTTCTATTCTTTGATGTAATAAATTCTTCAATATCTTCATTGTCTCTTTAACAAGTTTGATTAAGTTTAAGGTCAACATTTCTCTTTGAATAATTGCCATATTTCTATCTTTACATACTGTTACAGATACCAGGGTCTTGGGCCAACAATTGTTGTCTGCCCAACTACAGTAATGTACCAGTGGGTAAAAGAGTTCCATACCTGGTGGCCATTGTTTCGTGTGGCCATCCTGCACTCCTCTGGCTCCTACACATGTACAGAGGTAACAATCTTGTCTATTCTGTTCTTCTCAGTTTTCTTCATATGCATACTATAATAACTTTAAATTATGGAAATTTTAAGAACCAGATACATCTTCCTCTAAAGGAGTATTGATATTGTAAATTGACAACATTATTTTTCTTTAATAACTGCTAAATTTCAAATGTTATCTGTGAAATCCACAATTTCTTTACACATGAAACGAAATAACAACCATTATGACATTGAAAACCAGTATCACTACAACATGTATCAATATTTGTGTCTACTTATTTTAACCCTTCGGTGCCATAGGCGACTAAAGTCGACATGCAGATAGGCCACCGTAGGCGACTATAGTTGACATGCAGACAGGCCGCCGTAGGCAACTAAAGTCGACATGCAGACAGGCTGCCGTAGGCGACTAAAGTCGACACTTTTTATATTTTTTTTAATATTTGGCACTGAGCTGTACATTGTGAGAGATATTTGGCGCTGAGTTGTACATTATGAGAGCTATTTGGCACTGAGTTGTACATTGTGAGAGATATTTGGCGCTGAGCTGTACATTGTGAGAGATATTTGGCACCGAAAGGGTTAAGATACCCTACTTTAACATAACTTGCTATAACTTGTTACAAATCTATTGTAATCAGAACTGATTATTAACTCTTTATTTGTGGCTAACAGTGGAGGAATATTACTGATGTACTTGGTTTTATTTAGGCAGAGCTTGTGAGAAGCATTGTCAAGGACAGGGGTGTGCTGGTCACATCCTTCAACACACTTGTTATCCACCAAGAGCTACTCATCAAATATAACTGGCACTACGTGGTTTTGGACGAGGGCCACAAGATCCGAAACCCAGATGCACAGATTACGGTAGCCGTTAAACAGGTACAGGCAGACATCTTTTTCCTTGTAAAAGCCAGAATGGCTGGTCTGCAGAGAGAATCATGAAAATAAGTCTTTGCTAGTTTCCTAAGTTATAGCCACATTTTCATATGACTTTTGAAGTACCCTTTTGAGAAAGTTCTCAAAAAGGTACTATAACAACTTTTTATGCTGAAGTGATATCAAGATCAGTTTGAATACTATAAAGAAAAAGGGTATGATGAATTTTTCTTTTCCTGCCTTTCCAAAAAAAAAACATTTTCGAAAACCAGATGGGCTTCTTTGCACAAAATTTTTCCTGATTTATATTAGTCAGTCAAATTTGAATTTATGTATTGGATGACAGAATGATTTATTTTGTTTTCCACAGTTTCGTACCTACCACAGGATCATCCTGTCTGGTTCACCAATACAGAACAACCTTAAGGAGTTATGGTCCCTGTTTGACTTTGTGTTTCCTGGGAAACTAGGAACCTTGCCAGATTTTATGGCACATTTCTCTGTGCCTATTGTACAGGGCGGCTATTCCAATGCTTCAGAAGTTCAGGTATTTCTTGTTCTCAGTGGTCTACAGTGGTTGGTTTTCTGAAATGTTGTATTACACTGTCTAGGAAAAAGAGAAAAAAATTCAGACATTTTTCTGCTCAAACAAATGTAAACTCATTACCCCTTTTTAAAGTACATTATTTTAGCCTCAATTTGAGAAATAAAATAATCATGTAGCCTGAGAAAGTCTTAGCAAAAGTTGCGACTCTTTAAAAAAAAATGACTAAGACTATTGAAATGTGATTTTTGTGTACCAGGTGATGACAGCCTACAAGTGTGCATGTGTATTAAGAGACACCATCAATCCTTACCTTCTGAGGCGCATGAAAGCTGATGTAAAAATAGATCTTCCACACAAGAATGAACAGGTTTGTCTCATCCTTTCGTACCATAAAGTGAACTTTTTTACACCAAATTATTTTCACCTGGGATTTTGTCCTTGAACGTTTGGGCTATTTACACCAGGAGAAAATTCTGAAGTTATATGCACATGTAATTGTTGAGTAAGTTAAGTCTCCAACACGAAACCTTATTCAAAAACTTTAAAACTATTTTAATAGATAAAACACCAAAGATGAACTATGCAACGACATACACATCTGAATTGGAAAAAAGAAACAAAATTTTTTTATGAAACTTCATGTGCTTTCTTTTGCTCAACATTGATGAAAAAAAACTGCATGATATCCAGTTTGTTTCAAAACCACTACATAGTTTGTATGTTACCATTTCAATGTTTCTAGTACCAAATTTGGTTGAAAACTATATGTCTAGTAAAAAGTATAGTGTCAGTGTAGGAGATTGGAATCAACCAAGGATTATAGTGTCTATTTAGGAGAGTAGTACCCATGTTTTTCTTAAGCATTGTAAACTGTCACCTTGATTGATATAAATGTTCATCAGATATTGTTGCTTGTGTTAGGTACTGTTCTGCAGACTGTCAGATGAACAGAGACAAGTGTACATGGAATACCTTCAGTCTCGACAATGTCAGGCCATACTCTCTGGCAAGTTCCAGGTAAGTTTTTCTTCTACTTACATTGAAATCAATGTAAAAATTTTCCATTAAACATGAAATTGTTGCATTAACATTTTTATTTCCATCTTCTTGTTTCATTTCCTAGTTAACTGATTTTTCAGACCAAAATATTTCATAGAAAAATACATATATGTGTCATGTCTGCATTTGTTTCGGTTTTCAAAATGAAATATTTCATACTGCTTCAACTAATATTGTACTGTAAGACTAATTTCACTCAAAACAAGTGTTACTTATATTGTGTAAAAATTATCAAATGAAATTGCTTAATGACAGGTATTTGCTGGTTTAATTACTCTGAGAAAAATCTGTAACCATCCCGATCTATGTACCGGTGGGCCTCGGCTCTATATTGGGGAGGAGGAGGGAGATGACGCAGACCTTCAGTTCGGACACAAGTGTCGTTCGGGCAAGATGATCGTCGTAGAGTCTCTATTAAAGCTTTGGAAGAAACAGGGCCACCGAGCACTGTTCTTTACCCAGAGTAGAGCTGTAAGTTTTAATGTCCGGGTGTACAACATAAGTTATAGTCAGTTTATTTAAAGATGTGAGTTATAATGTGTAAATTTTATTGAAGAATGGCTGAGTTTTATAATTTAATCTTTGGATTTTTTCTGATCAAAAAGTTTTAGAATGACCCTACATGACTTGTTTTCTTTTAATTCCTGCTTATACGGGTTTGTATGCTCCATTTGATTGTTAGGTTTTCCTTGATAATATTACAGATGCTCGACATCATGGAGAAATTTGTACAGAAGGAGGGATACACCTACCTAAGGATGGATGGAGGAACAGCCATTTCAGGAAGGCAAAGCCTCATCAACAGGTTTAATAAGGTTTGTGAAGATACTGCTCAGTTGAATTTTCAGGTATATATATGAGGAGACATTGAAGTAGAATAAAACTGCAAATGAAAATTCCTTTTTCTCCGTGGTGATCTTTTTATCAGGTATTGAATACTTAACCAGATGCAAAAATGTTCTTTGATCTAACAAAATCTCTTAGAAATAATAAATCTAACTCAAAAATGTATTCTTTGGAACTCTTATGAAGGTTTTTTTCCAAATGGAAGTTTAAAGTTAAATAGTAAACCTGGGTTAGATATGAAGGAAACTCCTGATTTCCAGTGAAATAGAAATATTAATGTTGTCTTGATTTACAGGATAGCTCATACTACCTGTTTCTGTTGACAACGAGAGTGGGTGGTCTTGGTGTGAACTTGATAGGTGCCAATCGTGTAATCATTTTCGACCCAGACTGGAATCCAAGCACTGACACCCAGGCAAGGGAGAGAACTTGGAGAATAGGCCAAGAACGACAAGTGACCATTTACCGTTTAGTGACTACGGGTACAATAGAAGAGAAAATTTACCACAGGTCAGTCTGGCAGACATAAAGGGGAATGAGAAATAGGGGAGAAAATTGAAGCAGACTTCAGGAGAAGATTCTGTATCTTCTTACCTCATCAAAATGTTTGCATAATATTGGGAAAGAGGTGAAGGGTTCATCTAGGGATAAGGTGGGTTAGGTCTCAGAAGATTGGTATAAGAGAGCCCAAAGTTAGAAATAATGGGTTGAAATTGGACATTTTGGACTTTAACCAGTACATGTGTATTACATTTAAAGATCAAAACCCTGTAATTTACTCATAGTTATGTAAATTTCATATGCTAAGCTTAACAGGATCAATTGTTTGAAATCAAATTTGTTTATAATATTTCGAGAGGGAAATGATAATGCACTTTGATTCAACATTATCATTCTTTTAGTAATTTTCACTGTATTACCATGTCTGCACATAGTCTGGTGTAATTTAATTTGAAAGGTTTTCTTTCTTTAGTGCACGAATAATGATGATAAAGTACTCGCCATTATATCTACATCTGAAATCATTACAATACAAAAAAAGAATTATCAATGAAACTTTTTGATGCAGTTGATTTATTTAATTTTCTAGACAAATCTTCAAGCAATTTCTTACCAATCGTGTGCTCAAAGATCCAAAACAAAGACGTTTTTTCAAATCCAATGATCTGTATGAACTTTTTGAACTTGGAAGTGCTGATGGTCGAGAGCAGACTGAAACAGGGGCACTCTTTGCTGGTACAGGGTCAGAGGTCAAGGTCAGCTCTCTGAAATCACAGAGTAAGAGCAAGGTTAAGGATGATCAGGTCAAAAAAGGCAGCAAAAGCAACAGATTTGATGTTATGTTAGAGGAAAAGGAAAGAGAAAAGGAGGAGCAGGAAAGAAGAAAAGAAGAAGAGAAGAGAGAGAGGAGAGAAATGGCAATGAGGGTGGAGGGTGGTGACAGCGAAGACGAGATTGAAGGGATGTATGCACTCGCTGAAAAATTACGACAGGATATCAAAGAAGAGGAGGAGCAGGAAGGTGGATCAGGAGCCTCTGATTGGTCAGTGAAGAAAGGTCGCGGGAGAACCAGTAGTACAGAAGAGGTCACAATAAAGAGGGAGTCAAGTTTTGATGATGAAGATTCCAGGCCTGGCAGTTCAGGATCTGGTTCAAGACCTGGTAGTGGCTCTCGACCAGGTCCTACAGAGGACAGTGCCAAAGTCAATCTTGACCAAAATGACCATCCTCAAAACAGGGGAGGACAGGCCCAGTCTCAGTTGTTAGAACAGATTCTCAAAAGAAAGCAGGATCTTCAGAAAAAGTTTGGTACTGAAGGGAACCATAAAATACATAGAGAAAGGCATAGTGGTAGGGTCAAAGGTCGTAAAGAGGAGGAGGAAGTGCTGTCAGCCTCTGCTTCATCCTCCCATAGGAAACACAAGGAGGATGGTGAAGGAGCTGCATATTCCCAAGAAGTGGATCACAGTAGGAGACACAAGAAACATAGACACAAGGATGATGGCAAGGGGGCAGCACATTCCCATGAAGAAGGGGAGGGACACAAGAGGAGGCATAAGAAACACAAACATGATGGTGAGAGGCCTGGTTCTGGAGAGGAGGACAGACATCACAGCAGGAGAAAACATAAAAAACGGAAACACAGGGATGCAAGTAGGTGGATAACATTGATATATTATAACTCTTTAACCAGAAAATATTCTATACATATTTCAATTTAATTTCATAACTTGTTGAACAAATATGTAATTTGTTTTCAAATAGATTGAATGCATTTCTCATGACCTTTTGATACCTGCAGCCAAGAGGCTGTTTTGTACCTATTTTTTTTAATTTCTAGACTTGAATATAAATCAAAGTTGGGTATGAATCTGCTCTGATGAATCAATTTTAGAATATACAGTATACAGCTTTAAAGTTTCTTTATGAACTTACAGAGTTCGAAGGTGAAAGGATCCCTAATTTGGTGAAACAAGACGAGTATAAGACAAACCAATCAAAAGAAGATGAGAAACAAGAGGGAAAAAAGATGGATGATTATGTTTTGAAGACCTTGTTTAAGAAAACAGGTATTGTTCTATTTAGGTTTCTTTCACTCTTATCTATGTTTCACAGAAAGTACTGTAGAATATAAAGGCTGCATGACTGATCACATAAGATAAGAAGAGGAGTTGAATAACTACTGTTGATTCATCTGTGAAGAAGGATTTTATAAGGTGACGTACCTGCCTGCTTGCTTATTATTCCTGCAGTTTGAAGCCACATTACAGTTGCCTTTTGACCTAAAGCTTGTCCATAATCAGCATTTACTCCTACACATTGGTCTCACCTATTTTCAGGGTGATATGATGTACAGTTCACACTTTATACAAACAAGAGTATGACAAAAATGGAGCATGCAAGTTTTACTACTATGGCTGTTGATAACTTCAAGGAAATTCAATTTTTATGGGAAACAAAAAAAAAATTGAAAATCACCAGAATGGTAAAAAGTAGCCTTAGATCCTTTTCATTTTCTTCATCAGGAATACAGAGTGCAATGAAGCATGACGTGATCATGGATTCCAGCAAACATGACTATATGATTGTAGAGGTGGAAGCTGATCGTGTTGCTAAGGAAGCCATGAAAGCCTTGAAAAGGTCAAGGTCACAATGTTCCTCTGCAATATCTGGCGTACCAACTTGGACTGGCCAATCTGGTGCTATCAAGAAGTAAGTTCCATACATGTATTGTTGGAAAGTTTTTGAAAGCTTGAAAAAATGTGAATTGATAAAATAATACATTGTGTAAGTTTAAAATTTCAGTCTGTCAGCATTTAAAGTAAAAATTTCAAACTGTCAGCAGTTCAGAGTTCAGATATCATCTTTGAAGTCTAGTGATGTTTTAGATTGTCATATGTACATGTATTATATAATATTTCTTATTTTGTTGTTTGGAAATCATAATGTGTAATGTTACTTTGATCTGTAGGCCAAGGTTTGGACAGAAAAAGAATAGTCTGTTGGTAGAGAAGTCCTCTAAACCAGACACATCAAAACCAGTACAAGTAAGTGCCATTTGTTGGTCACAGAACTCCGAGGCAACTTCCCTTTATCATATTTACAAAATGAACATTTCCGAACTTGAAATACTGTATTTTTATAGATAAACACTTACTTGTATTAAGAAAGCATGCCTCTTTATTTAAAAATACTGCATTTTATATGCTGTTGTATTCAAATTTAAAAAGAATGTTGATTCTTTTTTTATCAAAGATGAAGAAGTCAGAAAGCAGAACGACTTCCAGCACCATAACGTCAAGTACTGCAACTTCTAGCACATCAACTTCAAATCCCCCATCTAAGCACCATTTTGATGGTTCACGTGCTGGAAACGTTGTGAAGGACATTGAGACAGGTTTGTCAGAAGCAAGCATGATGACCTCTAGTGAATTGCTCAACAGGATGCGACAGAGGAATGAGGGCACTCGAGAATCGACCGAGGAGGCCGACAGTTCTACTCCAGCTCCAGAACCTGAAGCCTTCAACCTTATCACAGACATTCGCAATTTTATTATGTTTGAGTGTGACCTGATTGGAGAGGCAACGACTGATGAAATTTTAAGGGAATTTGGACCTAAACTGCCGAAAGCAGACTCTGTGAAATTCAGGGCTATGTTACAGGAAATATGTGACTATGAAAAGAAAAATGATGTTGGAAGCTGGAGATTAAGAAACCAGTTTAGGTAGTGTTGTTGCCTGTGGAACCAGGTGTATATGTGTTTGAAAAAATGGCAGGAACATTTGTTTGTGTGTAGTGTGATTAGGCAAAGCAGAATGTCTCTCATAAATATCCATAAAAATTCTCTATGATTTATTCTGAATTACATGACCAGAAGAAAACAACAGAAATTTTCAAAAAGAAATCACTTGCAGACACCAAGTCACTTCAGTAGGGCTACAATTCCACTTCTAAAACATTTAACAGATCCCAATTGTATAGCTATATACCTATATAATTAGCATTTCAAAGCAGAGAGGAGCCGAGACAAATGAAAGTGGTTTCTTGTGTAGGTGGGTATGAATATGTGTGTGCCTGAATTTTTGTATAATTTTATTATTTGTTTTCTAATACAAAGGTGAATAAGTTTGTTTATATGCAGGCAGTATTGTATTGTTATAGGATAATTAAGGTTTTGTTAGATTGTACCGAGCGAGGGGAGGTAATATACAGATCCCAATTATATAGCCATATACCTGTATAATTACCTGTAGTGTGTACCAAGCTAGAGGTGGTGTTGTTAACAGTACAGAATATGTTTATAACCAGTTATCAGTGTTGGGCATTAGAACTGGAATGAAGATGGAAGATACACTTTTACCTTTGAAACACTTCCATCGTTTTCTAAAAAGACTAGTTGAATGTAAAATGCATTTGGAAATCATGTGTTCATTTTAGACATCAAGGCAAAAAAAATCAGGGAATCATATGAAGTTGTTTTCATCTTTTTTTTTAAGTATTGTACAATTAATTTGTAAGTACCTTGAAGTGTAAATTTAATTTGCATTTCCTGAATTCTGTATCAAAATTTTCCGTCCAAGCCAGTTCAGGCAATACACAGCAGCTACAATCAGGAATGCTTCATACAAGTGCCCCAACATGAGTCTATCATACAGTGATGAGCTATTGTGACTATGATTTTAGAGGCATCTTGTGTATAATGATGGAATACATTTCAAACTATGTTAAAATACAGTTCTCAGTGGATTGGTATGGAGAGAAAAAGTTCAAAAACTCAGGTTTCAATTTACATTAGATTATATATTTTCATGGGGCCCAAATTATGTGGTTTAAACAAAATGTGCATTTTTCTTGGCGCCTGATTTCATGGATAAGACTTGCTCACAAAATCCGTTAGTACTCATTATTACATGTCATTTTTGTTTAATCTATAAATCAGTTCATGAACATATAAGTAAATTCAAATGAAAGAAATAAAACCACTGCCAGGGCCAGCCAGTAGCATTTTATTTTATATCATTTTGTTAAAATAGTATTTTTGTGATATTACTTACAGCCCCAATAAGTATGAACAAGAACAGTATATTGTGAATTCTTTGAAGCAAGATTTTTTTTACTTTGATCAAAACCATTATAATTGTTACATTTTAAGTTATTATGTTCAATCATGACACATTCTAATATTTCGCGAAAAATGACGAATAAAAAAAAGAATGTCAAAAGAACGGTTTTGTTGTGTGAATTTTGTTACCAGTCATGTATAGTAAATTTTATTGATATTTCCACCAGTCATTAATCAATGAATACCAGAAATTCCAAATTTCTCTGAACATAATAAAGCTTGGACTTTGATATCAAATTTAAACGATGTTAACATAACCACAGGAGGAGTTGAGATCAAAACCAAGGAGGAGTCAATATCAAAACCAAGGAGGAGTCAATTTCAAAACCAAGGAGGAGTCAATTTCAAAACCAAGGAGGAGTCAATATCAAAACCAAGGAGGAGTCAATATCAAAACCAAGGAGGAGTTGAGATACTCAGAATTTCTGAACTAGAACTGGCACCGAAGACATCTCTCATCAAATCTGAGAAATAAAATTATCACAAAATGTTGATATTGGTATTTTATCAACACTTTCTTTTCTTTCACATTTCACGGCCACAAGGCAAGTATATGTAGGTGAAGTGAATAAACTGGCTCTACACTGATGTACTTCTTTCTGACCAAGTATTAGTGAATGAACATACAACAAATGTCATGCAAAAATTGTAAACACTTTATTCAGTAATAATTGCTGTTTTAATTGGAATGTACACAGAGTTGAGAACATTCAAATAACAAAATTCATGCTTTCAAAACAAGAAAATGTGATAAAAAATACATGGAATTTAAAAAGAAAAATTGAAATTAAAAATTTTTAATCATGACTTGGATTTCATATAAATATGACTAACATGATATTTGAATGCCCATAAAAGGAAATATTTTAGAATGCATTCGTTGTTATATTGGAAAAGTACTGGTACACATTACTGATGCATGTGATTTTCCCCCGGGTACTCCGTTTTCCTCCCACAATAAGACCCCTCGCATGCTTACATACGGGCCAAGAAGAGTGATTAGTATAAGTTTATATATCAAACAATTACTTCTGCTTTCCTGAGAATTAAAGCACCATATATCTGACTAGAATATCACATAAATACATATGATTTGCAACATGAATCACACCTGCTTGTCTCTCCAGACAGATAGTCCAACTACATGTATAAGGTTTAGTACAAGGTTCTCTGGTTACATTATTTGACCCCTCGCAACCAGTAAAGTATGTCAAAGTCTCCTTGACACCTTTAACATTGACCTTTGAAGAAACTTTCAACCAGCCAAAAATCATTGCCTATAGAATTTTTTTTTTAATTTTTTAGAATAAGATAGATGTGTCGGTGACACAAATTTCCCTGCTGGCAACAAGATGAGATTAACAGAGCTTTGTAGTGTTATTTGCATTAAAAACAATTCTCATGACTTTTAAGAGAGTATCAGACATCTGTTGAGCAAGTCTGATTACTAAAGTTTATGACAAGATGACATGCTGATGTAAACAATACAACTAACTGGTATATATGTATGTGCAATGTACTTATTTTCAGAAAAAAACGAGGAGCAATTGACATTTCGCAATTTTTCTCAGTTTAATTGAGTCTTAAAATCTAGAAAATAGAAATGGACCAAATCTTAATATGAATTTGACTTCAATTTCATCTTGAAACAAAACAACTCCATTTCAAATTGAGTTCACATCTAAATCCTGAACTCTGAGAAAATAAGTGGATCCCGATATTTTTTATGAAATTTTCAAACTGTAAGGGCCATAACTCTGGAAATCGTAGGTTGACCTGAACCAAATAAGACTTCTACATGTCATTACACACTAACATACCAAATTTCAGTTACGCACCTCAATCCCTCCTGAGTACTTGAGCAGAAACATGAGTATGACATAGTGATAGAGAGGTGGAGTGATAACATGGTCAGTTACAACACTACAGTTACATGATGAAGGCTTACAAATGTTAACACCAAATGTCACATAATCACATTTTACGTAATTCTGTTAGGTAAGGTTGGACCAAATGATAAACAACAGTCTTCAAACTGAGTCTAGATTCTTTCATGAATCTTGACCAAATATTTCAAACTTATCATGTATTCAAATTGACAACCAGTCACTCTTGACAAACTCTTGATAGGAAGACCAATTTTCTCTTGAGAAATTCCAATATTTCTCGAAATTACCCAACTTTATCACAGCTTGCTCGCAGTATAATTTTTATAATCATTAAATTGGTAAAGAGTTTTGCGATTGACTTTCACATTCTCGATCTTGTGTATACATTCATACAGTGTGTGGTAGAGAGACGGCCATCTTTTGTCAGCATCAGCCCCAGCCCTGGATGTGGGATCTAAGTGGTTGGTGGCATACGCTAGCCCGACCTTGTAGTGAGAGTCTGCCAACCCCATCTGTCCTCCATAACCTCCATGTCCAAACATCATCGTCATCTAGAAATGAGTAAATATTATGTTTGGTTTTATTCAGTAAAGAAAAATTGCTCTTCCTATAACACTTTAAAAAAATTTTCCTACAAATAATATGGGAACTAAAAGGAATTGAGACTCGGAGGGGATCTCTAGGTGGCATTCATAACATAGACAATATGTGTCACTTTTACCTTTCCATCTTCAAAGACGGGAAACACCATTGTGCCCAGACTCCACATCCCGTCCATACTGAAAGAGAGGTCAAAACCTCCAACCTTCATTTCCTGGATCCTCCTGATGGCCTCCTGTGACAGCATCCTCTTGCCGTCGTGCATTCCTCCATTGCCAAGGATACCGTGAAATTTGGCAACAGCTTCAGCTGTGCCATGGCCACACACAGACCCAACAGGAAGGCAGCGAATGTCTGGGTCATTCATACGGCGTACCTGTTATTAAAATTAAGGTGGAATTTACAAGGCAAGAATAAAATTCAGAAATAATGTTGCACCTCGCTGTCTAGACTTTGACTTTTCCCTCGATTACTTCAGATTTTCCTCAGTCCTCACCTTGACTTCAAAATATAGACCCTTAGCATCACTGACAAGTTCTTGAAGGACAAAATGGTTGTATGATGCAATTTAATTCATTGTTTGGCTCTACTTCATCAAACTCTAATTTATTGAAACGTGCTATTCACTTGTGTGTCTTTCGTACAATGTAGTGATCCCAAAGTACTGAAATCTAATCGGCCAAAAGAACATTTACTTCCTGGTCGAATAATTTATTGGCATGCCTATTTTTAATGAATTCGTTATTGTCATTGCTGCTCAGCTGAAAATTCTTTATAAGGAGAACTTCATTCAGGTCAGAAAATACAAGTTATGTCACAATTACTTGTCCACTCATTGTGATTTCTTATGTTCACACAAGTGAAAATTTTTACTTACAGTGCGGAAATCTGATGGATTGTCAGATGTTTTATTTAAAATCTCAATATCTCCTTTAAAATTTGCGATGTATTCAGCAACATCAAACTTCTTCATCATCACAACTCTTGGTGCCCGGTAGAACAATGCCTTTGGAAGCCCAATGTAAAATTCTAAATCTGCAAAATGTGTGTTTTTAATGTTTCAAACATGAGAAATAAGTATTACTGAAAAAGACTTAAAATTGCATAAAGAAAAATATTGTATGTTACATCTGATGTTTGAAAATCAAGTCAATTACTGTAAAATCATATATATTTGTGGGATTAAAATTTTGTAGTTTTCCAAAAGCATATATTTTTGTTGACATTTGATTGTCTGGATAAATCTAGCACATGAAATCCTGTAGTAATATAGTCCATGAAATGTTTATAATTTCTCATTTCTTGGACATGTAAATCCATAAATTTGGAGTACCCACAAATTTAACGAAAATAAATTCCCCTCAAAAATAATTTTTTTACAGGATAAAACAACAAGAGGAAAATAATAGCTCACTAATGACTCAGAGTTTCCATAACCAATGTGCTAAGTAAGGCTGACTTCACTGAAAAATGTCAATAATTTTGTGGTTTTATAGTTTCAAATTTATTGCTAAAATAGACGAAAATTTACCAAATGGATCAGCTATTTCTTCTTTGAAATATATTCCAAGACTTCTTTTTTTGGGGTCGACACGTCTAACAATCTGGTCTAAGTACAGAGCAAATGTGATTGGGTGGTAACCGTGGTTGGTTCCTGTTAAAAAATAATTTGAATTGTGTTATGGCATGGTTTCATCAAGTTTTTTTGTTTTTTGTTTTTTTTTGTATCAGGCAATAACCTTTTGGCAGTCCTATAGATGAAATACTACTTAAAATTAGAAGTACTTAAAACCATGCAAATGGTCTAGGACATGTGCCATATCAGACGTAGTTCATGCTTCAAAAATATGATATTAGTAACTGACTGTTTGTACAGGATAGCTTCAACATTACTCATATTTCACATTCTATTTCTATTTTTAATCATTACGAGGTTTGAAAAAAGGGCTAAAATTCAATTAAATTAAAATTATGTTTATGAACAAATAACGCAGAGGCACATTGCGAGGAATCTTAATAGTTTATTACATTATAACAATATGGGGCTATAACAGCTGTAGTGCCTGCCAAAACTTCAGTATTACCCGGCCAAGAAGTAAATGCTTAAATAGACTGTCAAGATATCGAAGCTGCTGGCCGAGCTATGTACCAGAAGAGAGGCAACTTAACTATTTACTGCCAAATAGAATTCTTGGGGGGACTTATGAATTACATAATGAAGTAAAATGACCAAACTGAATATGTATCACAGCTGAAATACCCCCAAGAAAATTAAAATTCTGATAAAAAAAAAATTGAAAAAAAGATTACTTTGAAAAATAAGATTCAACAGTGAAAGTCATAAGCTGGTCATGACTTTCATCAAATAAAACATGTATTCTTTTTATTTCAAGGTATTAGCTGAAATGCAGAAACTTAGACCACAGAAAAAATAACCTTTATTTTACTCATCAAAACACATAAAATCAGTGACTGTCCTTCACCTTTCTCATCAACTTCCACTTTTGACAATCTTGATTTACAATCATACAAAAAAATAAAAATGAGAAATAGATAGCACTACTGCTGAAACAATTTTAAAGTCACATTTCTGTGAATCATGCCAGTTCGCTATTTAGTCTAACACAAACCCATCATTAAGCTTCTAGGTAGGACAAAACGCAGAAATATGATAAATATGTAAAATGTTTCAGCAAAATTTGGTCTGGGTTATTTATTTATTTATTTATTTATTTATTTATCTATATACCACTGATGCGCGGCTCTGCCATAGTTAAAAGACTGGTATACAGGTGAAATATCATACCTGGTTTCCACAAAGGCCTCTGCTTGGCTAAGATTTCACCCAGTTTATCAGGATTACTCTGAATCATGGCCATCTGGAACTTTTCGTCACAGGCAGCAACACCAGCCTATCAAAAATAAACAGATACACAACACCAGTCAGGAAATAAATGGAAAAAGAATTAATTAAGGATGTTTCATGGGTATTGTAGGTAAGCCAAATTTAGTCCTACTAACAAGTGATATCCCTGTGCTCCATGGACTTCTGCATCCACATTTATTCAACATTGAAACTCCATGGAGTAAATCCTGAACAACTGTTTCTGATCAAAAGCCTTCCGGGGCTTTCCTTTGATACGATCAATCACATGCAACTCATGTGTACCTATCTTTACACAAAAACACTTCAACAAATCATCCAGGTTTTTATAATGAGAAAGTATGTTGTAAGCAATATGTGAACTGTTCCCTACCTGATTGCTTATCAGTTGCTCCAGTGAAACACCTTCTTTTCCATTCTGAGCAAACTCAGGCCAGTAGGTTTTAACTTTCTCTGCATAATTTAGCAATCCTCTGCAAAGTGAAGCACATGTGAGACACTAAAATCTGACATAAGACAGTCGGCTTACAACAGGTGACAATCTGGCTTCAGTTTGACCAAATTTCCGTAACGAAAATTGTTCATCTTTCAGAGGAAAGCATTTACAGAATTTTTGGACCATGTTCTGAACATGAACTTTTATTTCTCAACTCTGACAACATTTTCTTATCGGTAAACGTGTATGTTCAAGAGAACCTTAAGTGGCCAGTCCTTGAATTTTGGGGACTAGAACATATAAATTATTTTTAAACATTTTCTTCCTTTGTCCGATGAAGGTGATTGTATAGTCACACTCAAATCTTCTACTAGTTGTGTTTTGGAAACCTCTATTACATGTAAATTATACCATGTTTCTATCAAATTCAGATATGTATTAATTGGCATAATAGAAGAATTTAGTAAAAATATTGATGGAAACAATGAAGGCTTATATAAAAAATTTCTCGAAAAATTTTCTTTAAGCTCAAATGGTAGTTTCAGAATTCATCTCAAAGTGAATACATTTAGAACAAGAGACTCTACGTAGACACTCTGTTGTTTTATCTTAATTTATTCGTTCAAAGAATCTTTTCCCATCTTTTCTCTTCTTCCTTCTGTTTTTGATTTTAATTATGTGAATTCCCTTAATAGGAATAATAATTTTTAACTCTCAAATCCAAGATGGCCTCCTGTAAGCTATTTTGCTTTTCTAATATGTCAAGAAATCAAAGGGGCACAACTTGGGACCAAGAGGAACCTACACATAAAATTGCAAAAAAAAAAATTCTATTCAGTACGTCCCTAAAATTGTGACAACAACGGTTGTTTAAAGATAGATGATGGGCGGACAGACAGATGACAGACTACTGATGTAACAAGATATGAGACAATGGGCGGACAGACCAATGACAGACTACTGATGTAACATAATTTAAATAGCCCATCATCACATGATGCTGGGGTAAAACTTGACCAGGACACATCTTATACTTACTTGTCGACCATGTGTGCTATAACAACAGCAGACATTGACTTTGTTGTCGAGTAAAAACAAGGGAGAGAATCCTTTTTCCATAAAACTCCAGACTTGCCATCAGCAGTTCCACCCCAAACGTTTGCAACTAGCTCTCCTTTGTAATAGGCAGCAAATGCTCCTCCTCTCTCCAGTCCTTGTTCGAGATTGTATCTAACAAAGAAGATAAAACAAATCATTTCTTAATTATTTCCATCTGAATTTTTGGGAGTATTATAATTTGGGTATATCTGAACTTGACAAAAAAAAAAAAAAATGAAAATAAATACCTAAAAAATGCTTAGATGAAAGCAAAAATAATCTGTGTTATTGTTCATATCAGCTGATTTAACTAAGTTTGGGGTATGTAGGTCACCTTTAATGCCAGAAATCTGAAAACAGCTCCTAGTATATTCTGCATTACACCTATATGAGAGAAGGAGGGGGGAGGGGCATACACACAAATTTTGGCAAAATACAATTTTTCTAGTAAATTTCTGAAATTCTACAGAATATCAATAGCTATGGGTAAGCTTACATAATATATTCACATAACTAACTTTATCATTTATCTTGGTAAAATTATAATAATTAGTATGAACATATAATTGTATTGTTTATTTTTCATAATGCGTATGAATATCAAATAAGATTCTGGGAAGTTGGATGACACTTACCTAAAGGTCTGCAGGATCTTCTCAAACCCAGGCTTAACAAAACCATCGACGTAAATTTTGGCTTTGGCTCGAGACATTCTGGGACGGTCTTTTTAGTTTAAATCTAAATGAAGATACTTAAATTCATTTTCAGTTTATTTTCATTATTCAGTTGGTATCAATAGATTAACAAGAACTTTATCTAGTTGAAATTTCATGTCATCCCATACGAAATATTTCACATTGCAGTTTTGATTATTCAAAATCTCAATAAAATTGTTATTCAATTTTCTGTATCTAAACGCAGAATTACTCGATCTCGATCTGTAGCAAGGGAGACAACTCTTATTTAACACACTCTGAACGTATGTAAGTAAACATGGATATTTCAAATACAAATTTGATACGAAATGCCACGACTCTACACTGAATTGTAACCAGTTCATCTCAACGTGTGTTTATTTGATACCATATGATATCATTATGCTATGCTTGGCGTGCAAATAATCAGATGTCATAGCACAGGTGTCCTTCATCACACAACCTGAAAGCAAGTTGGACAACAATTGCAAATACACGTGCAGTTCCAAGCAAGTTTGCGGTAGAAGCATAACCAGTTGACTACAAATTAATTACCTGCCTCTTAGTCGATATTCCAGGTTCAGTACGAACTATGAATTATCATTATCTGGTGTTTCATCACAGTTCGGACTTTATCACCGGAGTGTCAAAATGTAGAACACAAAACAGCCGAATTTACAACTTATCTCCCCTGCAATATCTATGATTTTCATTTTTTTTTACATTCACGTATCTTACTTTTTTCCAGTTCAATTTCAAATCGCGATTTCCGGTGTGACAGTTGTCGGTATCTAAAATTCAAGAGAATGCTGAAGATTATGGCGAAGTTTGGTGGTATTCTTCAGGATCTTACGATATCATGATGAAGATTCCTTGTTCATGCTTGATAAATTCCGACATGTTTCATACATAGTGGTTTCATTGTTATCGCCCCGGTTCCTATTTTGTGAACATGACATTAATTGATTTGGTCTTCTTAAAGATATTCAACTTATCTTTGTGTAATTATTATTAATTGTGTAAAGGCAGCTCTCGATTCTTCGATTTCACGTTAGAACCACAGGTTTATTTTTGGCGTTCTCTCTTTTTTGATAAAGTATAGCGGTTTTTTCCCCTTTTAATAAGACATTGGTGATGCTGACGGCAGTATTTTTTGGAAGTAGTGAGTTTAAATACGTGATTACTTACACTATTCCTGAAATGTTTGAGTTTAACAAGGAAATAAAGAGATTATATATTGCTAGTCTGGTTCCTGGTACATTTTCAAGGAGCTCTGTGGTGGAATTCGGATTAGTAGTCTGTTGTCATATCGATATTATCTTCATCACGGCTGGTCACCACGACCAGACAGCACATATCTTTGATGTCATCCTACACCCACGCATCCAGAAATTCAGGTCACGTAAGTTCCTCGCCCTGGAACTGTGACGTGCGCTGGTAAGTCTCTCCGTACATCAAGCAAACTCGCGTTGTTTGAGAAAGGTTTTCTCCCGTACCATAGACTTACCGTCCGGGACTTAATCTCTGTTACCATGTTTGCCTCTGGGAATTTCTGAGACTGCGTGGTGTGTTAAAGATGGATCTTTCTACACTATTGATAAAATGCCATAGTCTCTCTTACGCCGAATTCCGATATAAATTTACCGAATTCATTATGTCTAATAAATTACATTTTGTGTCCTACTAAATCATGATTTTGTTAACCGCAGCGATACAATTGATAATGTATCATTTTTTTCATCTTATCTCATTCATAAACTATTCAAGAATTCGATATTGTTGTGTTTTGTTTCATTTGCAGGATTTTCGTCACCAGTCATGGTCATTTTCAGCGGTGCCTCCTTAAAGTAGCGGATCGCCACCTCACTGAACAACATACGAGAGGCCCGTTCCATGGCATCTTGGAGGACTGGGGTTTAGTATTTTGCACAATTACATTTTGGTGTTGTAAGAAAACATATAACATTTCTACTTTTATGTTAACATTTGTTAAAGCGAAATCAGATAGAATATTTCAATGCACAAAAAAGATCACCAGTTGTTTTAATTAACAGGATATGAAGTTATGCTGTCACGAGCGCGCGTGATTACAGGGATAATTTCCTATAATATCTTCCGATTGAAATGCCAGAAGAAAACAACCACGGAATATTACAACGCTTGTAATAACTACAAAAATATTCACGAAGGATCGCTGTATGATGCAAATCAAAGATGCACAATATGTTTGATATCTTATTCAAATTTTATAGAAAATTAACAGAATTTTTCTTACATATCATACGAGATATCTTTACATAGCATCTGGTACAGTTTCTAAATAAGATATTTTATAAACTATATAAGATATTTTATATAGAAAATTAACAGAGATTTTCTTACATATCATACGAGATATCTATATATAGCATCTGGTACAAATTCTAAATAAGATATTTTATATAATTGAAATGAAATATGAACCGACATTTCTCTTTGCATAAAAGACAAGATGACTTGCCACAGAAACGCTAATGTGTTTGTTGAGACTTTCTGAGGGACATACTACATGTATATAATTAATTACAAACAACAAAGCTAGGATGATATACCATAAAATCGTCGATGCGAATTAACTCGAGAACATCATTAGCGAAAATTAACCATTTGCACTAGCAGGAATAATTGTTTGTCAAAAAAGTGACGGAAATTAAGTGTTTTTGAAGTGCCTTGCTTCGTTAAAGTGCTCTTTCGTTGATGGAGGAAACAAAACACTGCCCGCGAACGTTTACAAATTGCACGAGGATTTAAAACGTATCGATCAATAATGGCAGCCATTCATGATGGATGTCGTATACATCATGAAAAGAAACAAAGATAGTAAATGAAAATAATAGGAATGAAAATTCAACTCATGTACATGAAAAGACAAATGAGACAAAACCAAGAACCAAACTGAACATAGAAAACCAATTTCATTTATCAAAATTGGACATAAAAACCAGTAACACATCATATCTCATTATATTTTTGCCAACGGATGTCATTCGACGTTGTTATATACGAGAAAAAATTTAATTCCTTTGAAGACGCATGCCACGAATGGTATGGCCTTTCATACCCTGTTGTAAATATACAACTTAGAATTTACATGAATACAGAGACGCGGCATTCCATCATCCGATTTCATGATACAGAGGCCGGTTGAAGACACGACCGTATTGTCTGTTTATCTACTGTATAGAAAAGAAAACCAATATATAGATGCCTGAGTTATTGCAAAGGGAGAATTGGATCAGATTTGTTCTGCTAATAGAAGACAACAGAAACCTGAAATTAATTAAATACGTGTATACCAGAACGAGGCTTTCAGGTGTCGCAGTCGCTCAAGTGGAGCTCTACAATGGCAAGAAGTAAGTGAACACTAGCAATGACTAAATAGAGTTACTTCCCTTCTCATATATTGCAATATTAAAGTCACAATCACGTTTGCATTCACATTTTAGTGTTGAGTATATATATCACAGGATACGTGTTGATTTAATTTAAATGTTTTGTATACTGTAAAATCAGATATTTTAGCGGGTCCTAAATTTCTTGGTTTTTTTTTCGAAAATATACATTTTGGCACGAAATATCATGGACAGATCTTGATCACAACATTAACTCGTAAAATATGATCCATGTCAACATTTATCTGTGTGTCATTTCATGGACATATACATTTGTTGATTTTTGATACACACAGATTCAACGAAAATAAATTCCCTACAGACTGAACTATACACTTATACTTTGATACTTGTGTGAGCCCTTGTACCAAAGACATAATAGAAGCATTTACGATATGGCTTGTTTCTGTGGAGACGAATCATACACGTTGATTTTAATTTAAAGCTAAACTCACAACACAGAGTTTTCAGAGAAGCAGGTTGATGAACTAGAGGTGGGGATTGGGTGGGGGGGGGGCGTTTTGTTGTCTTCATAATGATCTCATTGGGATGTGTTATCCTTTTTGGTGATGTGGACGTGTTTGCTACTCGTAGTAAGCGTGGTGGTTCCATTTTTGTTAACATTGTTTTTCGCTTGGGAACGACATTGAACAAGGTTTACATGGCGGGTTTCGTCGATGAAGCTATGACACTTACCCTTCCGGAACACCCGGTCTTATTCTACACGTGTTAATCGATTTTTAGTTTGAATTAAAATTATGTTGACCTGTCGGTATTTTCTTGTTGTTTATTGTTAAAAAATGATAATGAACATCCGCAGTAAACAATCTGCAAAAAGAATTTGATCACGACTCTTATTATTTATTATTGAAAAAGTCATTTTATTTTGCTTGTAGCGAAGAGATGTTCTAGAAAAACATACTATGAATCATGATCCTTTGCATGAGAGCAAAATAAAGCGGAACTTCGTCCTGATCATGACACGACATGGTGTGTGAAAAGCGTAAATGAATTATACTGGAGTCAGTTGTCATGTTACCTATCACTGTATAACTGTAAGCACAAATCTCTACCGCTCCCTATTTGATGAAGCGACGGACATTTCCGAAAAAAATTACTAAGTAAGGTCTATTGAAAAAGACGTATTAAAGCACTCATTCATAATAAATGTTGCATTGGTAACTACTGGAATTTAAAAAGACAAGCAATAAAAAATATATCCGAAATTTTCTATATGTGATTTTTTTTCTCGAAAGCCATCAGTCTAGCATCTTTATGAATTGTGATGTTTCTATAAGTAAACTCACGAAGACATCACGGTTAAACCTATCGTACTGTTGTAAGGTTGTGAAATCAGATGATGACTGGCTGTGAAAAATATCAGAATAGGTCATGACCATGTTAGATAACCCAAAGTATCCCTGCCGTGACAGGAAGAATACAAAAACATAGTTCGCGAAGGAAGCACGTACGCGTGTACTCGTTATTTCTTCTCACAGTGGGCAACTGGTGGAAATGTAGCCATTTGTCGTTGTCATGCTGCTTATACAAGAATTATAGTTCTCTCGGTTTTTTTTTAATTTTCACCGGAAAGAATGTCTAGACTCAACTGTACCAACGACAGGAGGTCACGTGATAAAAACAATGTGTGTTTACAACAACAACAACAACAACGACAAAAACATAACAAAACAAACAAACAAACAAACAAAAAAACAATAATAATAACAAAAACAAAACAAAACACACAAGAAAGATAACGACAACAACAACGAAAACAACATTTTGACAAAATATTCATTTCAAACTCTGAAGCGTTTAAATTAAGGCAAACCATTAAAAAGGGGAATATAAGGCCTGATTTTCTGTTATCACATTATCCCCAGCTCCTTCAACATGTCGATATCTGCAGAAAACCATCCCGATTCCAGACCATTTTTTATCACAATATAAATTTACTAGGCACGAACAGTTAGGGTGAGGATGTCGGAGACGCTTGCAATATCGGCAATACAAATTACAAAGGTGGGACGTATTTTGTTCAATAACATTATAACAAATTTAAGTATGATTTAATTGTTTACGTGCAGGAATTATTACAAATTCATTCGAGAGATTGGCATTAAACCATGAGAATAAATCACTTACACTGCAGGCCCCGTAGTCTTTGTTTTGTTCACATTCAAC